CTGTCCCCTGCTTTTAATGTGTTGTTTAGCTATCCTGTCCTACTTCAGCTTTTTGCATCATCAACCATCACAAAAGAACATCCCCGGGCCACTCTCAAAAACAATGGTTGTGCTGAGAGAACACAAATCCAGCCCATTTTTTTTATGTTGCAGCCTGTTACGTTTTCACCAGTGAGGCTCATGTAAACAAAACCGTTCTTTGTGTCCTGTCACATTTTCTCTGCTGTAAACAAACAGGAAATTATGAAACAAGTATGAGCAGGAGGGAGTGAAAGAGATTATAGCGCACAAATACCCGGGAGTGCATAGCAGAAAACAAACAAAAGACCAAAATCCACCGCTGCTGTCACTCCTGACTACTGTCCTTTGACTCCATGTAGATAATCATCCTTATTCGCTCGTCTTTGTCTGTTCAGAGACGGAGTAGAACCTCAGAGAGAGACGGGAATGTTACAGATGTATTAAAAAGGGGATTTTTGGTTGACATAGGGTGACCATATTTTCTCTTTTACCCGGACGTGTCCTCTTTTGGGGGGTTTATAAAATCCTTCCGGGGTTTTGTGTGTCGACCCGACCTGAAAAACCCTCAAAATCTTGCGCTCGACTCCGCCCCGCATAGTAGTGTCCTCTCTTTGGTAATTGAGAATATGGTCACCCTAGTTTACAAATGAGCAGAACTGACTTCTGACAGGCAAACAGCCACCAACCTTTATGTTTTCGTGTGAGTCTAACAAACATCTTTTGATAAGATGTGTATTTTATTGTTTGTTTTCCTCGATAGAGTTTACTCTGTCCAAGCGTTTTGTCGATCGCACACTCTGTCATTGAAACGAGGGACCCTCATTTCCCCTTGACCATTGTTTACACGCACCTGCTGCCTTCTCCTAAATTTCCTCCATATCTTTAAGCTGTTGCTGCCACCAAGTGGTGAAAGAGAGGAATACAGTATTAGCCTGAGGAGTAAAAATGTAAGCTGTTGACCAGAAAGCAATTTACTCGTTTCATTTATTCTTCGTTAATGCCTTTTTTAAGTGTTTGTTTTTGTTTTTTTCCTGGCATTTTGATGTATTTTCGCTTGTTCTCAACATTTCATGGTTATCTGATGGGATCTCACAACTGGACTCTATCACTCTATCTCATCAGGCCACACAGAGGGCTGGTCACAGGCTCCAGAACGATATTTATAGGAGCAGAAATCTGCAGTTTGTACATAAAGATAAACCAACATGTGTGTATTAACCATTTTATGTGACAAACTAACATTTTCATCAAACCTCATCACAGATTAACACACTACCTTCTGTGAACTTTAACTTTTTTCCTTTACCGACCATGTTTTTCTGTTGATAGTCTATTTATAACCGGTTTTTTTTTACACACTCGGGACCACGAGTTTAGTTTCTCTCACATCAAATCAAGTCTAGAAGTGCTGAAGGTTCATGAAGTTCCTCAAAACATGGTGGAATGAAAAGGAAGTGGCCTTAAATGTTTTCAGGAGAACAGTTTGTTGAATGCCTTTATGTCAACTCCAAATCAGGTGATGAGAGGAGAGATGGAAATAAGAGAGCAAACAGGGATGTCATGGATCATTTTGCACAAAGTCTTTCTGCTACTGAGCTTTTTATTTAGGCTCTGTTCCCATTACTATGTATGTTAGTCATACTCCCATTGAAGCTGGTTTTATTAAGGTGGACATATACAACTGAGCCAGAAAGAGCATTCAGACCATGTCAGCTGTGACCTGAGCCAAATTTGACTTTTTAAGTTAACACCGGCATTACCTATGGAAGCGTATTGCATTCACACACAAAAAAAGCTTTGTTTTTCAGTTGTTTTTTTTTTTATGCTTTTCAAACTAATTTTTTTTTCTTTTCTGTTTTTTGTAATATTTTTCCCCCTGTTTTTCGAAGTTTTTTTTTTCTTTTTATCCCCTTCTACTTGATTTATTGGAAGCAAACATGGCCCACATGTTTAGTTTGATCAAGTCTGACTTTCTTTTGGGTTTGAGACACTGGGAGATACTTCTTTCTTTATCTCAGATGGATGGAATCATCATAAGTTTGTCTACATTGCACAGGCACCTCAGGATTTTCATACCCTATGTTTAACTGTTAACATACTTTACTCTTATTGACCCGGTTAGTCGAAGTTATCCAGGAGCTGGAGAATCCGCTGATTTGGAGCAGTCGTGGTGGTTAATGTTACCTGATTGTTTGAGATTCTCGCAGAATTTTGAAGTAAGGAAAAAAAATTAGAAAGATGGAAAAAAATTGGTACAAAAAACAGAATAAAAATTTGTCTGAAAAATGGAAAGAGGGGAAAAAATATAGGTACAAAAAAAATATATATATATTTTTAGAAAGCCGAAAAAAATTAGCCCAAAAAACAGCAAAGAAACAGAATTACTCAAAAAACTGTTTCCTTTTCTCTTTTTTTAGTAAGTGAATGCAACACGCTTCCATAATTACCAGCCTTAAGCTAATCACAGGCTAATTTTTAAACTACTTTTCCCACATCAGCATTTTTTCTTCAGTTTTGTCGCTCACACGTTCGTTAAAAACAGTTCCTCCCTAAACAGAAGGAGAAACTGATCATGAAATCAAAATATGTCCCTTTTCAAGACAAGATTACAAATTTACCTGTTGACCTATCGCATTAAATGGGATATCTTACTCAATGCCCCGATATCAGCTCACAAAGCTCTTACTGGATTCCTAACAGGTGAATGACAAAGTAAGTTTTAAAGTGCTTTTTGACGAGCCAGCAGAATCTTGTGTTTTATGGTCATTTTAACGCCGTCTGTGTTGCCACCAATCAGAGTCGGCTCTGGAACAGAGGTTTCAGATGAGGTGTCGGCTCTCTGCATACACAGCAAGTGGAGTTTATGTTGTTGACCTCATGAAGGTCACAGCACTGTATGATTTAATAGCAGAAAGCTGTGAGCGTTGTTTTAACGTCGGTGAGACTGTACATAAACTAACTCCAGATGGGCCCTTTAACGGGTCTTTTATGGACGATTTTGAGTTTATTTTTATTTTCTTTGAAAGACTTTTCAAAGACTTTTTTTATGTGATAACTATCTGAACTGTGTTGGAGCTGGTCTGTCTCTGTTTATCTGTGGCAAGGGCCAGTCAGCCATCTTGTTGTAAATAGTTTGAAGAGGTGTGAGTGTGTGTGTGTGTATGTGTATGAGTGTGTGTGTGTGTGTTTGTTCAATCAATCAATCCATGACTGACCGACTGACCTGCATTCAACAAACGTCACCAATTTAACAAACGCATTTCCTGTCTGTAATGTTTGACCTCCTGTTGTACAGATGGTTGTACAGAGCTGCTGATCAGCTAAGGTGGAACAAAAACTCATTCTTGTACAGAAGAAAGTCCTTAATAAAAGAAATGAAAGTGTACGTGGTGTTATAGTCTGATTCATTCGCACCCAAAAAACATACTTAAAATTAGTTTTTTTATCATCCTGTTGCTCTTGGTTGATTTACCTCCAGTAGTACACAACAACTTTAGCTGTAGACAAACCCAGCAGAGGAGTGTCTAGAGATGTACCAAAATCCACATAGACCTTAAGTTTCTCAGAGAAGCTTCTCACTCTCTGAAAAACTATATATATATGTTTTATGAAATTATCAAATTTGTTTTTTAATTTTTAATAATTCCTAGAACTTCAGACTGAGTCTGTCTCATAAGATCAGACCCCCTCGAAACCCGTCTTCAAACACAGGTGAAACACTTGACAGCATTTAGAGAGTGGAGAGGAGGAGTTTCCTTTTACCTCAAAATTCGACACACAGTTACCAATAATGACAAAGTGAAAAAGTTTGTTTGAGATGTAAATGTAGATGCAAATTTATCAAAAATGCAACATGTACACAAGTATTCACAGTGTTTGCTCTACTTTTTAGACGCACCTTAGTCAGCAATTACGGCCTAAAGTCTTTTTGAGTATGATGCAACCACAAATAATAAAGTAAACCAACAGTGCTTTTGCTGCAGAGATACATGAAATAGTCCTCTAAGTCTTAATAAGTTCTGGGTCGATCTGTTGCTGTAAAGTACAATGTTACTGTTTTAATGCATTAAAGTTGCTGATGATTAAATAGTATGACCACCAGAGGGCACTGCAGGTTAACATTTTGATTTATGAGTCATACACTGCTCACACAAATGGAGGACCAAAAATGACATAAGTAAAAATAAATGAATAAATAAATGGACAAATAAAAAAATAACTACATGAATAAATAAATAGATAAAATATTTTTTTTAAATTAAAAGGTTATTTTTTTGCCTTAATTTATTTTATATTTATTTATATTTAATTGTATTTAATTATTTATTGTCACATTTATTTATTTTTACTTTTATTTATTCCTTTATTTTTACTTTTATTTATCCATATGTTTATTTATTCCTTTATTTTTACTTTTATTTATCCATATGTTTATTTATTCAATTATTTTTACTTTTATATATGTATTTATTTATTTTTACATATATTTATTTATTTATTCATTCATTTATTTATTTATTCATTCATTTATTTATTTTTTATTTATTTTTTACTGTCATTTTTGGTCCTCCATACACACAAATGGCTGACTATCATTGAAATGAAAAATACCATTCCTGTTTTACATTCCTCACTTTAAAATATTTAGATTAAAATCAGATGTTTGGATTAAGATCTATTTTTTTTCTTTGTTTGTTTGTTTTTTTACTTTAAATTTAATTTAGAGAAACACTTATGCTTTGAGGAGACTAACCAGTTGGTATACTGTGTGATTTGCAATTTCCCCCATGAAATCTGTCAATAAATCAGTAAATCTGATGATGTCTCATTGATTTAAAACCCACCTCTGCTTCACATGCATCGTGTCTCTGTGATGGTTCAATTAGTAACTTTATTACTTGAACTTTTTTAACCCTGAAATCATCGTCTTCTTTCCAAGCCTTGTGGTGTTGTGCAGCATCCAAGAAAAATACAGTAAACAGGCTTCATTAAGAACATTGTTTATTCAACAGTGGCTCTTCATTAATAAATAAATGCACAGATCATTCGTTCCACAACAAAATTGAGGGAAAATTGTTATTTTTTTCTATATATAAATGTCCAAGTGGAGGATTGATATTGCCATGATGGGTAAACAGCATCGACCAGACAGAAAGACAGTCAAGACAGATGGACTAACACAGAGAGGCAGACAGACAGACAGACAGACGGACAGACGGACAGACAGACAGGTACCAAACAATGTGTAGAAAGTATTGCCTTTTTTACTGATTGGCTCTCTTTTTTCTCACTCTCTGTTCCTCACTTTACATCCACAAGATCACTTAATGCAAAGTTAAACCAGCCCATCAAAACCATGATGTACAAATTAGTCATAAATTATAAATACAGTATTGCATCACTTCAAAGTGCTACAGAGATAGGTGCCGACAATCTTCAAAAACACAAACGCTTGTTTACTTTGAACCCTGTGTACATGTGTGTGTGTGTATCTGTCTGTTTGTTTTGTGCGAAAATGGGGACCAAGGTAAAACAAAAACCAACCTCGGTTGGACTTTGTGCCTTTGGATGTTGAGCACAGAGCGCAGAGCTTCGTCTGTTTTAAAGGCAGAGCGCTCCACACGTTATTTCAGACTGTAATATAAAGAGGGGTTTGAAATAAAGCTTGGGTGTCACTGCTGTCACTGCTTTCCTTGAACAGATTGTAAGTACAGTACTGCAAGACTCTACAAAATGCTACACAGTGAACTTTGGACAGGCCTGCGTAAACAGGGTTATGGTTGTGGTACAAACAGAAAGTATGCGTGTAAAGTATGAAGTATGAACTTAAGGACAACTTCCTGTTATTGGGTTAAAGCCACAAAAGCCGACACCTCTTTCTTTTTCCCCCCGTCCTCCATTTTCAGCACAGATTCTAAATGTGAGAAATCAATCGATGATTGTTTGATTTTTTTTTTTCCTGGGTTTTCCTCACAAGGAGCAACACTGAGTGTCCCTGATGTTTTTAAAGCAGAGTGTAAAAAACATTTTGAATATCCAGTCTTTTAAAAAAACCAGCTACAGTTTGAGGATCTGTGAAAACACCAAAGGATGTAAATCTGAGAAAGTATTGCCTCTAAAAGTTCCTCTGATGAAGACGGAGCCCACAGCGAAAAGAAACACACGACCACGATCATTTTCAGCTGATTATCGTCTCACTTTAACATCTGAATGTCCATTTACAGATTAGGAAGTTACTCTCTTCAGTTTCAGAAACCCATTCGAGCATTGCTTTTCATACATGTTGTCGTCTGATGCCGAATGAAACTGAGTCTAGGGTGTGTTTGTGTGCATTTGTATCCAACTGTGAGTTCAGTGAGGAAAAACGAGGCTCTACTGCACTGCTGAGGCTGACTAACATTCAGCTTTATGTTCTCTAGCAGCTATGGAAAAGTATTGTTTCATTGGCAAATCCAGGAACACCAAAGTCCGGGGGATACCTTTATGAACAAGGCACAAACATCTTAAAAGACCCACTGCTGGTGCACATTTATCCCCATTCGCTAAATAATTACCATTTTTCAAAGCATAGGAGCCGACGTTTTTCAGTTCATAGAAGTCCCCTACAGAAATGAACAAATATCCACGTATAAAAAGTAAAATATGTTTTGGAAAATGGTCAACCGTAAGGCAAAAAATTATTTATAACGGGTTAAAACATACCGGACCACCAGCATGGTTCTTTAAGCAGCTCTGTCTTTGTCTTAGGCATCTCCAAAAGCCACTGTGCTCCTAAAACTGAGCCTGTGAAGAAAGACTTCATACAGGCTCAACCAACTTTTTCGTGATGTGGCAGGTAGGGCGTCCTACAGTGTGAAGGAGGGGCTTGTGATAGGGGTTTCCCAGCCCATCTGCGAGGGCCCTTGCCATTATTTGGCATCTTATTCGATTTATTTAGCCTCTTCAGTGAGGAGATGTGGAGCAGAGAACAGAGGGTGGACAGGGTGAAGATGAGAGGCAGAGATGAGAGGAAGAGGAGGGGGACGCATAAAAAGGGGATGAAAAGGAGATGAGAGGAGAGGAAGGTGTGGGTGAGAGACACGGGGAGGAAGAGGACGTATGAAAGACAGGAAGCTCCGGTCGGATCGCCGGCAGAGCACCTGTCACTGAAGAGGCTCCTGCTTTCTATCACTGTCTCCTCCCCTCTTTTCTCCATCCATCTCTTTTGTCTGGAAACAGGAGGGACACCAAAAGGGGAAGGAGCGGGTGCTTAAAATTCCTCCTTCCTTCCTGTGTCCATCTCCTCTCCTAAAGACCTGTTGTCTCCATAGCAACAGACCCTGTCTTCATACTGAGCTTATTCAGTTGGTAGTCATGAATGCGTGTATGTGTGTGTGTGTGTGAGGCAGAGAGCGTTCACTGCTGTTCATGCCTCTCCGTGTCGGCGTGTGTATCAGTGAGCCTCTGTGCACGTTGTTGTTGTTGTTGTCGTTGTCGTTTTGTTTTCTCAAGGAAGAGGGTGTAACTTCAGCAAATGTCAGTCCAGCACTCCATCCAGGCTTGTTTACTGAGAAAGGTTTTGAAAGCCAGTTCATTTTTGGTCAGTCTGAAGAGATCTCGTGTTAAAATGGAAGGAGCGTTGGCTGGTTTCTGAACTGTAAAAAGATTTTCTTCTCAGTCTTTGAGTTTTGAAATCAGGCACCATGACGCTTTTCACCTCCCCAACCCTGGAAGCATGTACATCCTGCAGCAGTCAGTCTAACTGACTGCTCATCCAGACAATGGCAGCCAAGTCTGTGCTCAGATAGTTTTTTTTGGGGAGGGGAGGTTGTGATTGGCTGTCCATCAGCAGCCTGGGGAGGTCGTGAGTGGGCTGTGGTGCAAATAGGCGGGGTTCACCACAGAGACCGGAAAGTTGAAAATGAACGGGGAGGTTGGTGTCGTTGATGTTGAGGTGGTGGTTGTCGAGGACTTGGGTCCCAGCAGGGGGCTGGCTGTAGCGGCGGCTTCCGCGGCACACGATGTGGCGAGGAGCTGCGACTCGAACTGCAGCAGCTGACCCATGAAGCTGAAGTTGGGGGAGATGATGCTGCGACGCCTGCGCACAAACTCGAACGCTTCATCGAGACGCACCCGCTTCCTCTTCATCAGATAGGCAAGGCAGATGGTTGCAGAGCGAGAGATGCCCGCTTGACAGTGAACCAGGACTCGTCCGTTGGAGTCTCTTACTGAATCTACGGAGAGAGGGAAGGAGAGGTCAGAGGTTAAATTAACCCTTTAACTGACTTCACTAAAGTGCCATGGATTTAGTACAGATACAACAGCGCCACCTTCAGACAGTATAGGTGACAGCTGTGGTCTCTCACTCGGTATCTGGTCATTTTATTGTCACCAAACTTGGAAGTCCCTCAGGATAATTTTCCCTGTGATGATAGTCCTGACTAGATTGTTTCTGAATTCATCTTGTTCTTAATGTCTGCAGAATCTATGAATGTCAGTTGGAAAACATTTGCATGCATAATGCTTAACTACCATGTTGACAACTGTATATAAACACCTGCTTCAAAACAGCTTGTTAGTGTGTGTCTTTGAGGTTAGCCTAACAAAGACACTTAGGCGTACGGCGGTGTGCTGTTAGCATTATTTCTTCATGAAAATGAAAGAGGATTCAGCTAAATGTTTTCCTAACTATTTCCTCACTGATCAAAATGCTTCAAGAATCTGTGTAACAGATCATCTGAAGATGGTCAGTCCATTCAAGTCACCTTTGCTTACATTTGTGAAAAAGACCTCTTGCTACAGAACAGCCTAATCACATTGAGACTCTTCAAAATGTAAATTTCAGCTCACATCAAATGAAAAGAGATGAGAAGCTGATGGATGATTCCCAGAATGTCCTTGTGTTTGAATACAGAGAAATGACTACTGGACAAAAGCTCATGTCCAACAGAAATTTCTTTACCGTAGACAATAAACACCAAAACCAACTCTGACTTATTTTTATTTCCTCATACATTAAGTATTTGAAACACAACAGATGAACAGTGATACGCACACACACACACACACACACACACACACACACACACACACACACACACACACACACACTTTCACTCCTCCCCTCACCATTTTATCAAACCGGTATCGAACCTCAAAGTGAGAAAGCAGCAAATCACATTTACGGAAACCCGCAAGTGCAAAACTTTGAGTCATCAGCCTCTTTCACACTTCCTCCCCTGTTCTATTCATGAGACCCCCCCCCCCTTCTTACTTCCGTTTCTGTGAATTACCAGATTAAGGTAACAGTTTGACTCTGACGCATTTATAATACCTCCATTTCCTCAGGAGCCCCAATTTCACACAGGTTAGTCGGATGGTCAGTGTCTTGGCACATGCATTAAGGCTGGAAATCAAACATTATGTAAAAGATGACACAGTGGCATCATTTTTTTCAATCAGAAATCCCACGATAGTCTCCAACATTTTCTCTAATCACAGACGCCTTACATCCAACCACCAGCTCCTCCATTTTCCGTTCTTTGTGCTTCGCTCTGCTCTCCTAATGCCTTCATGTTTTCCTCTCCTAAACTCTGCTTTTCACGCACACAAACAGACAGATTTCAGGTAACTCCAACACAGTGTCTGTTCACCCGGTAACAGTGGATGAGTCAGACTCTGGTCCCACAGCAGCTAACTATGACGCATACCAGCACCTACACACACACACACACACACACACACATCAGAGCACACGCTCAGGAACATACACTGACAGCACACAAAACACACACACAATGTCTGTCTATGCAAAGTAAAAGCAAATCAAACGGTCTTGCGAGGCTTACAAACATGTATGAGAAATGGCACAATTGAGAGAAGAGTGACATTTTAATTTAGAGCTATTGATTATGTTTTGGCTCTTTTGCTTCTTTCATAAACACACACATATACACTATATTTACATAAAATGTACACAAGATGATCCCTGGAAATAATCATTTGCACAGATCCGCTCTATTACACACACTGTGTTCGATGTATGAAGGTTTTCTATGATAGTTCTGGGCTTAGGCTTTAAATAAGAGGTTCACTTAATAAGCAAGAGTTGAAAAGGACAACCAATGCTGAACCTTGCACACAACCAACTGACTAAATACAAATCTGTCAATCAGACAGAAGAAAATCTGGTTTATCGTCACTGAACTGACAAACAAATATTGCAAAATGTTGATCACCTTAGCTCCTTTAAATGTCCCTACCTGCTGTTTTGCTTGACTAAAGCATAATAACATTAGAGTACATGGACTATGTTTGGTTTTTATGTCTGAGCTCAAAAATTAAACTGGGATATCTTCAAAACTGGCTCTAAATCTGGAAGAGTTTATATTTTTTTAATCATTTCTCGAGGGGACGATCAGAAGATCAAACAGAAAATCTTTTACTTGAACTTTTGTAGCTGTGTTTATTTATTCATGTCACCTAGTATTCACTGTATCATCCACTGTATTTGTATTATTGCATTTATAGTATTCAGTATATTTATATAAGACTGCAAATTAGTCGAAGCTAGACGTCTTGTATGCATCTTATTTTCCATCTTTTGTGGCAATGTTGTACGTATTCTCCCTGTTAAATAAACATTAGATAAATTAATTAATAAATATGTCTTGTTGCTGTTTTTTTAGATTCAATCTAAAAAGACAAGGGGGCCCATCATAGACTTTAAAATCTGCCTTATAAAGTTCAAAACATTCTGAAGCTGACCCACCATGGGAAATGCATTCGCCCTGCTTTGAAACCACACTCACTCACACTTCTGTCACACATGCACTGACTGACCTATGAACTCAATAGCCTCCAGGAACCAGCAGCTGATGTCCTCTTTATGGTTATCCTCCACAGGGATACACTTGTACTGGTACGCCCCCTCAAAATGGTTCGGACAGTCGGCGGACACATTCAGCAAGGCGGAGATCCCGATGCTGTCCAGAACCTCTTTCTTTGAGGCGTGGAGGGCGCTGCCAAGGTAGAGGAACGGGAGGATCTCCACCGGCCCCCCCTGAACAAAAGACAGATGGGAGGAAGATGATTAATTTATGACATGGTTATGAATCAGCAGTGAAGAGGCAGATTTTCTGCTCCGAGGCACTTTGTCAATAATTCATCCGTTCGTTCGGTCAGTTCACTGAGTCACTGACAGAAGAATCACCTCCTACTCAGCCAGCCATCTTAAACACAGTCCAGCGAAACGAGAAACAGCTTATATCTAAAACAAAGAATTCACTGTCTGAGCAGAGGCCACGTACCGGATGACTTCAGCTGACCTCACTTAAATATCTTGTCAATCACATTATCAATACTTATCATTCATTTATCAAGAGTCGGTCCATATGATACATTGAGTTTGTTAGATCCAGTTTAAGGCGAGTGAGTTCACCATATGGAAACACATCTTGCTCTACAAGCTGCTGTCTCTGATGAGCTGACTAATGTTTACGTGAAGAAGGTGAAGAATTCAGCGTGAACGTTCTGATGATCCAGATTCATCAGTGAGCGTAACAGATTCATCTTCGTTGTTTTTATCAGCCATTTTGTCACGCTGCACAGATGACACCTGGTACTTTCTTGTTACGATGAGAAAAATATCTTCCACAGCGACATCTTTAGATGGCCAATTTAACTCTACATGGAGATACTCGCTTCTACAAATAACATTTACTTACATAAACTACAGTATTCGCAAAGGTGCAGTTTACAAACACATGATGTACAGTACATCAAATTACTGTGAGCTGAATGCTAAGGTCCAACAACATTATTACATTATGAAGAAGAAGGAAGTATCTCTGAGAACATGAAAATATAGAAGCTTGTGTTTCCCCTCTCTGAGTTTGAGACCTCAACAAATATCAACGTTGATAGAAAATATTGGCCAAGTTTTTACATACATTGTGGTATTTTATAATCATGAACAAATCTTTTCTCTTCCTTGAAACAGATTCTCAGGCCTAATCCAATGTTTTGTTTTTTACTGGCATGTCATAAAAATGATCAAATTTTTCCAGTTAGTGGCTAAGTTTTCCTACTTCTTTTTTTTAAATCATATTCTCAGGCCTGCTCTAATGAAGGAGTCCAAGTACTGTATCCCCTTTCAAAGGCTCTGAAGGGTCAGCTGAATGGCGGTCCATACCGGCAGTGAGATTTATTGACGAGGGCTCTGTCTGTTTATGTCATCACCGCTGACGACCTCAGTACTGACACAGCATCAGGAAACGATCGATACGGCTGAAAGATGTATAATGCGAAGAAGGGGAAGGAGGCTGAGAGAGAAAGTAGTAAATGAGACATCAAGCCAGGCACTCTGCTCCTGTCTAAGTTTCCTGCAACAGGAAACTACCTATTTGTGCCGGAAAAAATAACCTCCACCTGATAATGTGGGCAAGACAATCAAATGTTCTTTCCAAGAAACATACAGAGGCTGGATTGTCTGCGTCCCTCTCTCTCCTCGTGTGTTTCTCAGTAATTAGACTCACAGTACATGTGACTCTACACAGCAGATCACTGCCTGACAAAAACAAGGTAATCCAGGTTATAGGAAATGAATCAGCTGTGAGTTATGACCTTAAAAAACTAAGATATAAACAGGGTACATTGTGCGGTTTGGCCTCAGAGCTGGAGAAACCTCTGGCCACGCTGTCACCAGACTCACACTCCCAGGCTGAGAGGGGGAAACGGTTTAATGGACGCGGAATGACAGTTGGGTTGCAATGCAAACAACTTTCAGTGTTTGCTCATGGCAGCTATCTGTGTCAATAAGTAGAAACTGAAGCTGACTCCTACAGGATGTCAGTTTAAACAGCTGGTAGTTTCATTCACCGGCTGAATCGATCATTGAAGCAGAAAAGACACGATTTTGATCATCAGAAAACACTTATTTTTGGTGTAAACTGTGATAAACAAAAGAAGAGAAAAAGGAGACATTGCAGTTTGGTCTCATACCTTCTGGTATGTGTGCCTGAAACATTTTTTCGAACAATGACTGGCATGCACTCAGAAGCAGATTAAACATAAGCTACGTCAGGTCGACATCGATGACTTGGTTTAGTAAAGGTCACTCTTCCGGTGAGTTTTACCTGATCATGATGTGGTGTTCCACAGGACGAGCAGGCAGAGTCGATGCTGGACTGGCTGGTGAGGGACGGCAAGGATTTGGTCTTTAAACAATACTCTGGGTACTCTGTGAAAAACCTGTCGTAGCCACCTGGAAAAGAGGCACCGTGATCAAATACAGTTCTTCCCTTCGCTCTTCAGAGTATCATTCAATAAAATACTATCATAGGAAATCTTGTAATAAAACATGAGCTACTCATTCACTACTATGGACTGTTTGTTTGTGTGTGTGTGTGTGTGTGTGTGTGTGTGCGCGTGTGTGTAAGAGGCCACGGGTATTTAAAGACAGGAAGCATTGCGACCTACATGTACATCCAACACAATCTGCACCAGGATTTACTCCTCTGCGCTCAGTAACACAAAGTCTCTTAAACCGACCCCTGACCTACTCTGTCATGTATCTACAGCTGTGGATTGAAAACAGTTTCATCATCATCCTTCACTTTTTCATACATCTGCAGGCGGACAGCAGCTCTCTGCACCTCTGTGATCAATTCAGATTAACCAGGAAAAATGTCATCTTTACCGGCAACACACATACACTCCTGTGCTCCAAAGCGTCTGCGTCATTAGGATGCACAACACACACACAAAAAATAATGCGCCACAGCTTGCAGCAGCTTTGGTTTTCAGATTTCCTACACTCTAAATTTAGCCTGGTGGGTAATTCAAGTGTTGATTTTACATTTTACAGCTTCAAATAGTCAAAAGTGTTTTCTGCAGGGATCATGTGTGTCCCTGTGAGTCTCTCTGGTTTGAAGTGGCTTCTACGCATCAGCATTACCTCATTCACTCAGCTCATGGCCATTGGACTGTGTGTGAATGTGTGTAGCTGTAAGTGACTGAACATGTGTGTTTGTGTGTGTGTGTGTGTGTGTGTGTGTGTGTGTGTGTGTGTGTGTGTGTGTGTGTGTGTGTGTGTGTGTGTTGAAAAAGAATGGCAAAAATAGCAGGCACACATTTGGACATATATTTCCTACATTTATAACTGAGGATTAAAAAAATATTGAATATAATGTACAATGAAAGGGAAATACATAAAAACATGTTTGTAAAATAAAAATATGAACATTGGTCCAGAAAAGCTGCAGTCGTAACCATTTAAAGTAGGGTACTCATTCTATTAACACTATAATGATGTTTCGAATATGGATGTATTCTTAAACAGACTTAAATATGAGTCAGTGAGCCTTATTTAAATACATAAAAATGCTAAATGTTTTAGGTTATTTCCATTACATAGAAAGGGTCAGATTCCACAAAAATAAAAAATAAAAAATCTTTTTTGTTTTATTTTAAGACTTTAATATGAGTCAGTGAGCCTTATCAAAATAAAATACAAAAAAAATGATTTTAAGAATGGGCAACTAGTTATTACAAGCAGACTTGTATTGTTTAAAAAGGCTTTTAAATCAAATCCAATATTCAAACAATTTTCAAGGACTTATTCAGGGCCAAAGTCTAGCACTGCCTGACTATAGTGGTGTTGCTGAGTTTATTCTTTTTCTACATACATACAGATGACCCGAGTGTGTTCATGGACCTCGTATTTACCTTTAAGCAGGTATATGCGTGTGCCGGATGAGTCCCTGCACAGCGCGTTGAGCACCAGAGTCAGGGTGCTGTCCTCCTTCACTGTCTCCGAGTCCGGCGTCCTCTCATCGTACAGCACAACTGCGGAATACATCCCGGAGCGGACGCGGCCCCGGACCTCCTCGTCCCCTGCCAGTATCTGGTCCAGACTCAGCACGGAGCCCTTGGCTCTGCGGCGGACGATGGTGTTACAGCGGGCGTTCACTGCGCCGCGGATGTGCCCGGCGCTGAAGGCGAGGAAGGAGCGGCAGTCCAAGAGCAGACACTTGGCGCTGTCGTCCTTTAAGAGCCGCTTCACCACAGGACAGTCCATCTCACCCAGGTCCTCCATCGCACGTCGTTTCAGGCTGCGTATGTAGGCTTCACCGTCGTCTATCTCCTCTCTGCTTCCCTCTTTCTTCACGCACAGCCCTCGAACAAGGCGCGCGGATCCTGCGGTGGATTCCCTTTGCGCCTCTCCTCTATCTGCACATTGTAACCGCACTTGACGCTCAGTCCGGTCACCTCGTACTTTCTCCTTCTCCGAGTCTTCCTCCTCTAGGTTATTTCTTTTTTTTTCTCCGTTTTTTTTATGAATGGCTGCATAGCGTCATGGCGGAGGTGACGTCAACCGATACGAGCCAATCACACGGCGTTTCGTTTCCCGTCCCCTTTCCCTCCTCTGCCGTTCATTCATAAAAGAAAAGAAAAAACAGCCATCAATGAAACGAGAGGCGATAGGGAAATGAGATAAGACTCCGTGAGGCAAACAGGAGAGTTTGGCTCTTACTCATGAACACAGAGACTTTAGAAAAGAGCAGAATAAAGACGGTCCACAAAAACACCATAGACGTGAGTGACGATAAACAGTGTCCTTTTAGCTCCTGGCAGTTTTATTCAGGTGATTATTAACAAAATACGGACAGATTATTACAATTAATATTATCATTATTGAATTCAAATTACATTCAATAATTAAAATGCTGCTATTTAGCCATCTTTAGCTATCTCACATGTTTGGTTTGTTATGTTATGGCCAGAATTATGTTTTATATTTCACCCAAGTGGCAATTTCTGATCTTGAGAAATAAAATGGATTAGAAAGAGCTAAAAGCTGCAGTTCCTTGTATGTCCACTTGGAGCTGGTTGTAAAGCCACTGGAAACCACAGACACTCCTATTTAAAAACAAATGCTCACTTTTTAAGTAAATACAGTCATGTTTACAGTCTGGTCCAGAACAGTTTTGGTCAAAGTGGATAATTTCTTTATCAACACTATGTGGAAGGTCTTTTTGTTTGGATAAAGATTGCAGATTTGTGTAACTGTAGGAACAGCTGACTTAACTGACAAGCGAGCACACCCAACACATTCACACGCACAGTTGAGTCGAGCGACTAGAATACTGACGAATAGAATAACTGACAAACATGTCAGCCTTTGCTGTGGTAGGTGACAGCACGCACCCTTTCAGCTCATCACTATCAGAGTGTCTCCTGGTTGACGGGAAAAGACGTTAGCGAGAGGCTAACAGGATGCACACGGAACAATGAGAACACCATCAATTTGACAGCTCTGCTCTGATTGTTGGGAAAGTTTTGTCTCTTTTACATCTTTTCTTTCTCTGTTGAGGTTTTGTTTACAATTAGGCTTCCCAGAAACACATCCATGCTATTTAACTCAGGGCCCAGCAAGTACCGGAGTCTGTGCAGAACACTTAGACCGGTTTCAAATCGACCGAGCCGAATACATGACAGAGAAAAATAATCTCAAACCGCATCTCATGGTCTCATACTAGGTCTACTGAAAGTTAGGCTGAGTTAGTCCTGAGTTAGTCCAGTATAGTGACCATCATTGAGAGGTCTCAAAACTCCACAGCAGCAACTGATGGTGAGAGACGTATCAAACAGTCTATGATTTCACCTCTCTGATTAAACCATCCGGCATTTCTAGCAAAACTAAACATTATATGCTAATTTTCTACCTGATGAGTCACACAAAGCAGTGGGCAAAGGTGGCAAACATTTCAGCTATAACTTCAGAATTATTCGGTGTAAGTGTCGTAACATGAGCCCGACCAAAAAAATCAGCTTTTACACCTTTGAGCTAATGTAACTTCTGTCATCATGTTATTTAATTGAACACCCAAAACTGAATCATTACATATTTAAATTTTAATGTTAATATTTGACATTTTCTTTTATTGGAATCTTAATCAAAAATAAGAGCCTCAAACCCGACTCTTGGTGATTTTTGTAATTGAAGGCGTAGAGTCATCACGTCACCTCCTGACCGTTCCAGCTTGGCTGTAGTGCTGGACTGCAGGTGGGTGTGCTTGCGTACGTTCCCCCATAAACACTTGTGTGTGCATACGTCTGAGTGTGCATCTGTGTGTGGGTGTGTCATCCTACAAGCGGAAATGTAATTTGCATTTTCTATCACAGCCTTAGCGAGCGTGCTCAGGTATTTGCATGTTGATCTCATTTCCATGGTTACGAGAGGAAAGAGCAGCACCGCAGTAGATGAGAGGGGGGAAATGCAGACACCCGAGCTGAAGCAGACTGGCTGCAAGATAGGCAGACGTTCCTGTTGAAAGATAAACAGACTACATTAAAACAAAATTACCATTTTAATGCTGTATCACTCTCAGATTCATTACAAACGGGATTATGTTGGAAACTGCACAGCGTGTACGCACAGGACTCATTTGTTTTTCTGGATTTGTAGTATGGGTCAATTTTCAAAAAGGATAGATTCAGAGCCGTGAAGATTGAGGACAAAGGCCAAGTGAAAATAAAGTGTTCTGTAGCTAAACTACCTCAGTGATTCCCCAAGTCTTTTGAACTTTCTCAGAGATATGGACATCGTTTTTTTTAACACAGTTAAAACATTCACGAGAGCATTATCCAGCTAGCTAGTAAAATGAGATTTAAAAGCTGAAGAGACCTCCATCATTTTCTCCAAAACCATTAAAAAAACCACTTCTGCCCTGTGTCTTGAATTTGTAATTTGTAAAATGCAACTAAATACAATTTTGTGTCATAAGGTCAAACCACAATTAAAAGAAGGCACCTTGGTTGTAATAAGTGTGCATGTGAATTGTGTTTTCTGTAAGTAATCATAAGTGCAAATAGTTGGTAGCAGCACTGCAGCAAAAATAGAAAGACCTTGAACCTGAAGATATAGAGGTGAGATGGAAGATGACAGACACAAGAGAGTAGAAGAGGAAGCTAAAGTGAAGGATGAAGAGAGGGGAGGGAGGTGAGGAATGAGTGATTGGGTGAGACAAAAAGAGGTGATTGCCGCCTCTTGTGCCCCATATAAACATACATACACACATATACACCACGCAGCATTACTACCAACCCCAAACAATGCCTCACACAGGCGGGATGGTGCTGCTGCCGTAGCAACAAGGGAGAGGTGTGGGAGGGCGGAGAAAGCAGGCAGGAGGCTGTGAGTGGATTGGCTGGTTACAGACTCTGCACTGATGTCATCTCCCCCCCTCCTTTTTGCTCTCCCGTGTCCATCCATTCATCCCCTCACATCCTCTGCCTGCATGCCGTCATCCGTCAATACAGTGTAGGAGAGAGAGACAGAGAGTTACGGAGAAAAAGAGAGAGAGAGAGAAAAAGAGGGAGAAGATATTTTTATGAGAGCTTTGCACACATCACTGTTTGTAAATACTCACTCTCATCTTCAGACTTCTCCGTTTTCTTTCCCCAATCCCTCTCTCTGTCTCTTCTCTTGACCTTTTACACTCTCATTATCCTTTTTCTCCACAGTCTCGTCTTTTTTTTCCAATTTACAGGCAAGATTCATATTCATGTCATAAAATGCAATGCTACTATTTCATATCTGCCTACAAAAAAAACACAACATGGCCCCCTCAGAATCTGCTCAGCGTGCAGTAACATAATGAGGATGTCTCTGCAGTCATTACAAATATGAAACAGCACAGAAGCACAATTTGATATGCAGCAGCGAGCAGCAGTTAAAGAATATTAGCAACATTGCAAGGTCACAGCACAAGACGGGAACATACACAGACAGATGAACAGGAAGTTGCCGACAGCAAGGAGCAGCTTAAGGCTGCGGTTGAGTGGAAAGGCCCAGAGCGAGCATCTTTCAGAGAGTTGGTGGTTCACATCCCAGACTCTTCCTGTCTGCGTATTCTTTAGTGTCCTCGAGAAGTGTGTGTTTATTGCTGCCAAACAAAAGATAACACTCCTGTGTGGATGTTAGAACAGTCTGCTTACAGCTGTAAGTTTTGAGCTTTTTATGCTAATCTAATGCTAACCCTTCTTTCAATAGAAAGGTTCAGAAATCTGCCTTTAATGTTCTGCTGTTGAGAGTTAGACAAGAAGACAGATTTTACTTTGCCAACATGTTAAATCTCTGTTAAAGCTCCTCTAAGGAGTTTTTAGCTCGGGTGACCATATTCTGAACCCCCAAAAAGAGTCACACACAAAATTCTGAGGGTTCTTTGGGTCGGGTTGAGTGTTTTTTACGCGCTTCTAACTCAGTTAGTCCATGCTACACAAACTCAAAACTTCCATACAAAACCTCGGACATTTGAAGGATTTTATAAACTACCACCGAACAGGCCGAACAGCCGCCCAAAAGAGGACATATCCAGGTACAAAAAGGACATATGGTCACCCTATTTTAGCTGGTCATGAAACAATCTAAAATCAACACAGATGCCTCATTATGACCACCAAATGCAAACCAAACCATCAGCTATAAGATGTTAACCCTCCCAGAACCACCAAATTTTACTAGTTAATCTAACAAGATGTATCTAACCAACTCCTGTCGATTTCAACCTTCTCGTCTTCATTGTTTATGCACTTACTAAATGTCAAACCATCACCTGACTTCTAGATAAATACTTAAAATGAAATGTTCAATGACTGTTGTTTTTCTATCATATACAGTAGTCAATGCAGGCTTAGTGAGCTACTGCTGTTTTGTTTTCAAATTGCTGCTTACAGTGAGTACAAATAAAGTCCACAAGGCAGGATAATTAAAGCCACAACATAACACACACACACACACACACACACACACACACACACACACACACACACACACACACACACATAGAGGCTTGTCTGGTGTGCGTTTTATTCATGTGTTTATGTTCTAGATCTGTCCCTCTCTCTAATCCCATAATCCAGTGGTTAAGCCTTGACAGAGTGGTGCAACATTTTCATGAATGACTTTGTGTCATTTGTCATGTGTTTGTGTGAGTGTGCTGAGAGAGGCAGAGGGAGACAGACAGGGAAAGTGTGGCTAAGAGAAAAGGAAAAGTGAATATTTGAGCTAAACGGACTCAGAGGAGAGTGGCAAGAGTAAAGGGAACACGGCTGATATACACTTTAACTTTTCGAGTAAGGCAAGCAAATCATTAAAATATGTTCCACAAGACTTGAAACACATGAAATTATCGTACATTCATGTTCACTATATTCTAGTGTCAAAACAAAGAGACACAAAAAGGTGGAATTCCCTGGTTATTCACAAGAAAATAGTCAACTAGCATGGTAAAATCTGAAATCTGTTTAAAGCGCCTCATTATTTTAATGATAGTACGTGATCACAGGCAGCTAATGTCAAGTTCATTCAGTTTTGTTTGTTGGACTGGGCAGGTTAATCAGTAATAAAGCACTCATTCAGCAGCGTTCAGTCCAGTTTACTGAAAACTGTCCCACAAATGCAGGGTCATAGCACTCAGCCCCTCACTGTCTGGCCCTCACATGTACACCTATTGATCCCATACGCACACATGTAGCTACCCTGTCGTTTTCACTATTCCACGATACTATCCATGTGAAATAATCCTGTGTCGACTACTTCCTCATCAGCCTTCAGAGCAAACACAGCAGCGCTGATCGTCCTTGAACTCTGCTGAGGATGAACTTGAGTTTGTTTACATGGAACTCAATAATATTACATTTAAAAAGATCTGAAAAATCGCTGTTACAGCTTTGAAATTCTAAAAAAAGAGAAAACTTTTGAAATGATTTTTTAACATCAGTGTTTGTCTTTAATTAGAACCATTTGTGACGGTATTTTACTGTTAACAGTGTTGGCACCACACAGAGATACTTTATTCTAATTTCATCCTCAACATCATTACTTATTGATATCTTTGGACACGCCAACAGTATCGGAGAGGATCAGATGTTAACCAACATCCGGTAGCATCGAAAAAAGGTCGGCTGCAAACATTGGTTTACTGGAGTGGTTAAAATTGAGCATGTCTGTTTTTTTTGTGGGTAAGGTTGAGTGTGCTTCTGAATCAGTGCACTCCATGGACAGCTCGGGGTCAGTCTCAGGGCTGTATACGGCTGGAGTTTTGAAGTGAAGCGGGCAAGTAAGGAGAAAGAGTTGAGGGTGTCCTCCTTTTTTGGCTTCACACTGACGGAGGTGAAATAATGGACAGAAAGGAGGCAAATAAAAAGGCAAATCCAAAAACAAATCAAAATACTCTGTCTGAGTGTAACAGTAATGATACTTCAGGACCCTCTTAACAGAAGGAAGAGCATGGTTGACTTTTGGATGTATCCTCCAAACAGCCGAACATTGTGTCCGGATAAACTTGGGCCAAAAGGTACACAGATCTATCCTCGGCTCTGTCACGCTTTACCATGATTTGAATAGTCAAATCAGTACAGGATGGAAAGGTGAGATCATATTCAAACATATTCATATTTTATTCAAACAACTGAAACTCCTCACGTGGACAGAAAGACATCCCAGTACACTCTGTTTTCAAACTCCACAGCTGACATAAATATGTCTTTAGCAGCCTCTATGAAAACAGAAAAGAAGTCGATCATAAAAGCAAAGAGGAAGCTGAGGTTTGCATAGACCTTCCTGTCATAAATACTGTTTCCTAACATGGGCAGTCACACTGGCAGTCTGGGTAATATCCACTGACTGGTGGATAGTGTTGTGTTACAAGGATGAACCATGCAGATCAAACTATGGAAAAGATACAGCATAAAGGGACACTGCCAAATCTATAATATGCTTTCCCTTTTATATAGATATTTACTTTTGTATTTCTGTATGCCATCCCTTTATTTTCCTGACTCACATTAAATGCCGTGCTTGTAATGTTTGTTTTAGATGAGGATAAGATATCTGTGCATTGGCAGGTTGATGTTGTTAGATTATGCTCAACACTTTGGTGGAAATTAAAGTTTATACTTTGCAGAAAGGGTGTTGTCTTGTGCTGAAAGTTAAATACTGATATTTACTGTCAGGTCTGGCAACTTCTGTCTGAGACTATTTCAACTCAACAGACCGTTTGGCCTACATGGAGACCAGGACACCTTTGTTTGAACAATTTGGAGAACGCAACAAACCCGCTTGTGAAATATTCAGAAAATGTTCTTTTGATATCAGTGTGTGGTGGCCCTTGGACTTTCAGACCCAAACCCTTTACTTACTGATGGCAGAATACGTAACATGGTCTGGGAAAGGACATAATAGAGAAGAAACACAGTTTTTATTAAAGGCCGTTAACGTCAAGGAGAAGCTGTACAACTTTACAAAAATACCATCAATATACTACGTGGTTCAGGTGTGAAGAGCTTAGCTTCGATTCAAGAATGCTGGCCAGCTTCTCCTTATGAGGACTGTTCAGACTGTTCTGATAATCATTAATAGTTTCCTCATACAACCTCACAAAAAAGGAAAAAAGGATATCCATTTTAGCCCACTTATATCTGATTGGCCAAACCCTCTCATCCTCTCACTGGTTCCAAAGTCAAAGACTGAGTCCAGCCTTTATATCATGTTGGCAACACATTTTGTTCAGTCAAATTAGTGGAGCCTGGGGAAGTTAACACCCCAAGAAGTGACCATGTTTGAATCATAGGGAGGCAATGTGGAGGGGTGGCCCTTTCCTGTTCTGCACCAGGCTGTAAACTTGTATAAGTGGGCTGTAAAGTTGGGCACTTGTTTGAGGCCTGATGGAGACTGACTTGCTCTTGGAGCGAGCCTCAGTTAGTCACTTCCTTATCTGCCTCTTCCTTTAATGGATGCTATTCAGGGATAACTGGTGACGTTGTGTTTTGACCAGATTTTATTTTGGAATAAACTCAACAGACACAAGCTGATGTCGGCTTTGGAAGGGGGTCTTATATATGTGGATGTTGTTCCTCTTATATAAAGTTTACATTTACTTAAAGCTCCTGTGAGGAACTCTCTGCTTGTGTTAATTTTGGTGCCCCCAGTGGACAAAGTTGTCTTTGCAAAAAAATCTCATCAAATATATCATATATTATTAATATTTGATTTGAAACTATATAAAAACAGGAATGTGTTTCCAGCTCTTTGGCTGACACCATACCCCTTCACACTGGCTTCATGCATTAAAATGACAATATGCAAATTGCTAGTCTTGTCCCTGATAGTCCTGTTTGCTTTTGGGTACCATGAAAATTTTAACATAAAAAGAAACTCAACATAGTAGCTTTAATGTCATCAATTTTTCGTCAGCATTTGTGTTAATTACTGCTAAGCATTTAGTCTTCTTTACATTTGTAAGTGAAAGTTTTATGACTGAGAACTGTGAGAAGGATTTTTTGAAGATCACAAGGTATAGCAAGACTAGAGCATGACTTATGTGCGTGGGTGTGTTGGTTTAAGAGGAAATAGTGGAGCGTCAGTTATTTCGCATCCGTACTCTAACACATAAATCAGAATATATGGATCCATCCTTCAGTTTATAAGAACGTTTCATTCGCGAATCTGGAGGTAAAAAAACTGTACGCTGTGCTTTTCAGACACCCAGACAGCCTCACGCACCTAAATCCTCGTATGTCACTCTCCACGTCATCTCATGAGGCAAAGGTGAGTCTGACCTGACAAGTATGTTGACGTCATCAATCTGTCGAGTTTTTGTTTGGGGAAAATGTGACAGTGGCAGAATTGTGGTTACTAAGGCAACAAGCAGGGTAAATATGAATGGGGATGAAAGGTGGAGACAAACAAACTAATGTCGACACACTTATACCCAAGAACACGCGCATAGAGTACTTTTGCAGAACAAGTGAATAAAGAGAGATAAGGCATGCTGAACTCCCGCTGACCTGTGTCTCAGATGATTCGTTATTTTCCAGAGAACTCCACGAGAGGCAGCTGACCAGTGAGGAAGGATAAAAAGAGAGGACGGGGGAGAAGAGGAAGACAGGAGATGAATGGGGGAGGAACAGGAGGAAGTGGAGTGTCCTTGTTAATGTGACACTGTCACATTTAAGTGATTAAATTTCCCCTGTGAGTGTGTGTGTGTGCGTGTGAGTGAGTGAGTGAGTGCGTGTTTGTGTATGAGTGTATAGCCATGAGTCAATTGCCCAATTGCTTGACAGACAACATGACTTGAGTTACACAACACAGAACTGAAACACTTCCTTTCTCACCCCCCTCTGTGCCTGCTGGAGGCTCTGAATGAAACCCGGGACTCGAGGTGTCACCACAGTCTACCACAGTACAACACAGCAGTATGTGCCGCGTGATGTAACTTTGAACTCGTCCTTCTTGCTTCCTGTTCTCATGGAGTAAGAATACACAGCAGAGAAATCAGCATGGAGCATGTGCCGGAGATTGTTGCTAAACTTCCACCTTAACCTTGTGAAACCCCGAGGCCAATAAAACATTTTACACAACATCCTGCATTCATAGAAATCTGGATTTGTACATGTGAGTCCAAGACAGCATTTTCGATCACTCTGTAGGAAACATCAGCAAGAATCGGCAAGGCAAAATCAGCGAATAGGTAATAGATTGAAGGAGAAATTTATGTACGTCAAAAAGGCTGTCAAACATATATGGACTTTTTTAAATTTTTTAGTTTTTGAAGCAAACAATCACTGTGAGTGTGTTAAATTCATAAAACATCATGTAGGTGCATTACCTCACTGTGAATCAAACCCAATCTAGCTGGTTGCTTCTGGTCAGAAAAAGCAAATTGATCAAAAGCATCTTTTAAAACATAAATATTTGTGGAAAATAGGAATAAGCTCGTTGATTGCTGCTTAGAGTAATAGAGATCAAAGCTCTTTAACGAAGGGCAGCTATGCAGAACTGACGGTTAGAATATGAGTGTGCAGGAACCTTCATAGATGAACTGACCTTAACTATACATCAGTCTACACATTATTTTTCTCCTGTTTAAAAGCAGTTTGTTTTGAAAAATATGCTATACAAAAATAATAAATCAATGTTTACAAAGCATGATACAGAAAAATGATCCCCTGTTTGTTCATCAGTCAGTGTGGGTAAATGTGCCCGCTTATTGAAATACATAAATAATTGTTAAATCACAACTTCACAACTATACTACACAATAAATTTATCATACTAACTTTGGAGATAAAACATTTTGTGGGATTTTCATGGAGTATATAAACAGAAACCTATAAATCATATATTATACTCATGATTACTTATTAAGCAGCATTTTCTGCTTAGCTCATATTTAACAAAACAACGTTAAGATCACTGATTTATAAAGTCACTTGTAGACTGTAGCTCTCTATCAGAGGACAGTTCATATTGATCAATAGCGAGTTGTAGCGGTCAGTCTACCTTAGTATGGATCTCAGTTTGTGATCTTTCCCTAGAATATGAAAATATCTTTTATTCTTACTGTTTTTAAAAACTTAATAGCGGTTTTTGACAGATATTTCAGCCGAGCTAATTGGTCAAAAAATCCAAGAATAGAATTCCTACTTATTCCTAAAATGTTTATCATTCACTCATTTGCATTTTTAGTCTTGACTTTTTGGGAATGTATAAATAAATGCAACATTTTTTCACCTACGCTGCGTACCCAAACAGAGCGTGTTACTTATTTATGTCTAGCAGTGTTTATTTCTATGTATGTGGGCTGCTTCCTAAGATGGGTATCTCGACATGAAAACATGTGCCAAGTACAAGGTAGGTGGGGAATCGGGCTTGTAGCTGGAAGAAAACCAGTTTGGATTCAGGATAAGAAAGTGAGGAGGGATCTACACAGTCGAGTATCTGATGCCAGCTTTTTTATTTTGGTTTCTCTGATTCAGACTCTCAGCTCATTCTGCCTTCTTAGGATAAAAAATAAACACAGAAATCAACCGAGGTGACAACCAGCAAGCCTACGCCTGCATATATCTAGAACTCCTGCAAGTGGACAACAGTTCTGGTTCTGGTTCGACTGTTCAGAATATTTATGATAGTTGTGCTTGGATAACAAGATTGTGTTAAACATTTGTGTGAGATTACAGATTGGACAAGTCGAAATAGAGTAAACCTTGGAGGATTCGCCCAGAGCTCTCTGGTGTGTTGATCTATCTGAGTTGCTCTTTTCTGCTTCCGAGCAGACTGTTTTTTCATTACAGATGTAAGGGTCGAGTCTCTTATACTGGACCTTTAAGCTAGTCTAATTGTGTTGTGGCTGATATGACATGATATTTTGCTCTTTTAAAGTAAACTACATTATCCACAGTGACTCTTCCATTGCTATTCATTGTCTGTTAATGCTGCAAGCAATGCTGCCCATGCCCTTTGCTGTAACACCCTGACTTAAAATAACCAACTCTGGGTAAAGAGCAGCTTTTAGGCTGTTACATGAACTTACATAATTTGAGGGTGGCCCTCTTTCTGGGTACCATGTCACCATGTCAGGTACTGTATTTACCCTCTTACTGGCTCTAAATGTAGCTGCAGAGAAATGCCTCTTGCTTCAAAAGGTTTCCCATGATTTATGCCTCAAGCAAAGGCACAGAATCAAGGGGTAGCCGGGAAACAATAATATTTTGAGGCATGTGTGTCATTCCTTGCCCCCTACTGGGAGTATATCCCATATTTGAGATCACCTTGTTTATTAAATTTAGGGAAGCCACTCTAAGAACTCTTAGGTTATTTTTTCAACCCAATTCCTGGGTTAAACATGTTGAGTTAAAGTTCTGGGTATATTTCCAATTTCGTTTTATAATGTTTGTATAATGACAATATAGATCATTCTATTATATTCTATTTTTCTGATCTATACCCATTTCTTGGGTCATATGGATTCTATTGCAACCAAATTTCAATGGGTTAATAATTATGGGTTATTTTTCTGAGTAACCCAATAACTGGGTCAGAACATTGGATTCAATTGACTCTACCCAAGTTGGGTTGTTGGAGGAGGTAACAGACGAAGGACCATAAGCTTTTTTAGAGTGCAGTATTAAAAGTAATCATTCTCAGGTTTTGAAACCCTCAGACAAAGAAGATGCCAAAACGCCTAAAATTCACTGGAACTTGGTCCAACCTCCAGTCATTTTATCTTTCAGCCGATTAACGACAAGTATATTCTTCAGTTCTGAGGAAAATGCACTTTCATTGTTGTGTAAGTGTTGGTGTAACTCCCTGTGGTCCCTCTACTGTTATCTCCTCTAACCATGGAAAGACAAACATCTCCCTCAACACTCCCACTCAGATCAATTCCAAGGAAAGAACAGCATGAAGCACTGACTCAACCCAACACTCTCGTAAGTGTGAGGGTTGACTGTGGTTGTTACTGCAGTAGGACTGATACGGCCACGAAAACATGCCCATGCAGGACATGGACACCACATTATCCTACGTGTCATAACATTTCATTTCTTTCAGTATGCGGCGGCACAAATCTCTTTTTTAAAGTGTGATCCTGTGGAGTGTGGCTTTTATATGTCAGCTATTAGATGATTAATGAACAGCTCATCTAAGGACATGATCATGTAACTCAGGATTTCATTAAAATCTCTATAGAGAAGAATAAAAGTGTTATCAAAGTTTAGCTTTCTTTACGTGAAACTACCAAAACCTTGAAGTCCCAAACAAATCAAGTTACTTTATAACAATTATTCCATCTGCATTTTGAATGAGGCTGTTGTGATTATGCAAAATTACTTGTTTTGTGCCCTTGTGATAAATAACCAAGTTAGTCTGTTTGCAAGAATAAGACTTTATATTTTTCCACCATAAATTTCACTTGAGGTTGCTTCAAAGTAAATTTTAAAGTAAGGCTTTCTGTAAATTTAAAGCTCCTGCAAGGAGTTGTTTTATACATTAATGAAATGGGCTGATATTCATATTGATGCTTTTTCATGATATCCAAAAGCAAACATGACCACAAGTAACAAGACTGAGGACTTGAATGATGTTCATTATGTCTTTAGTTTCTTAGAAATAGTTTTTTTTTTCCTTCATCTCAGCCATGTCATCTTTTTTATGTACCTTACAACTTCCATCTTCCTCAGAAGTACCATTCATCAAAAAATTTTGACAAGTGACACTTCTGAGGGTCACGCCTTCGTAACACCAGCTGATAAGACACGTCACACCTACCACCAAGTGACACTTCTGAGGAAGGCAGAGGTTTCCGCCGAAACATGTCAAGATGCGTGAAAAAGATAACATGTCTGAGATAAAGGGAAAAAAGAAATCTATTTCTAAGACTGAGGAGTTTTAAATGCACGTTTTTAATGGCTGAACTGGTGTGAGGGGGGTGGGTGTCAGCTCAGCAGCTAAAGCCAAAGCTCTGGTTTTACAATCCTCACACAGAAGTCAGCAGGAGGGGATTTTGTGTCTGAGGTCGCTACTCTGACAACCCTGTCCACAGGGGGCGCCAAAGATGACACATACTAAAAGTTTCTCACAGGACCTTTAAAGGAGACCTATTACACTTCACCTTATATCGTATCAGTAAGAAACATCTATAGAGAGGCTCTGAATTATATACTAATCTTGTTTTATATTATCTCATACAAACTTCCATAAATCTGTAATTTCAGCACTTTTCAGCTGCTCCCTGAAACATTCATTTTGGCTGCTTTTCCAGTGGTATAAAATTAGACTGATAAGTCTGGTAACGAAGTGATCATTAGCGATGTGGGGAGCACAAAGAGCTATACTGTTGTCCCATAAACATGTTTTCTGGTGGCTTTGTCTTTGGATGGAGACTTTAACTCTCAACCAAAAAAACAAGCAATTTTTCAACACACTGAGTCAAAATAAATAAATAAATAAATAAGAGTACAAGAAACACATCAACAGGGAAATATTTTCAGTGTCAGGGTGGGAATTTTTTTGACAGGGCAGCAGAGTGGGCTTGTTCCGCTTCTCAAAAAGGAGCCATTTAAGAGAAAATACACCCAGCTTTCGATGATCACACATCTTCCCATCTTGATTATATCCAAAATAACTTCTGGCTGTAGTAATCTGAATAAATCTGCTTGTGAATGAACAGTTAGATTATCCGTGTGTAAGTCATGGCGTGAAGTGAAAGAATGAATAATAGAAATGCAGCCTGACCTTCTTAATTCAAACAGTGTGAGCATGGCTAAAGCTGTAGAGAAACAGACCTGCTATTGTTGTCTCTATAACTGAGTGTGTTGGGCTGCCAGCTTCCCTAACAGCTGAGGATAAACACGCTGAGCTCTCTAACACCAAGCTAACCACACAGTTTGGACTGAGAATGCAGCAGCGTCCCTGTCTGCTGGGCTGCATGCTCCGAGTTTCTGCTCGAGTGTGAACGAACACACCTGTCAATGATGAATCACATTTCTGATAGTTCAGGAACTGACCAAATATTTTGTCCAACTAAAGTCAGAAACAAATCAGGAGCAATCAGTAATCCTAATGAATGCTATCATTATTGGAAACATTTATTATTTTATTATCATACGATGCTGCTATAAATTACATATACTGTATTTTTGCAAACTCGACTGTAAACAAATAATAGTGACTAATAGTGCTTTGTGGTGCTTCCTCTGAGACAAGTTTCTAAGGATTTGATGCTTTAAGAGCTAAAATAGATTCTGGATTGTTAACACCCAGCAGATCCCAACAGTTAAAATAACATGGTGAGGCATCTATGAAGACAAAGGCAGATAGATGCTGTTAACATCAACACCTACTTAAATCAATCAATTATCCAATCATTGAATCAAATTCTTGTAGAACACTCAACACTAAGCAATGTGATTTTTTGACAACCTGTATTCTGTATTCTGTCTGATCTTATTCACAGAGAACCATCAATGATTTGCTCTGAACAGACATTTTGCACTTTTAACAAGGTCAAACTTTTTTTAATGCTGGCCTAACAGCCGTTGATGGTTTGACTCGAGGCTGCAATTCTTGAATCAATCAACCAATCAATCAATCTTCATCTATGTAGCCCTAAATCACAACAAATATTATCTCAAGATGCTTTCCATAAAGAGCAGGACCGTATCATGCTTTCATTTATACAAGGACCCAACACCAAGATAGAATAAGACTCAGTCGCACCTTAAAGGCCGAACTTAGTCGGAACCAGATTTATGTTTAACAGCCATCTGCCATGACATTGTTGGGTTTGAACAAACAGTTACAATCCTAATAACAGTGTTAAAAGTATGTTCAGGTGCTGCAAATTAATCATAAAAGACAGATTTTAATATTTATAACAGTTCAAGTTAGTAGTACTTATTATAGCACATTATAGCACAGGACAGTTAATCGAGCTATAACCTTTGCTTAGCTGAACTGTGCATGGAAACGTACTGACTGAGGCTGACGAGGGACGAGGGAGATCAGTGACTGATGGGTGGGTTACATAGCAGCCTCAACTGTCAGCAAACAAAATTTAAATAAGAATAAAACTAACATCAGCTTGTAGAGTGGTATGAGTAATCAAACCACTCATATTCAAAATAAAATACAGTGCCGATGTTTGACGTAATGAAGAAACATTTCGTCCAGTAAAAAGAGTTTGCTTCATGATTGTTGTAGTTTCTGTGGATGTCACTGAAATAGAGGAATATGATGATCAGACTTTGCACACACAGACAGTACTTGTCAGTGGAACCTATTCTCTGATGGCTCAGGACTTTTATAACGGGGTGTATTGAAAGTAGAGCAAACACAGCATTGTGACATGTAGAAATGTAACTATCAAAATTACTAACAAAACCAAAGAGCAGCTCTTAAAACAGGCTCCTGAACAGTTTTACTCCACAAACATCCAGGTTGTTGCTAAAATTTGCATCAACCTCTCCACCCCTCCTCTTTCCCAACCTTTCCCCTCCTCTCATTCCTGCCCTTCTCCCTTCCCTCTTCCTTGTCCTTCCAGTTCCACCTCTTCTGTGTCTCCCCTTCCAAACAGACGTCACTTGAGACGAGGCCATTATTTCGCCAGCTAAAAACAGGTCAAGTGTTGTTCCGTGATGTTGAAATTAATGGCTGCAGTCCCACAGAGAAGAGAGGGGGAGGGATGGAAGGATGGAGGGGGGGGCAATATGTGACACAGAAGAGGAGGAGGAGGAGGACGACGAGAACGAGGAAGTGTGTAAGAGCCAGAGTGAGAGATTGTCCGTGAAGGAGGGAGGAGGAGTGTTTTCACTTCACTGTACTCCCATCCACTCATCTGACCCCCCTGTTTCCTATTCATCTCTCAGACTAGAAGAGCAGCATCACGAATCAACACTTCATTTAAATTGTGCAATTATAATGAGATTCACAAGAGGATGGCAGCTTGTCCAGAAATGGCATCAGTGTCAACACAGCGTCTGCAGTTTGAGAAGTAGCAGCTGTTTTTGTTCTACTTTACCAAAAATAATTAAATTTGAAGTGTGTGATTGAAGAATCTGTTCAGTGTCCTTTTGTTTCAACAAGATTACTCCCACTGTATATGACTCAAAATCTCTTTCACTCTGGACAGACTGTTACATTGTGGACATGGAGGAGTTTCAATTTCAAGTCTATGAGAGTCATGTAAATGATGAGATAAAACAAACATCATCTAAAAAGGAAGTTATATCAGTAAGATTAAGACATGTGCAATCATGGTTCAGTTTGTTCCAAATCCTGTTTTTATCAGGTTAAATGGAAATTACATTCCTAGTAATACTAGGGTTGGTCATCTTCCAGTGATAGGGTTGGGGGTTCAATCTCAGGTCCTGCTGTCCACATGCCACAGTGTCCATGAACACTTGGACTGCACACAGCTAGATTTGGGAGTAAGGTCTCGTTTTGCCTTTTTTCTTCTAAGATTGTGTCGTGTTTGATTTAAGAGATGCTGTTTGGTCTGTTGAGGAAACTGAGAAAGGTTTTTTGTTTGTAAGTAGCTCATGCCATAACTTATCTGAAATATTTGCATGTTAGATGCTTAAAGGAGTTGTTAGCCTGTTGCAGATGAGTTTAATTTTAAATTCCATTGAATTAAAAAGTAAAAAGTCTTATTCCTTCATGTTTGACATGTCCTCTGTCTTAGGAAAATCATGCCATAATCCTTACAGTTAAATAAGGTTTATAAAATCATATATATATAGGTTTATCCAAACATATATATGTCCAGTCATTGTAGCTTGTTGCTAACTGCTGCATTATCATATACTTCCTCAATACTTCGAAGGAAGTTCCTTCATAATATATGAAGCCTGGCAATCTGAAATTTCCCTGATACTACAGTGTTATTGACAACCAGCTTCTGGTTCATTTCTCAAAGACGTCAAATAGTGTTTCCTGCTGAAAATGCTCTTTTCCGTATTTTGTTCCAGCCGCTCTGTGCTCCTCGGGCTCTGCGGCGAATCTGAGCAGCAGCAGCAGCAGCAGCAGAGTTCAGCAGCTTCAGCCAAAGATAAATGAGACAATTAAACAGTACTTGATGGCACCTCAGTGACTAATGGCTTTTCCTTCCTGCTTGTCTTAGCACAGACAAACAGAAGTAAGCAACAAGGAGTGTGTGCGCCGCACTGACAGACACATGTTCGTGTTTGTGAAAGAGACGGTTTCTCTGTGTGTGTTTGAGTGTGGGTGGGAGGTTTGTCAAAGGTGTTTTCACTGAACATAGACAAACACACCAAGGCAATAAAAACAATCAGGAGTTATTACCAGGTGATGTGTTGAAGGAGAAAGGCTGCACTGTCTCATGAATAACATCCACAGTTATATGTCTGGATTTATTATTAAATATTAGATCTTCATCCAAAACTGAGGAAGAGACAGTATGTAGAGGAAAATAACTGTGTGTTGGCTCATGCCTGACTGTGTTATTTAAAGACACGGTGGTTGGATAAGAGACATTCAGCTACAACTGTTATCTCATGGACTGGACTTGAAGTACCTTAAAGTTTCTATAAATATGACACACACTCTTTGTAAAAACTATAATGTGTGTGAGTGGATGTGACTGTCCTAGCATTTGCATGTAGCAGTGGTAGGGGAAGGGTTGGGGGGTACATTGTCCAGCCCTTACTTCCTGTTGTATACTGTGAAAAGCCATCAGAAGACTCGGAGAGAACAGACAGGACAGTCATGTGGTAATTAGCTCTGCTCATTAAAGCTGACCTCAGGCTTTGTTCTGCCATCTGTATACACTGTCCTACCTCCTGTGAGATGTGTGTGTGTGAGACTAACCTAAACTCAAGTGTAGCCTAAATTCAGTTTTCATGTTTGATTGGCCCCTTCTTTAAACTTCTGATGGACATAAATGAAGTCTAATGTCCATCCTTCAAAAAGAATTGATCTAGGAAAAAGTTTTTTTGGGGTAATTTTTTTTATTCTTTGTGTTTTTTTGGACTATTTTTTTCCTTCTGTTTTTTTGCACTATTATTTTTCCCCTCTTTCTGTTTTTCAGATTAATTTTTATTCTGTTTTGCGTACAATTTTTTTTTGTCTTTCTGTTTTTCAGACTTTTTTCCCCTAACTAAGCGAGTTACTTCAAAATCCTGCTATAATCTCATATAATCAGATAACGTTAATCACTGCGGCTGCTCCAAATCAGCGGATTCTCCAGCTCCTATAAAACTTTGACGACGGGGTCAATGAGAGTAAGGCATAATATTAATTAAACAAAGGGTATGAAAATCCTGAGGTGCCTGCGCAAAGTAGACAAACTTAGGACGATTCCATCATCTGACTTCAAGAAAGGAGTATCTCAGTGTCTCTAAACTAAACAGGTGGGCCATGTTTGCACCTGATAAATCAAGCAGAGGGGGATGAAATCGTCTGTTTTTATATGATCATGATCCCAGAGGATAGGAAAAACAATTAGTTTGAAAAACAAAACAAAACAAACAAAAAAAAAGTCTACAAAAAAAAATACTATGAAAAACAGAAAAAAAAACTGTCCGAAGAACAGAACAGAAAAACATTAAAATTGTGTGAATGCAACATGCTTCTGTACTCCATGTTATCTGTTCCAGCAGCATTACTCTATACTTACACATCTTAAATTTCATTTATTGGAATTGTGTTGTTATTCTGTGCTTCTGTCTATTGTGACCACCTACAAACTAAAGCCACATGTGCATGATGGTAGATTATACTGAGTTAAGAGTCATGTGCATTTAATGAACATTTAAACTCCTACTCGATTCTTATTTACAGGTATGAAGTGGCTCTTTACATCCAGGTGTGGGAAAATATCCATATTTTGCACATCAAATTCTTAGAATTCAAGAACATTACAAGCAAAGGAGCAAATTCACTAGACCTTTGTTTAAGGGATACACAGTCAGCTGATTGAATCACGTTATAAAATGTGAAGGGGCGCACAGATGGCTGGTTTGTCCTTGAATTCAACCAAAAATTCCACATAAAATGCTGATCTGTTCATCAGATGACCCACAATTCTCTAGAGCAGACATTGTGCTCTAATTTAATCAGTCCAGGTACAATACATTCATTTAGGTTATAATGCAAACATGCTAAGTTATGAAAAATGCTCAATTTCCTGTTTTAAATGGACTCAGGATTTCTTTATGTCTTAGACTGAGCAGTTATCAGGTGACTCTAGACGTAGTGGAGCTACTTTACGGTATATTTTTGAATATAAAAATGCACCAGGACAAACATTTACTCAGTTATTTAAGTTTTAAGGATCAACTGACATAGTAGACGCCCAAATAAATTAAATATTAGAGGATTCACTGTAAGAGAAAAGTGCTGGGAGAGCAATGACTCACTCTGTTCCCAAGAACCCCGTTTTCTGCCTCAGTCTGTGTGAAGTGAGATCTCTGTATGTGCGAGTGTGAGCGAGAAACAGACATGGAATGAGTAAGTGAGAAAAATGCATGTCTGCGTCTTAATTTAGTGTGAATGAGAGGAAGAATTGGAGTGTGTGTGTGTTTGTGTGTGTGTGTGTTTGTGTGTGTGAGCGGCTCTGCAGGACAAAAGCATCTTTCTGAGACACATGCCTATAGCTGATTATGCGGAGAGCAGACAGCATTATTAACATGTTTGAGTGTTCAACCCTCCAGGCTTCTTCATTCACAGAATACATTCAGACTGCCCATATGTTTGCTGCTGGGTAATATAACGGACGGTGTATAAAAGATGCATTTCTGTGACTCAGTGCCTCCTCCTCACCAAAACCGTCCTTAACAATAAAGGTAAAAAGACTTGAATTGAGTTTTACTACATTATAGAATAAATATATTTTAAATTGGACAGTTTAATTCTTGCTTTGAATAAAATAGCATGTATTATTCAAGAATTTAAAGAGAGAGGACAGTTTTTTTTCTTAAAAAGCAGTAAGATAGCTTTAAATAAGATAACAGTGTTTTAATTCATAAAAAAGAGCAAAAGGCAAAAATGAGAGAAAAGTGGTGTAAAAATATGTCAGAGTTTTTATTTCTTAATTTTTTGGGGTCCTTGAATCATCCAACCTTTTGTCTACAGTATGTTAATAGCTGTCACCAATTCACTCGGAAAAGGGCGTCACTTACTTCTAAATGTGAACAAAAGCAACTACAGCGAATCCAAATGTCACTTTTGTTTTTACTAAAACATAACACACAGGAAATGTTGTCAGACACACAACATAACGGTTAACAGTTTCCAGCAGTGGTGTACGTTGGACTCCATTAAAAGAAAGTAAGACTCTGGCTCTAACATTTAACATCTGACATTAAGAAAACAACACTTAAACGTGAACAAAAGACAAAAGCACAGTACACAAAATATAAAACAACATACTGAATATGATTTACCTTTGATTATCAATAAATAAGTGTACACTAAAATCAATCACTGTGGCATAAATTCATGACTAAAAATGAGATCTGTTTATGATTCATGTTTTCTAAAAATGATTAATCCCCCTAAGGTTATTCAAGATATTGGCATGAGCTCTAAGATGCCCTATTATTGCTAGCATGTGATTCAGCGGTGCATGTGTCATTGCCACCTGCTGTCAGAAATTACCAGGTTGTGTGTGTGTGTGTGTTTGTTTGTCCTGCATGTGTGAGACTTGCATACGAAAAGAAAGCAAGTCAGTGTCTGGATGATGAACCGTTGCTAAGCAGTTGTGGTTGCTAGGTGGTGGTGGGGGTGGGGCACAGGTTTGGCGAGTGATGAAATCTGAGGGTTTACCTCTGCATGCTGCGTGCACGTGTGTCTCCACAGAGTTATTTCGTTTGAATCGTGATCCCACAGTGTTTGGAAAACCTTAATCTCTACAACATAGGAGCTGCCTTTTTAAAGGTCGTTTCAAGTTCTGTTTACAACAAATACCAAAACACAGATAGCAATAATGAAGGTCAACTAAAATCTGGTGTCTTATGACTGGATCATTGAGGAAGTTTTGCTGTTAATCTATTTTGGAGTGGAATAAATGGCTCACTTAAATACAGACCACAAAAGCTGCTTTAAGTGTCAGATTGAACACTGGAAGAATGAGTCATACCGGTTTTTCCTCTGTTGCAGATTCATCAAGCGAAGCTGCAGAGTATCTGGCAGTGGAACACAGAGAAACCCGCACTTCTTGGCTTCCCCTCCCTCAACGATTACTGTATTAAACACAGCGGGGGGAAGCCTCACAGTTTGCTGGCTTCCCTTTGTGTCTCCACATATTTTTCAGCTTTTTCTGCACATTCTAGAGAGGCACCATGTTTTCAGCTGCAGATTTCAGTTTGCATACTATGTTGTTTTTTGTTTTCTCCTCTACCTTATTAGCAGGTGCGTCACTAAGCATACTGTGCATCTCTAGCTGCTGTGGCTCCTGTCAGATTTGCTCTGATCCAGTCGGCTGAAGGAGACGGTTGGGGTGTTGATGGGGCGAGACACAGGCAGCCATTTATACTCCAGGTCTTGTGATGGAGGATCCAAACACCAGTTGTAGTGCTTTAGCAGGTACATACAGGCTTCCTGGTAGGAAAAAAGGAAGGAACTGTTTAGCAAACACACTGTCCATGGTATCTCTGAGCCTTTGCACCACTCTCTCTGCATAACAGACTAAATATAGTTATAGGGTTGGGGGCAGGGCAGATGATCACTTCATAGTTTGCAAAAACAAAATGTTCCACAGGATCGCTCTTGGCAGAAGAGAGACTTTGCAAACACTGAATATGACTCGCACTTGTAAAGCTGCAGCCTCCCTAAATAATCTCCATGTTGATTGGAATTTTGTTTCAGGTTTGAAAATAGAGATGCAACACAACACCTTTAAGAAGAAAAAGACTTTAATCAAAAACATTAAAAAATATTTGTGCATGTTTCCACATATAGGAAAGCTCAATAACAAACATGCACCATTCTCAGTTTTCAGCACATCGTCACCCGCTCATATCACTCTGCTTCCTGCTCAGGCTTTTTCTCACTATAACCTCGACAACAAGACAGGAGACAAATGAGACTCCGATCCATTTTACTTCACATACTAACTACACTCAGAGCATCATGCCTGGTGAGATCGCATTAGCCACTGCCATTGGCTGACAATCTTGCCACAGATTCGACCAATCCGACCCACTAGTGACAGCCAGTTGCTCCGCCTTCCCCCATTTTATGAATGAAGATTCTCATGATAGAGTGGGAGGGGGTGGATGAATGAACCTGACAGAGGAAGGGGGGACAGAAGGAAATGGAGGAAGGATGATAATGAAGGGGGTGGGAGGAAGGGAAAAAGGGGAAGGAGGAAGCAAGAAGGCGATGAGTCACATCTCTGACCCAGATCCCCGCGGTCTACTTTTTACCCTGGTCACGCCCTTGTGTGTGTGTGTGTGCGTGTGTGTGCATGTGGTGGTATGCACGAGTGGTCAGTCTACTGAGAGCAAACCAGATACATCTTAAACAGCCAAGTAGCTCGGCTGTAGGAGGTCAGGTTACAACGAAAAGGGTGGTTCAATGCATCATTGTTAGAAAATGAACAAAGAGATGGAGGCTGTGCAGGTTTCTGAGTGCTGGGTTTGTTGAAAGTCTTAATGCAGGAGAGGAAAAAACTGGACAAGAGCTCAAGAACTCGAACACTGTTATTAGTTGACAGGTGACCGGCCTGTGTCAGTGAAAATGAAAATTTAATCCACAGATGACCCGGATGACACATATGTACCACAAAAAAAACCCAGCATCTGATTCAAACAACCATTTTTTTTTTATACTGAAGTAGTTTTATTTTGGTATAGTTGGTGTTTTTCACGTTTTATCAGTCTTTCGTCAACACTGTTGAAGCTCTTTTTTGAGTGGATCGGTACCCTGTCCAAGTTTTTGAAAGTAATTCTATTTATTTTTTATCAAGATCAGAGAAAACTTATTCAGAGTCGTGTAAAACTAAAATGATTCTTGAATATAAATACCTGAAAATAAGTTAAGAATTGGAAAAATGCAAAACTGTGACTTTAACCTGCAGTTAAAATGAACTTCTTTAGCGATGAACACTTGCACATCAATTAGCACTATAACTAACTATAGAGACGTGTATTTTAACTATATAGATGGATCTGTGCTGGAGCCAGTCCAGAAGGAGAACTCTAGACCTTTATGCTTCACTTTTAGGGACCACTTGTGGTGCCTGTTTTTATCGTCTTTTGCTCATAGTGATTACTTGCGATTACTAGCTGTTAAATAACCCATTTTATCTGTTTGTCTGACTCAACGGATACGAACTGCTGAGATAAGCTTCCCATTGGCTGACAAGCACAATCTGCTTCCTTCCCTCTGCTCCATCATCCATTATTTCCTGTCATGTCCATCGAGAAAAAACAACACTGAGCAGTTGACACAGCAATATTAGAAGAAATAAGATGACAGGGGAGCATAACCTGACAATTGATGAGAGTAAAGACTGAGGAAAAAACAGCCAATCGGAGCACATCCGCTGAGTAAGTCTTCACTCTTGCAAAAGCTGGCCCTGGATTAAGGGATCCAGGAATCACAAGAATCAGCAAACAGCCAAATTTTCCTTTAAAAAAGTAAAAGCAAAATATTTTCAGCCTGTTTTATTCATAACCTAAACTGGGTGACTAAAAATAAGGTGACAGAATCAGTGGGCATTCCAGCTGTGGGGTACAAATTAAAGGGGAGCTTCAATATTTTTCAACCTGGGCCTTATTTTCCCAGCGCGTGACTGATGGGGAGAACGGTTTCTGAAATTGGTCCAGGGTTGAAGGAGAGCGGAGCAGCTGGCAGCTGTGAAACGAGCTAAAATGTAGTTCGACCGAGCAATTATGCATCGTCAAACTGAGTCCACTACAAGTGCTTTACTACACCGCTGACAGGCTCAGATTGTTATTACAAGTCCTGAGAACTGAGTGGCAAGGGTTTCCCTTACCTTCCACTTTTGTCCTTTTTAGAGTCCACCTAAGCCAGGGATCCATTTCTTTTTTTTGTTCATCTAACTTTTAAAACTTTGAAAGCCTTCTCTGTCAGTATTGTAAACTGTATTTGTTCTGTGTGAGAAAGAGAGGTGTTACACGAAGGTTGTCTAAAAGTTGGCAGCCAGTTGCAAAAGTTTCCAATAAAAACCTCTGAAATCCACCGTCTCAGTGTTTGTTTTTAAGACGGTGTCATCCCCGAATTCTCCTGTGTCAGAGCTCACATGGCACCCACACACACACACAGCTGTTCTCAGAGGGAACATCTTCACAAGGGAAATAAACCTTCTATCTCCTTCCTGTTATCACACCTGTAACACACCTGTCTCTTTCTGCTGCCTCCCGCAGGCCTTGCATGCACGTGCGCCTGTTAGTCTTTGTGTCTCTGGAGTGTGTAGGAAAAGTTTGCTATGGTGAGCAGTGCCGTGGAGACTGATAGGTGCTTTAAACAGGACAGTCTGTACCTGGGCTCTTTGGCGCCCTGTGTGAGATCTCTATTTAACATATGTACGAAGACACAGCGAAGCGTTTCATCATATCCACGAGCATTTCCCTCCTAAAAGACTGATTGGTTCGTCTCTCCCTGTCTGTCATTGTTGGTCTTTTGTTGAATTAACAGGATTTGAAACTTAAGATAAGATAAGATAAGATACTCCTTTATTAGTCCCACAAGGGGAAATTCCCAATTTACAGTCCATCCCTTCCAAGAAACATACAGTAGACAGACACATACGGGGGGACAGGAACAGGAGAGCTGTTGGGTCAAAGCAGACCGGCGCTCCTTTTTCTTAGATGAGAAAAAAGGAGAACATGAGGGAGGCAGAGGGCAAAAAAAGGCAACTCCAGACCCTGCTCCCATAGAAGGGCACAGTGTGGGATCAGTAAAAAACACCTCAGCACATAAGCATGTGATGTGTGTGATTATTCTTCATGTATGTGTTTGTGTAAGCCTGTGGCATTGTCGCCATCTCAGCCCCTCTCATATGTCCTAGCTGTCTGATATCAGGAGACGGCCTTGGAGAGTTCTGATCCAGAAACAAAGTTCACCAGAGGAGGAGGGGGGGTTGGGGAGGATAGAGCCGAGCATCAGGAAGAGACATAACAGCTTTTCAAGGCCGCTGTGGGGGAGCCAATGAAGATAAGAATTGATTTTGGGAGAGGCAGACTTTATCATTGTCTCTCTGGTCTCTGATGGCGTTGACCCAAACATCCCAATTTGGTGGCCAACTTAAAACTCATATTGATGCTGTTCTTTGTTCATAAGTCATATTATAGGATTCATTCATAACTACAGGAGCATTATCTTCTAGAAGCACAAATTCATGATCCCAGTATCAGAGGTGTTCAGCTGTGACCAAAACAGTAAGTTCTGCTTGAAAAGAGAAACTTTATAATATTAAGAGATGTATATAAATGAAGGGTTGTATGGTCAAATATTAAAAGATATAGTATGATACCATAACTTGGGCAGAAAATCTGTCTTTTAAATGCTACACTTGGAGTTTTCTGAAAACCTAACCGGCTTTCTCTCTCTCTCTCTCTCTCTCTCTCTCCCACAGCAGTGATATTGCTCGTTTTATCCTCCATCAGCACAGTTGCATCCTCTCTCCCCTCCCTGAAGGAGAGTAAACACTTTGGTAGTAAATTTTCCATCAGCACTTTGCTAAGTCCTGATGACTCCCCTCCTAACCCTGTGACACCGAAACCGAAATGAAAAACGCAGAGCTGAGGCTGAAAAACCACAAATCACAGCATTATAGTAGGTTTCTGCGGCCGAAGATGATTCACTAAATGAAGCTCAGAAAGATTATGAACATGACACCCCTCAGTCTTCCTCTATCTATAAAAAAACTGCACTACAGGAAATATAGACATCACTAATGAGTATAAAGTTGGCACATGTATACGTAGGGCTTGTTTGAAAATGCAGTGATATGAGAAAAGAGATGCAGTCACCTTGAGGAAGACATCTGTGAGTTTAGTTCCGATGCAGCCTCTGGGCCCATTGCCGAACGAACACAAGAGATGCTCCTGACCTGCATTCCTGCCCAGACAAATACACAGTTACATGGTTACACACATTCGCAAATACAAGCAGAGGGATCGAGAAAAATAAATGTTATGAAAAATATTCAAGGACTGCATTAGAGGTTTTTTTAAAGTGATTTTTAAAATTAGAAGGACAGTATTGCTCAGTAGAACTAGATTAAACTCCATTAACAGTTCCCATCCCTCAGCAGAATAATAATAAATAATATCATACTTTCCGTAATATTACCAGAATACATTTCTTTACCTTTCAGAAAAGTGTTATATCACACTATCAGTGATGTATTAATTTGATGCGTATGTGGAATAACAGCAGAGACAGGTGGACTTGCATGTTTGCCTCTTTCTGGTGTCAAAGCTGATGATAAAGTTTGCAGTGGAAGTGCGTGGAAGATAAGTCATGCAGTAAATTTGTGCCCCTCCCCTTGAAGTTTGATGTCAGCTCAAAACAATAACATGAAATGGTTGTGCTCGCTCTTTCTTTGGGTCTGTCTGGGGCTTTTTACTGATGCTGTTTGCTAAAATGGCTTGAACCATTTCAACAGGAACTAATACCCCTCGTACCGCAGTTCTGCCTGCCTAGGGATACGTTTTAAGCAAAGATAAGCTCATCTCTATGATGAATTCAAGAAGTAGGCTGTAAATATTTCTACTCCTTCATTGTTATTGAATAGACACATTATATATCTAACAAATTCACAGCCACATCAGGAAATGTAATGTTCTCAGCAGCAGGAAGTGAACATAACTCCTTAAATGGTAAAAAGCAATGGGGGAGGGGGGTTAGGTAGGGTACGATCACAACCAATGTGCCAATGATGACTTTCCTGATACTGTTTAAAAAAAAATGACTCACTCTCCTCTCAGACTCAGTTTAGCAGCAGCTAAATCAGGCTGGTTGGCAAAAAAAACAGAGGCACTAACCAGAGCCTAATACTTTGAAACAAGAATAAATAAAATACACTTTTTATCTGTTTGTAAAGAACTTGTGGATTTACTATTCAGTTGTAATACTAAAAGTCTATCATTACTCATCACTCAGCTCTGTTGGTTAAAATAAAGTGGTCGTTGAGAGTAATGAGTGGCTGGTAGGTTTTTGGATCCACTAGTTACAGGTGCAGGTGGACGAATACGCTGCTGCTTTAATGGAAAATGCCCTTCATTTTGTTTGCACTTATAAATGCTGCCAATTATTATCAGATTTCCTGGAATTATGCGGAATGAATTTTAAGCTCTACCGCCCACCCCCACTTCACACATGTCTGTCTGACTCTCTGCCACTGTGTCATGAGTTTGCTGTGTAATGCCTCCAAAAATATGTTTAAAATAGAGAGATGCTGCTGCTGGAGCTGCTACTGCTGCTGCTGGTGGTGGTTGTTTCCAGCCCACAGGTTTATCAACAGCCTTCTAATGTAGACCATCTTTCCCCTCTCAATGCTAATGCATCCTGTCTTCCTGAAACCTGAGCGCTGATTAAAGGCTAACAGGAAGCATTAGCCGTGTGTTTGAGTCTGGGTCCGGTGTGAGTGAGAGGCTTAAAGACAGACAGAGAGAGAGAGAGAGAGAGAGAGGGAGGAATATGAGTGTTCGCTGACGCTCATCTCTAATGGTTTGATGTTTCATTACGCCTGCTTTGAGCACATCCTGATTATGTTTAATAACTTGAGGGAACAGTAGATTCTTCGAGTGAATCTCTGTAAAAAGTTCTCTATATGTTGTTTGTGCTTTTATTTTACCTTGAGTTACACTGCAGATTTATACATCATTTATTCATCATTATAATCAGGCTCTAAAACCGATATGTCATTTTGAGAACTCACTCCAAAAACAGAGGAAACTGTTTTCAGATATATGAAACTAGCAACACAACCCACTGCAGTAGGTAGGATTTCTATCTGTTTGAGCCCAGGGGAGGTGGGAGGGGGCGGCTGGTAGGATGTTAACCTGCCAGCTTTGCTTCCTACTGGAAAAACACATTCACAGACAGGTTGATGAGACCCACACAGTGAACAGTGTACACATCTTTAGCACAGAAACACACACCTAAACAGACAACGTGTCTAAAGTGTAGTTATCGTAGGTGGGCTTGTTATGTAACAGCACTGCAGTCATTACTTTAAAGAGCCAGGTGGCACTGAGGAGCCAGGCAGCTATCAAGGCAGACAGGGAAATAATCTCCAGGAAGACTGACAGATGGAGAGGCAGAGAAAGGAGGCAGGTAGGAGGAAAGGGGAAACAGACCGGAAGATAGATGGAAGGATAAACAAACACACAACACACCCCTGCCCTTCCCACACACAGAGATACACAAACTAACTCGCTAAAAGAAAGATAGATAATGAATAACTCCAGAGGGACAGTCAGTCATGCGAGCAGCAGTTAAGACGAACAATAACATCAAACACAATTCTACATCTGCAACAACCTCCCAGCCTTAGGCCAAGTGCTCTCTACTGCTGACATTAATCTCATAAAGTTCATTCATAAAAAAAAAAAAGCCAAATCCATTTCCACAGAAGCTGAGCACCCACATTTGTAATCATAAGCACTTGTTGGGAACAATGGAGCTCTTTTCGGCCTCTTGAATGCAAGACTGAGCGACACAGTCAGTATTTTTCAGTGCGATAACATCGCGGATGTTATTTGTAGCAAATGTCAAAATCCTAAAAAATGATCTGTTTTTCAGTTTCGGGGGGGCCTTTGCAGAAATTAGATTGACATCATATTTTCTCCAGGAAAAGATCTTCTCTGACTCATCCTTTTAACCCCATCCTATCCTGCAGAGCAGACGGCACACACGAGGCACACAGGGAATCCCCATTGGTAAAAACGGGTATGAGGTGGCCAGTTGCCATGGTAGCAGCTCCCTGTCAATTAATCTCATTAGATGAATTCAAATGACACCCATTACTAAAGTAAGATTGTTTGAAGTTTAAGCTGATCATCTCCGACAGTTGAAAGTAATATTTGATAAAATACATTTTGAATTTATATATATATTTTAATCTAGGGTGTATTTGCTCTATTTTTTGCATTGTAGGGAAACTTTTCAGTGTTTTCTCTAAATAAGTTGACAGAGATACTCCAAATTAAATATGAGGGTAAACCTTTACTCTGAGGTCATAGGGTCACTAACACAATAGTCATGCACACTGTATCTGACCTCCAAAATTAAAGGTACATTGAAGTTTTTTATATGTCTAATTATTTATTTTTTCTGCACAAGGGAAAAAGATTCAGTTCAGGATCATATGTAAGGGTAATCAGGGGGATTCATCATTTTATCTCTGTTAGAAAAGCTTTGATTCTTGTTTTCTTTAAATAAAGAGAAAGCTGTAAATAAAAGAAGGACATTAATGTTGGAGGAATCACCCTTTTTTTGTTCCAAGAGTCTCATATACACTCATAAATAAAGACTATGATCTTCTCTGACTCATTTTTTCAGCATCCCATCCCCCCTCCAGGGGTTTTTTTTCCTCCCCCCCACCCTGCACATACACACACACATATTACACTCACACACAGACATACACAGAGGGATTCCCTATTGGTAAAAACGGTGTCATGTGACTGGTTTCCATGGCAGCAGCTTCCTACATACATACATTCATAGATTTTTTCCCCCTCTCTCTGCTGTGTTGCCTGAATGAACAAGCATGAATGAGGAAACCAGGTGAATGGAGGAAATGCTTGAATAGAGAATCAGTCAACAGAGAGAGTGAATAAGGTGGAGGAAACAGATCAGATTTTATCAGTGGAGCAGGTAGAAATCAGAGAGATGTCATCCGTGAGCAGTCTTCAGCTGATTTTCTAACTCAGAAAATCTTATTTTCTTTATAGTGGATGTGACAGTAATCAAGTCTGAGTCAGATCTGTAAGCTCGGGCACTGTTAATTTATCTGCATTGGTTGCCAAGGTAACACTGTGGCAACAAGTATGTAAATTACAAAAATGTACAGCTTTAGAATGCATGTAATAATTTAGATCCCAGAAAAAGCTGATTAGATAATTAAAAAATAATCAACATTTTTAATTCCAGAGCATAAGACACTGTCTTAACACAAGACTACAAATAGACACAGACACTTGATGTAAACATAATCAAATTCTGTTTTAAATGCACTACGGAAACATGTGTTTTTATTATAATGGGAATCATCCTACTGATACTTCTTTTGGTGGAACATTGTAAAAATTATTACAGGTGAAAAACTGATTTGGATCATCATCTCAAGAGGCAACTGGGTTCATTAGATAAGTGCCGTTACCCGGACGACAAGAGCTCATATTTACTGTTTACATCCTAGTGTGAACATTTATTAGTCTTGGCATTTGTTTGTACCTGGGGTCAACTATTATGTCACACCTAAAAAGCACAGAGTGAACTATAACAACCTCTACTAAACATTTCCTTAACTATTAACTCTTTTGGTAATTCTATTTTCTGATTAGAAAGACAACTTAAAGATCCTCACCCTCCGCTCCATCTCTCTGGTAGGAAGCTGTCGGGCTCGTGGAAGACCTCAGGGTCCCGGTGTATGGAGTGGCTGATATAGATGACACCATGATTCTTGGGGACAAGAAATCCTGCAAGGGTGGCGTCCTTTGTGAAAACAAGGAGAAGAGGACGCCACAGTATGAGCTTATTGAGTCAAGTGTCATTCACATCTACATTTCTAGTCTCTCCAGTGATGCTAAGTGCTTTAACACCTTCAATACTTCTTTATCTTTAATATTCTTCATCAGCTTTTTGATACATTTTGGCATGTCCTACGAGATTAAGAGGCTTTGACATGAATTCATAGAATATGAGGACATTTGTTCAAACTTGCATTTATAATGAACATCCAAATATTGGCAGAAACGATGTGTAAAAGAAAATCACTGCTCCTGGTAGGGTGAGTGTGCCTTTCCGTGGGCTCCTCTTCATGCAAATGCCAAATCCTCCTCCCCATAATGACTTGATTCAAGAATATTTTTCAATATTCCTGTTTAAGATTTTTTAGTACGTTAAAGAATTTTTAAAAATGTTTTCATTGCTTGGAAAGACAAACTGATGCAATCCTGAGAATATGCTGTTAAAAACGCTCTGAGATGAAATGAATGGGTGACTTCTCTAACCCTGATGTTTAGCTCAAATGAAAACTGCATCCCATTCTGAACCAAATCTCCCATTCTGAAGAGGAGCCACCTTGGGGCAAAAAGACCCCACTCTCAATTGTTGCCCTTTTAATTCGTCTTTTCACGACATCCATTAGTAACTGCACTAATGGACTGCCACAGAACATGATCACTGTTTCTCTTCCCTCTTCCCTCTTACTCAATTCTCTCCCTCGCTCTCTCTGCTGGAGTGGAAAATCTTTTACAAATCTCCTCTTTCTCTCTCACTGACAGATGCCCTTGCTGAGTTCACTCTCTCCCTCTTGCTCTCTCACACAAACACACAAACACACTCAAGCTGCAAAAGCTGTTGCATATCTTAGTTCCACCTGGTTAGAGCATCTCCTTTTTTCCACCTGATCATGAATACTAACAATCTCTCTCTTTTGTATGCACCTACCTGTACACAGAAACACTGCATTAACTTGTCTCCACTGATCAAGTACTTCCTTCTTGTTTTTATTAAGGACAGTTTGGGGACACATGGACACACTTTGGACCAAATCTTACCTTTATAAAAGAAACTAACAAAAAGTTAAGTACATCAGACCTCCTCTTGATCACATGTCTGTCTTGGAAGAGAAACCTGTCTTGAATTTGGGTCAATACAGTTTAAGACTTTAGGAGAAAGTATTTGAGTGATTGAGTTAATCACCTATTATCTGAAAGTAGTCCACAAAACAGCTCTATAATTTGGCTACTGAACGATACAGACAGACCAGTCAGTTGGTTGTCTGAAATAATGGCAGTTTTTTAGTTTTCAGCATCGTATCTGCATCAACAAGGCTGATATCATCGATATATTTTCTAAATTCATTAAAAATCTATTCAAAGCATGTGTCTGGCTCAGATAACCATGAACATATGATTTCGATATGAATGAAATATTGGACTTTTTAAAATTTTATCTGCAGTATTAACCCTGGATTTTTATCTCTTTTTCAATAATTAAAGATAACCTCCAAAAGTCCTTTGCGGCATTAGTCTACTTGGAAGATACACTATTCTTACATCTACAACTACTTAATGAAGCTACTTTGTTTCTCCCTTGTTAGAATTACTGTACTGTTGTATTTTCTCAAACACAATAAGAACCAATCAGCTGACCTGCTCTTACTGAATATTAATAATCCAGTTAGCTTGAGACAGCATAACTATTAAAACATTTTTTCCCTTTTTCTTTCCTTTTCACTATCCAATAATCCTTCTTGGGCTTTATGCTTTTAATTCAGAAATGCATCACATCTTTGACTACCCTTTTCCATACAATAATCAACTTTTGCACATACTGTACCATACTGTACGCCCACTGTGTCCCACTGAGGGAGGCCCACATGAATCAGAATGTACTGATGCGCTTCCTAGAAGTGACAAATGACTTTCCACTCAGCTTCAGTGTCACCGGCACACATCACTCCCCCCGACTAAACGCTACGGCCCCCTCACTCACATCCTTCCGGGAGGGAAGCGGAGCCAATCAATCACAGAGATGGATCAATGCCTCTGATTGGACTGTTGCATAAGGCCGTTAGATGAGGCCTCAATGATCTGTGACAGCAAGGGTGGGAGGAGGCGGAGCAACTGTGAGCTGCTGGCCAATCAGAGACAGTGCCTCAAGAAAAGAACGGATTCTATTGGCCAGCGGTGCTGATGTCAAACCAGATAACGATCATTTTAATGAATGAAAATCGATGCTATAACAGATACAGTCAGCCTACATGATACAAGATGCTGAAATGGATACAGATTTACACAACAATACAGGTCAAAGAACTTTTAACAATCGCGTCACGAGACACGAAACACGAAAACACTGTCCTAGAAATGTCAGAACATTATTTTATGAGTCGTGTCAGGATGATAGACATGTGCTTCATGAATACTGATAGACAGACCTCTGTTGGAGCTGGAACACAGCGCTAGGAGTGATCAGTATCATAACTGCTTTTTGTATCATGGTGATTTCTGTCTTATATGTTAAATAAGTGTACCACTGTATTCACCATGCCCAAAGTTACTAAAGTAAAGAGGTTATTCAGTCATTCAACACTCCCAACAAGAGTAGCTAAGCACTAACTGTACACTTACAAGTCTTAAAGTGACGATCTGCAAAAGGTGGACATCAAAAGACTGAACTGAAATGGCATATAATGTAGGATTAGAATAAAGATAGTGTAAAATATTGCTTCTGTCCAGCCAATGACTATTGGTAACGTCAAACCAACACAAGTGCGAGTGGCAGAGAAGGGGCTGTACACTTCAGCTGAAGTCATATGTCGCCATCTAGTGGGCAAAGGACCAACACAGCAAATAAAATCATGTTTCTGCCAGAGTACAGGATGACTAACACTCCAGCTGATATGGGAAAAAAATTGATGATACGATATTTTTTAAGAGCAACATGTATCAATCAACCCTTTTTTATGACATGAACTTTGCACATGTGCACACTGTTATAGAGTTCTATTTACAACAAATTGTTCAGCTTTAATAGATTCATAAAGCACCAGAATGACCATCACACACCCCGACTAAAAAAAGGAACTGTGGGGAAGTTCCCACTGCAGGATCTATAAGGTCACAGTTTGTTCAACTAATAATTAAGACTTGCACAGTAAGTTCTAAGTATTAACAGTGTTCATTCATGCTGTGGGAAAAAGACTCAGAATCAGCAAAAACACTACTGTCAGAGACAAATTAATAAAGATATGAACCAAAATGAAAAAAGAAATATTTGACTGGGATACCAAATGTATATCCCTTCCATCCTACTATTAATATTCAAAGTGAATAACAAGATTTTTTTCTGAAAAGGCCTTGAGTTTGACCCCTGACCTCTTATTTTTGAACAGGACTACATGAAGGTCACTGAAACGCCATCATCTTACCTGATCAGCTATTCTACGTCCACCAATAAAAGGAGGCCAAAGTCTCTGCACCTCCAGAAGAACGTTGTGCAGGTAATCTGGGTCTTCCACGGCCCGCTGACACATCTGGGGATCATATTTTGAATATTGGATTTTGAGCAGAAAGAATTTGGCAAATAAACACAAAGGCCTGACTATTGCTCAGAACGATAAAACACGGAGAGAATATTTTTTAACTTATATTTGTTTTTCGTCAACGTAAACGCACATTCGTCTCGTCACATTTTAGTCATCTAAGACTTATGTTTAGCTCGTCAACATCACGTCTTCCTCGTGGAAAAAAAGGAAAATAACACTGGTGACCAGGTTCAAAAATCTGCAGATATTCTCTTTATGCTGGAAATATGTGATTATGTACCTGTTTGTTTCCACAGAGAGCCAGTGTGAAGGAGGTTAACAGTGATGCCAGAGCTTTGGGTATGAGAGCTGAGATGAACAGCAGGAGATGCTGTGAGGCAGAGCTGGATTTAGGCAGCGGCAAGGAGGCAAGAGTTCCAACAAAACTACAGAGAAACAGAGACGGGGGTAAAAATAAGAGAACCGGCTACAGCAAATCGTGACAATTAATAGCATAATTATTTTAAATCAATACTAGAGGTGAGTTTCTGTGTGTATGAGATAAAACACAAGGGAAAAAAGTGGAGTCTCACCCATGTTTTTCATTCTCCAGTTTGTCTTTAATGATCTCCATCAGTTTGTCTCTAGCGTCCAGAGCGGTAGAGAACCCAGACGACCACATAGGAACCTTCACATTCACCGGAGCGGAAATCAGACCTGCAGGAAAGGAGGGGAGGTGCTCAGCAAACATGCAAAGACTGAGCAACACACAAAAAGACAGCAGCTTTTGGACTCAAACAAAAGGGGAAGCAGGAGATTTTGCAAAGCTGTTGGGACACCTATGAAACTGTTTGCAAAAGAAAGACAGATTCATGACACCTTATGAATATATTTTATAGTCAATGATAGAGAGTTTACCGCTATAAAATAAAAGAACTAAGCAGATACTGCAGTTAGTTTTTTGTTTGTTTTTTATATTTGTGTTCCTACCGTGCCAGTGCTGGGTGCAGAGTTGTGCAATTTCCTGGTAAAGTTCTGGCTGCTCTTCTGCTCGGACATTCAGAAAAAGACCCAACACCAGCTCAGTCCCCAGACGCTTAAAAGCAGAGTATGCACACTCTGGCTGGCTACTACACAAACACACATGCACACAAACGCAATATAAGAGAGGGCATAGAAATAGGGAAATCGTTTTTGGCCCCACTAAAACCGGTTTGGATATTGTGTAACAGTTATAATTGTTTATTTTAATGTAGTAGTTTGACAGCCCACTCTGTGTTTGCTGAAGGGTTTATGTAAACTGTTACCTCATGGAGAGGTCCTTCAGACAGCGCTCACATACTCTGCAGAGAAAAAGACACAAAATATCAGTCTACAGCGTGATGAGAGGAGTCCAAAGTATATGTGGTACTTTTTATCCCTTGTACCACTAACATGCTCTACATTTACTTGTTATTCCTTCATGGATCGTTCAGGCTTGGACCAGCTCTAAGTTAAGCTGCTACTGGCTCACATTGCTAGGGAAACTGATACACTGAGTCCCTTTCTTTCCCCTCTCTCTCTCCTGGGACACGCATTTGTCTGTGTGTCCCATTAAAACCACCAACAACAGATCTGCCTTGAAGTCCCTGAGCTCTGTTGTCTCGTAGCTTCTTCTTGTTCATTACTACAGATGTATGCTGTAAGACCTGCCAGACTCCAGCTGCTTCAACTATCATCATCAGCCTCACCATCATTGTAATACTATATAGTTTTGGATCATCACCTGCTTTCAATGGTATAACTCTTATATCAACTACAACATGATTATTAAAAATGCTGTAAGTAGGCCAGGTGACTGTATTCACTATAAATCAAATAAAGATCAGTCCACTTTACTTAACACGCTGTACACATACTTCTTCCATTATCATTGGCTCTGTAAACATGAGTTGTATGAGCAGTTGTTGTTGTTTGTCTCTCTACATCTCCCCCTCTCTCTTCTCTAAACCCACCTCAGTCTCAGCGGATGACAGTCTAACATCAGTCTGGTTCTGCTCAAGGTTTCTGCCTGTTAAAGGAAGTCCTTTCTCTCCACTGTAGCTTAAAAATTGCCTCAGTGCTCTGCTTATGGTGGATCAAGATGGGATAAGAACAGGACCTATTACAGACTTCTTAATACAGACAAGGTCTCAGTCTTTTTCTCATTCTGATGTTGGAACTATGAAAATATTACACCAAAGACTATGGTCTGGACCTGCTCTTTTCACGAAGCACTTGATGTAAATATGAATTAAGTTCGACTGATTGATTAATTACTTCATTATCTGTTATCCATAATAATGACAAGTTTTAGCTTTTTCAAAATGAATCAGCAATGATTTGGCAGACAGTATCACTCTGTAAATCTTTTTATGGAGGGATGTTTCATCTCAATGAGTTTACAAAGTTTTGCTGATGAAGCATATGCAAAGATTCTTAGAAGAGAGAAAAGAATGACAAATAAGGAAAAGGAAAAGAAAAAGAAACAATCATGGATAAAAAAGCAGATTTTATGATGCAGGTTCAGTAAAAATGAGGCAGAGTTCACATGACTCTCCAGATCATATTCTGAGTTACTTTTTCCTTACCTGGTGATATAATCACTCGATGACTCCAAGCAGCTTCCTGAAAACAGGCTGGTGAGAGACAGGCGCAGCAGACAAGCCTCCTCTCCTGAAAATATATCAACACAAGTAACTCAGACTGTCATCCGTCTGCATACAGTGAGAAAAACTGGCATCTATTTAAAATAACAAAAACAAAACAAAACTAGAGTGTTTTTTTTGTTTGTTTGTTTTTTGGGGGGGTGAGGATAAATCCAAAGATTTCTTCTGAAATGCAGATCATCTGATGTATGAAATATATTTTTATCCGACTTTTGCTGTTATTTTGATTCTACAAATACAGTTTTATTTTTCCTATTTACTCTACATTTAACAACACTGTGTTTTAAACTTTCAGCAAAAGAAAATAGAACAAACAGCCTGTTTGCCTGTCTCAGGATTAAGATCAGTAAACCCTTTTAAAAGTGCTGCTCTTTCTGTTACGAACTGTAACAGTATTTATTCTTATCGTTCTCTGGGATCATTTTACAAAACCACAGCTGTCAGTAAAGTGAAGACACAGTGAAGATGACTTTAAGTTACTTGTGATGTTGTTGGGGCAGAGAGGAGGCACAGTCGAAACGTCTATACCTCCCTTTTTAATTTCAACAAACCAAAACAAACAAAACTAGAGTGCAACATACTGGAACACCTCCAAGAGAAACAGTCAGAATAAGAGCACCATTATATCCCTTTGTTAATGATATCTCATCACACCTCTCAGGCTATTCAGTGGCTTGAAGCGTGATAGGTCTACTGAGGTAATTCAAAGGGCCAGGGACGGCACTTCACACCTCAAGTTACCGCAGTGTTAAGATCAGGTTAAATCCCAACCGATCATGATCATGTGATCAATCGTTTACTGGTCGGGTTGTAAATTATTCAGAAGCCCATACTTTTTTTGTAAACTTTAAAAACTTGCAGCCATCGTAAAATAATAAAAAGGATGAACTGTCACATTTACGTTTAGAGTTCAACATTTTTTGACTGGCTTATTGGTCTAAACAAATTTTGCAACTGTTTGATTATCACTTATTATTTACACAGCTCATGTGAATGTTGTAGGTATCTATATGGGCTTATCAATACAATAGACGTTGGGTACTGACGAATAATCATAATTGTCAAACAATCTCATTAAAACCCCAAGTTGAGACAATCAAAAATGCAAAAAAACATGTACAGCTTAGTGTAGTCACAAGAAACCTGTATTTCCCTTCTCAAAAGCTTTAATATTTGTTTTAGTTTGGGGGCATTCCCGTCAAACATTTGTGAACTTTGGTGCATTTACCATTAGTGGTGACAACAGTGTCACCGTACATGTTGGTCATCAAGTCGGTCGGATCCTTGATGAACAAGTTGGATTTATCTAAAAAAAAACAACAGCAAAGCAAACTCAATCAAAAACATGTTTACAAAAACTATATTTACACACTTAACACACCATGTGCAAAAAGCACACTCGAGAAGGAGACAAAGAGCCTAAGAACAGTATTAAAAGTAGCAGTAATACAGATAACAAAACTCAGGTAGAATAATACAGTAAGTCCTCTTTCCAAATTGACAGAGAGGATTTTCATGTATGCAGATATTAAACTCCACAGACGCTTCATTATCTACAATTTCTGTGAAATAAAAGAAAATACAATGAACTGCTGAGTTTGTCTCATTTTGCTGAATTAAATGTTAGTATTAAACATCTTTATTACACATTCTACCCTGTGGTCATGAAACTAAATCTCAGCTTTTAGGCATCTGTAAAAGATATCTAATAAAATCTGATTAGTGCTCAGAGGACTCGAAGCTGATTATCTTCCAGGCTTGTTTATGGTGATTTTATAGAAACTTATTCCTTAGTTTATCTATCTAGTAATTTATAAACCTATTTCCTCTTTATCTTTTCTCAGCTTCCTTTAGGTTGAAACCAGGGTTGTTAGAAAACTAGATGATCTTTTAGTTGTGGTAGCCTATATCATAAGTGTGAATTGGTGAAACCATCAGTTTTAAAGGGTATCAAACTAGTACTGAACATCTCTTCCCTTGCAGCAACATCACGAGTCTCTCCCATGACAGATCAGACTAATCCCTTGGTGATTTTTACTCCATACATGGGAATTTTCCTCTTGGTCATTTCTGACTCATTGTCTGGAGGCAGAGGAGAAAAGGTCATCATGTGCTAAAGATAGCCTACTTTGATTTTACTGTAAAGCTACCCTGTAAAGTTTAATACCCCATGAAACTATCGAAAATTACATTTACCAATATGTGACCAACTGCGTTACATTTCCCTCAATAATCTTGATGTCTTACTGAGTCTTTTGGTTTCAAGTCAGCCCATGTACCTTACCTGTGTAGTAGAGTTCTGCTCACCTGCGCCGGTGTGTATAAACGCACACCGGCGCACGCGTGCACATAAGGTGTAAAATCTACATACCGCACAGCAGCTCTCTCATCCCCTGCACGGAGCAGATGAAGGCGGTCGGTCTGTTGAGGATACGACACTGAAACACTCTGCTGTGGTGTTTCTCGACTCTCTGCCGGCAGAAGCTCACCGGGTCCCGGTAAAACTCCAGCGACTTGTCCCCGAGCACCGACACACCTGCATTTCCTGGTAGTTTAGACATTCAGGGCCGTCCTAGGTGCGCAATGTCAGCGAGTTCCACTATTGTCTAAGTTGAGAGGTAGATTCACTCCAGGTGTTAACAAAGCATTGTTCTCCCAACAGTGACTCGAAACTTTCCTCGGTCTTGGTTCGGTGTAAATCTTGTTTTCATCGCTTCTTAATCATCGTAATCCGCCTGGCACTGCAGGATCGACCTGTGTATCAAATTGCTGCTATCTCACCGTTGGCGCTGTTTTCTCTGAGGTAACCCAAACTATCCGGCTGCACCGGCGAGTGACACGTTCAAGTGCTGGTCGTAATTCAGGACTCTGCTACTCAAGCAGTTACTGCAACAATACTACTTTTGCGTTTGTTCCGGGTATTTTAGCCCCTCAGTAGTTCCGGTAATTTAACTACCATGACTACATAGCCTCTTTAAATGGTTGTGTCTACTGACATCATGGACTGTGTTGACGCTTCACAGTTAGGGGAGACTGGGGACAGTTGCAACAAGGGATGGTTGCATCAAGGCTTATTCCTCCAATCAGAAACACCCCACCACCAGCAGCAGGACACAAGACACATTTAGCATCATCCTCTGAATTTATTGGGGGAAAAAAAACTTCTTTTTGATGTATGAAAGTATTTTTTTTCATGTGGTTTATTTTTGTCACACCGTCCTGACTGTTTGCATGAATTAATCACAACTCTGTTAGTTTCAATCGTTGTTTAGTTGATTTTTAAGTTACATGGTTAGCATTTGTTGAAAACAGTGTGTTTAGTTAGCACTAGTTTTTTTTTTTTCATTAGTTAGCACATGGTGTTTTGTCATGGTTGACCACTTGGGGACAGTTGCGACACTTGTTGCAACTGTCCCCAAGCTAGTGTGGCAGGATTTGCATCAAGATTTGTATTTGTATCTCGGTAAAATCCACAATCATGTTAAACATGTTAGATGTCCCAATCACTGGAGTTTACTGGTGGGAAATCTGGAGCTGAAATACATCGCAGAGTTGCTTCTTGGTAAGGGGAGTCTAAACCCACTGTCTGCTTTTGGTAGAGACTGGTTATATCTCTTCAGACAAACATCATAGCTTGAAATAGACTCAAAGAAATCTTTCCCAGTGTACAGAACTAATTTTGAAAAAATTGGTAAACTACATGCACAGTTTAAACTCGTTTTGGATATGTAAATATCAGCATGAATGCGCATTTCTTTGCATTTTGTCTCACAGTTTCCAACATTTTGATTTTATGAACCCACCATTGTGTCAGTGCGGAAAGGTTAAACTATCAAAATAGATAAGATGGTTTCCACTTCTTCTCACTTCTCAGAATTCTTGCTGAAAATGTTTGTCTCTTGTTAAATGTTGATTACTGATAAATATGTTTTTAAAAAAAGGTATACTCAAACCAAAATATTTTCATGAAAAAACGAAAAGATAATATTTCCTCCATCAAAGTATTTATTATTTTTCTGATTTTGTCACAAATGTGTCTCTTTGAAACAAAAAACACTAAACAATAAAAACAATTGTTTATGCAAAGGAAAAAAATACACCTGATTTTTTTATCTATTTATTTTTAATCTTGATAAAGTAAGACCCTCAATCTACTCTCCATGTTGAACCTCCGTAGAAAAGTCCTGGCAAACAATACAGCATCAACCTACCTCCACCTTCATGACAGCAGAGGAGTGGAGCTGTCGTTAACCCTGGAGCTGTCGGTCGAAGGGTTGATATTTTCCCGTTTGATGAGGTTACATGGCCACACGATGGCAGCATCATCCTCTCCCTTCCTCTCTTTCCTCCTCTCACTCTTCCTCAGCAGTGATAGTACGAGGCAGGTTCCCGTCCCTGTCATCAGCTGCAGCTCGTGCAGGAGGGACTCTGAGAGCTCTCGCCCCTCATGCTCAGTCTTCTCAGTTGTGCTGAGCATGGGAGCCGCACACACGCAGTGGGGCGCCTGGGTCGGCAGATCGGGGGCGAGGAGCCCGGCACAGGTGAGCAAACAGAGCTGCATGAAATGAGTTTTAAAGTTTGACAGACAGAGAGGGAAAAGAAACGTATTCGAGACTTAATCAATCTTAATCTGTTTTATTTGATGTTTTGAATTGTTGGGTTTCACTTGTTGGTTCTACAAAAACTCTTTACTCATTAAGTTTGTCTTTATACATTTCAAATAAATGCAGATGTCAGTTTACTGTTTTATTAGGAAGAGCACAGCAGTTTTGTTCGGTTAATGTGGCTGATGTGACATTAAGACATAACCTATATTTGGTTATCATATGTTGTCAACATCATTGGTTGTCTTCATGTTTCTGCTGTTTCTGCCATCATATGGATACACTTGCTTTAGTTTATAATTTTAAAAAGTATTCAGCATATATTTACACCACCCCAGATGATATATATATATGTATATATATACATATATACATACACATAATATATACATATAAATATGCATCAGCATAGCAACTATTTTTCTTTACGTTTGTGACAAGTACTGGCACTTTTTAACTGTGCACAGGTAGCTTTTATCGAAGACATTTCACAGAGGTAGAGGTTAGCGTTTAGAAAAAGTCAATCTGTGTTAAGTGTCTGCACACAGCAAGTGTTTGAAGAACACTGAAAAGCCAAACTTAGGTTTTATCACTTTTTTATGAGAGGAGTGTTCAGGTTAGATGATGGGAGGGTAAACATCTGTACAGTATGCTCGAGATAGGTCAGATGAAGAGGGGGTGGGGTGGGATTTATGGGCATCAGTCTTGTCATTCCTGGGTCTGTTGGCCCCTTGAGGCATCAGTGGAGATATTTTCCATAGAAGTGTACATTGGCTGTAAGGACATGTGAAAAGGTCTGCTGTTGTTCAATTATCGTGAACACAGGGAAATGATTGCTGACCTTTCACGGCAGACAAGCTCCAATTTCTCCATCCTTGTTATTACATTATTATTGAGTTTGTTCCAACAAAACCAAAACTCAACGCATACCGCACACATATATACACAGCTCATCTGTTAATGCAGAAGCACTTTAGCTGGGGTACGAGGCTCTTTCTGCTGTGTGCTCAGCTGCCTTTTCACTGCATACATAGTGTAAGTGCTTTACAGGGGAGATAACAACCCTAATACTCTATAGATTGTGCTTTTTACACTGACCTGTATTTGTGTGCATGATAGGCTGGAGATAAGAATGAAAACAGAGAAATGGACAGAGAAAGGGAAGTTGACTTTTTTTTTGTTATTTCTAATAAAAGAAAAAATATACTTTAACCATGACAGCAAACTTTCCTATTTATTTCAGCTAAGTATGTCGTATTGTTTGTAAATTGTACATGCTGTATATTATTGCTGTTCATGTACATTTTTATGGTAGGTATCCTTATGAGGTTTGTAGGTTTTATAAAGTATCATATTGAATCTAATATAGTTTATCACACCAGATGCAGCGTTTTAAACATCTCTAACAGAGTGGCGACATCCAAAAGCATTCATCTCTGATCATAAATCACTTTCAGCGCTTTCTCTTGACAGTAATTTTAGTTTCAGTAAATCTTGCTCAAACCAACACCAACTTTTGGCTGGTCAGCATCACAAAACCTTCTAGATGGGTTCCACACTGTGTGACCCTTTTCACAACACAGCATTGATCTTTTCAAGGATTTAGAAAAAAATAAGATCCCGATCACTCATTTTCCCTGTATGGGAATAAAATGTCCTAACTTTGTAACCTCAGGCTGCATCAGAGAAAGAGGAGATGAATGAAAGACAATACGATGGGCACATTTGCAACAAAATCTGGATCTTGAAACCTTAGAGGAAATAATGTCAACAGTAAAAAATGCATCTACCTTTACAGAAAGTTAAACCCAGAGAAGGTACAAATCAGACACAAGCGAACAGCTACAGGCAGACTCAAGGCCCTGGTCAGTGTCCAGGTATGAGTGTCTGGAAATGAATTAGGTGCTAAGAGAGTGAATTTGATAAATCAATTACCTGCTCCAGGCAAAAAAAAAAGCAAGAATATAACCAGTGTAGGGGAAAAAGCAGAGTTTGGGGGATCAGCCTTGATCTTTGAGTTTGCCAGAAGCGGTTCTTGTTCCCTGCAGTTGCCAACTGAGTTGTCGTTGTTAGCTGCTCCCAGTAGATATAAAAGAGCCACTGCCTTCAGGCTAAATTTAGACCACCTGTAACCAACTCATCAGGCGGATTTCCAGGACCAAGTGTTTTTAATCTTATCTTTTAACCAACTGAATGTCCAAAGAGATAACATTTGAGCAGACATAAGCCAAGTCACTGTAGTGTTGTCGTTACTGCAGACATCTCAACTGCAGCTATGGAAGGATAATGCGTAGCTTGTAAGTTTTTAGAGTTTTATCTGATATGACAATATCAGTCCCTGACAGTTGAAGTGTGTTTGTTTTTTTTATCAAAGAGAAACAGTGAGCATTTTTGGTAAGGCTGTGTGATAAACTTTTAAAGCGACACAGCCATGTGTAGTGATCACATGATGCACAATATCATGCAAGTCAACTGAAGATGGGAAGTTGTGACTTATTTTGCTATTTGGTGCAAAGTGACACCATACACCTAATTTTGTTCTCATTTTGTACCTGGAATGATGGAAACACCATCCCATTTTTTGCTCTGAAACCATTCGGTCGCACCATGTTACAGTATTGTATTTTTTATGTCCTTTCTTTGGCTGTCAAGGTTTTCTTTGCTACCTGGTGTTCTAGCAATGCATTTTTGCTGTTGAACTTCCAGACTAAAGCCCAGTGTGCAAACTCTTGAGCATTCGCCGAACACTCAGGCCAGTTTCAGTCCGTTAGAACTGAATACTAGAGAGAGAAAATCCAACCACATTTATGAGGTTTGTGAGTCTGACTGTGAGCGGTCAGACTTACATGTATATAAAAAGTCCAATTACAGTCACATAACTCAATAAATTGACCTTTATGAACAACATATAAACATACCGAGCGATGATATTTGCCTTTCTTTTGAAAAGTCGGTGTCTAGGTTAAGATTTGAAATGATGATAAGCCACAAAGGATAATTGACAATAAGGACAAACTGCTGAAAAAAAATTCTAGTTCGTTAAGCTGCAAAAATCTGTGCCAGGTGTTTTTTTTTAGTATTTTTTATAATAAAAAGAAATCAACATTGTAAAGTGTATAGCTGTGTTTTATTAGTATGCACTGCATGCAATGAGCTTAATTTTTTTGTTTTGGGGATAATGTTATTTGGTAAATATTTAATGTAAATTAGCCTACTGCATTCTTGACACACTGTCTTAAATGTGTTTAAAGGATGATTTCCCAGCAGTGAGTGTGCAGCAGGAGAAATCGGTGTGGACAGTGGTGCTGTGAAATAGTGGAAAACTGATTAGTCCTCACTAAATCCATGGGGAGGCACACAGTGGGTGATGGCCTTGGGTAGAGGCCTTATTTCCACAGCCTGCCTGGTTTTCACATTTGTGCTCATTTAACTTTGCATGTGTGTGCACTTCCACACATCCTTGTGTGTTATTCACTTTTTTCCCCGTTTACCCCCTTCATCAAGTGAGCTGGCACTTTTATTGTGACGAGCGCTGTACGCTAAATTACCCACTCACAACCCATTACCCTCACCCACACAGCTTTATTCAGAAGACACGCTCCATTCGCTTACGGTTGCATCTTGCTCCAGTCATGCATGCAGAAAAGGCTGGTGTGTGATTTGGTCCATCCCTGAGAGCATATGGAAAAATCAGAACCTCTACGCCAAGGGAGGGAAAGAGTAGAGTTTTTGTGAATTCAATAATCACAGCTGACACTCTTGATCACAGGATATGGTTTTGATCAACCCTGCTGAAGTGGATTTTGCATACAGACTGAAGATAAGATCTTTTCTGTCCATCAACTCGAGATTGGTTCTTTACAACAACACATCTCTTCAAGTGTCCATACTAAGGGTGCCAGATATCATGTCAGTGATGAAAAATTTCAGTATTTCAAATTTTAGACTTGTTTAGCTTCTGTTTTGAAGAAGCAATTGTAATTACTCCTGTCAGTGTAAGTAAAGGTCTTAAAAGTCTTACCCAGCTTAAGAAAAGATTCGTTATAAGTTCATTTACCAACCTCAGGTAATATAAAGTTGAAAATTGATAAATAAATCTTTTGAAGTGAGACATTCAGGGGAGTGAGTGACATTTTCCATGTCTAGAGAGGCACCATGAGGAGCAAAACCTGCTGGAGAACCCAGAAATGAAGGATTTATGACCAGCCTGGCAGAGAACTTTGGGGAATACTTTGAAAACTCCGCTAAACTCTCAGCTGACCTGCTTTTTCTGAGACACCCGTGCACCGTCTCTGTGGGCAGCCAGTGGACCGCAGAGGCCTAGAGACTGGTGCCTACCATCGATGCAGTGAGATTGTGTAGATGAGAACGGCTGAAACACAAGAACTGTGAGGTGACAGACTTTTGATCAAACAAAATCAGTTTAAAAACACAAGAGCGGTTACACAGATCCTGCTTACGATGTTCCTCTCCACCTACGTGTGCGAGTCCTCAATTTTATCAATGAACTCCATCAAGAATCAGACAAGAAACAGCCTGACCAGCACACACCTGGGGCAGTGTCTCAGGATTGCAACAACAGGGTACCAGCCAAACTTTAGAAATATGGCTGCATCCAATTGCTGTCACTTCTCTCATTAATGGGTGAGGCAGAGACATTTTAATGACACTTATAAAAGGTATGTGCTTTAATGTTATGTGTGCAAAAGTGGTTCCTGAGCTTATCTGTTTGATCCCTATCCCTGACACTCATCGTGTGTGTGTCTTTGTGCGAGGACAGACAGGAGGTGTTAGTGTGTTAGATGAAGGTGAAGAAAAGAGAGAAAGATTGAAAGGTTAAAGCGACTTGAGGGCAGACAGTTTTTGCAGTCCAGGCCTGTCCAGACCCATTGAAAATGTGCGGCTCATTATGAAGTGCGAAATACCACAAGGGAACCTGGACTAAAGTGGTCCATCAAGCCAGAATGGGAAAGAATTCCACCTCCAGAGAATCAAGTGTCAGTGTCCTCAGTTCACAAACGCTTTTACACAATTTTACACAACGCCCCACCTTTATTGCAATTGGTGTTAATTGGCGTAAAAATGAAATGGAGAAAAAAGTCTGTTATGGTGGCAGCTTTACTCTGACATTCATGATAAAAGGTTACGGTTGAAACTGTTGAAGTTTGGGAGGTTTTTCTTTGCCACCGTAACCTTCCCAATACTGCAAAGTGCTTCATTTATGTTAGTTAAAGCCATCTCAAAGTTGGGTCTTTGTAATACATTAAACAATGAGTTAGACCTGCTCTTTTAGAAAGTGTCCTCGGGTAACAATTGTTGTGATTCATTGATTGATTAATTGATTTGACCTTTGAGTATTTAAAAGCAACAGCCACATTTTTTTTTTAATTCAGTTTCATGATTTTGTCCGTTGTTGCATTAGACTGTATTCTGTAGAACCCAGCAAATAGATCTGTATAGGGAAGAGTTTTAGGGCTGGAAAAATAAAAAAAACAAGAGGAAGATTTCTTTATATCATGCACTTTGGGAACAAAGCGAAAAAAAACGAACTTGGTTTCGACGATAAAAATATTTTAAAAAACTGCCATTGCTTATTGTTTTATTTTCAACATGCTGTAGAGCCATGGTCTTTCTGCTTCTAACTGATCGGAATCTAAAAACAAAAATTTATTCTCTGCCATCCATGCGATTATAAAGAAAAGAAGTAAAGGCTTAAGTTCATCATTGTGGTGACTTTGATGACTGAAAAACTGAAAGCAATACATCTGTCAACTTCACTGCAGTTGGTATAAAGCTATGGGTTTGGGGGTTAATCAGATTTCAGTTTCAATCACGATTATGGCTCCCCCGTGATCATAAAAATGTGATTAATTGAGACTGAATGATTTTGTGCCATCTGCCTAGTTTTCCTATAATGTCCTTTACATTGTAAGAAGTCCCCCTCTTTTCTGTGGGCCTGGCCTTTTCCCTTAAACAGCTCTCACTTTTACTCAGTCATAAGCAGCTTAGATCAATCTAGAACATAGTTCGGTGTGTCTCCTGTCAAGATCGTAAGATCAAACGTTACTCTCAAAGATTCTTACAAGCAAGAGTGTGCTTTTTTTTTAATTTACAAGTTTTCTTTAAATTTATGCACAAAATGTCAAATCAATACCAATGTGGCGTTCAGATAAATTCTGATTACTGTCCACTCACCCCTGATAAATACTCCAGTATTTGCACTTTTCAGGAGTTCCATTGTGGTTGCTCTCACTGTTTCATGTGTAGAAGGTCCTGCATGTATAATGACGCCATTGTTCCCTGTGACAACAAGGCATCTAACTCGTCACAACATGTCAACGTGAGGACATCCTTTAGACCCAAGTCTCACAGAGTTGACAGGCCTGCACTCAGATGGCTTCATGTGATTTGTGCAATTTCCAAAATAGTGCTCTGCTGGCTTTGAATGCACCAGAATTTGGAGCTCAAAGGTGGAAGCTCAGACTCGATGTACATAAGTGATACTTGGATTAAGTCGGATTTGGAGCGCACACTGCTCCTGACTTGGCAGCAGAGCCATCGTGGAGTTTTATAATGTGAGATATTCCAGTAAAAAAGGCAGTGGTGCTGTTATGTTCCATCACAGTGGCTTTGGTGTACGTGTAGGGACAGAAAAAGCACACAAAACAATAATAGTAATGCATCATTTCAGACCTTTTTTTGGATATCGATAGCCCTGCTTATTACATAAAAAAAAAACTCATGATTTTTATATCCATTTTAACGAAAGCAATGTTTAAGTTAAGGGGATATTCCATTGTAAGATATGGTCAAACACACCGTAACACTGAGTTAGACACCCCCCTGACAGATGAATGTTGCTGACTGCTTGCTTCTCTAGTTATAACAACTTTAGCAACAACCGCATGATAGCAATACACAGCCGTCTACATCTCCACGCACAAACCTCAACCAAAAAGCCTCTCTATAGCCACAAATAATGCTCAGAACAGCACCTAACTTCATCAACAGTACATATAGGGTCCCAGCCATAGTTCTAGCCCTCAAACATATTTTTAGCTTTGCCTGATTTCTTTAGCAAAGAGACTCAACACAACTCACCCGCTCTCCTCCAGCAGCCGCTTGTTTGTGGGGGAGCCCTGACGAGTCGATCACCGAGTGCATAACTTAAACTTTCGCCGGAATATCCCTTTAAGTAGTACCCTAACATTGACTGTAAGACTATTGATTTGATTAACAGTTGATAACTGGACCTTACAAGTTAAGAAGTAGTTGCCTGTGATGAAGATTCACAGCAAGCAACAAAGATGGAAGTATTGAAACTTTAAGTTCACCGCTTAAAGTTATTATCCACAGAGGCTCTTTTGATATCAAATAATTTTGACGGTCTCTTCACTCTAAATTCCAGAATTTAAGTGTTATTGATTAGACAAGACTATTTTGTGGTTATTGATGGCTTAGCCTAATTAGTTCTTGATCAGAGTGGGAATTTTCTGCTGCTCATTTCAGGTAATAAAACAAGGAATCAAAAATACCAGCTCTTTTGAAGAGCCTGCATTGTGGAGCACTTACTTCACAGTCTTACCCATAATGTATTATTTTCCATCTGCTACAAAGTGAAGAAATACAGTTTATGGAAGGACACAGAACATCACCTGCTGAGTAAAAAGTGATTTTCAGAATACACTCAATTTCTGTGTGAAGGACGTTTTTTAACTGCATTCTGTGCACAGGTATTCATATACATAAGATATAGACTAAAAACAAGTAGATGTGCAAATGTTCGTATAATAAAAACCCTTATTACGCTTTTAACCAGGTTCTCAGGGCTCAAATTTTTGTCTTAACTTTAATCCTAGCCCTTAAATATGATTAATCAATAACAGTTGTAGTTTGCTCAAGAATGAGGCCCACTTACTCAAACATTTCAAATTACAAGAGGATAGTCTGCAGAACATGATACCCCTCAGTCTCCTTGGCAACGGGACCAAAGCAGACTCCTCCTCCTCCTCATACAAACAAACAAAAATGCATATGAGCACACGCACAGTTCAGCCTTCTCACAATCTGAGGTGTGAGATTATGTGAGAAGTATTTATTTCCCACCTGACGAGAAAAAAAAAGTGGCAACTTAAAGAACATTTAATTTCTGCAATTAATTTGTTAAAAAATAAAAGTAACACAATCAACACCAAACACTACTGTTCGACTAAATCTGATTTTAATACTTTTACACTTTAGGAACTCTAAGAATGATCCTGGCATGCACAAGAGTCTGCACATGAGGATGTTTCTTGTTCAGGTTTTTTAATTATTTGATGACTATTGTTTACACAGTGTCATTTTTTGCATGCATGTGTGTGCATACTTCAGTATAGGGCTGCAGAAAGAAGTGCTGTACCCTCTAGATTAAAACAATTATGTTAAATGTAATTATGGAATAAAGAACACCCAAGAGTGATTAAATCAAGGTTACAGAATAGAAGCAGGACACGCTCCAGTCCTGGTGTAAAGATCGTAATAGCTTCAGTATCCCCTCGGTGTAACCTTGAGCAGAATTTAAGAGTTGGAGTTTAATGTGTCAGAAATAGTCGTCTTTATTCTTGTAACAGTCTATGTCTGGTATGTCTTTGTTGCTCCCACTTGCCATTGTTTGAATGTGCATTTTTAATTACACACTCTCACACCTTCAACAGCACAGGCTGGCACAAACCATCCACACAAATCTGACTGATGTTCAAAGAAATGCAGATCTGATCATGATAAACCACTAAAAGAAACATCTTTCCCTGATTTTTCTTTGACATGAACAATCTTATCTTGATGTATGTGGTCAGGTTTCAGACTTAGATCAGGTAGGCAGTTTGTACAGATCAGGAAGTATCCCAGATGGCAAGTGAGCATCTTCTAATTACAGCTTACATCAGATGAGTCAGTCAACCCTCCTACATCATCTGTCTGCCTGCTTGTTGTTGTTTATCTGTCATTCTCAATTCACATCTATCTATCTATCTATGTATCTATCTATGTATGTATCTATCTATCTATCTATCTATCTATCTATCTATCTATCTATCTATCTATCTATCTATCTATCTATCTATCTATCTATCTATCTATCTATCTATCTATCTATCTATCTATCTATCTATCTATCTATCTATCTAACAATATTTGATCTGGTGATATATCATATCCCCTCATCCACCAATTATTGATTTCTTAATATTGAATCGTGGTCCAAGTATCATGATAATATGGTATCATGAGGCCACTCGTGATTCCCATTCATTTATTCATTCATTCATCCATCCTGTCTGATTTTATCTCAGGCACTCAAGTGATAAACAATGCTGATGCCAAGCTGAATCTGAATCTGTGAAACTTTATCAGTTGCACTGCACCAGGTACAGGCACTTCTAGTGCAGATCCCTTCCAGTTTAAACCAGTTTATCTATTTATAGTTATTTTTTAGGTAATTTTTGTATTTTTGACCGCTGAAGAGAGGGAGGATACTGGGAAAAAATAAGTGTGGTATATATATATGCATGCTCACTTGAACCACTTGGCTTAACTACATGAGTTTGTGCTTTTAAGAGCTTTGATCGTGGCTTAAACTAGAGATGAAGAGGAGTACTTGAGTATTCGAGAACTCGTCAATGTCATTACTCGAGTGCTGCATCGTGCATGCATTGTTTTTGGCTTCAGTACCATGACTCTGTTAGCTAACTGAGGTTTATGCACCATGTGAGCCGGGACCAGGAAAAGTGATGTGCAAAAAAAAGGATGACGATATTTGGACGAGTTCGATAGATGATAGGCAGACTCACGTCACAGCATTTTCTCACTCTGTTAGTAGATACTGGTGTGATGATACCAGAGCAGAAAAGAGTAGCCCGTTAACGAAAACGGTGACTGGAGACATGAGAAGACCACTGTGCTTCACACATGCAGTCCAGATGAACGGCATACCCCAGAAAACTTTAAAAAAACTGTAAAATATGTCGTAAATAATTTTCCTGTACTCAGTTAATCTATGTTAAAGTATTTTGATTACTCAAACATGGGGACTATACCAAAAAGGCACATCCCTAGTTTAAATTCAGATGGGGAATTAATTTACCTTTACTAATAAAGTTTCATACTCCAAAGTCTGTTCACAAATCGAGACAACAAGGAAGGTCACAAAAAGTCAAGTTTTACATAATGCTGATGCTGCTGAGGGCAGGCTGTCTGTTCTAAAGGTGTGGTTTTTTGCATGTTTCCAGAGAGGGGGGAGTTGAAGCATGAGTCAAGGGTGTGGCAGAGTCTGTTTGCTTTGGTCAGTACTCTGCACATTTAGGTAGTGTGACTGGTTATCAGATAGAGAAACAGGATTTGTAGAATAAATGTTTGTGATTTTGAAGATAATGTTTGGATGACGCTGAAAAATAAATAAGTGGTTTGACAGTAGGCCACTATAGTCGCAGAGACCTACATTGAAATAATTCAGATCTTTTTTTTATTATTTATTTATTTAGACAATAATAATTTATATGAGCAGTAGACAAGAATAACCGTTCCTCTTCTTGACCTTTTCTATCCTGAGTCCACTCTGTCCAGTTTAGTTCTGTGTCAGTCACACGTGAAATTCACACGGTAAGCTGTGAAAATACGCCTCCCTGGACGCACATCAGACAGGAGTTCTGCAGCGGTCTGTCAGGAAGACGGTTCTGCCACTTTCTCATTCTCTGTCTCTTCCTTTTCATGAATCAACGAGGTTCAGATTGAATAAATATTTTTTTCATTCCTTTGAATCAAGTGTGTTGGCTATTGAATGAGCAGAGAAAAAGTGGGCTATCGATCTCCATCTCTGACATTTCATTTTCTTCACATTGAGTCTGATCAGTGTTTTTGTGTCAAGGTCAGTCATTTGTTTAGAGGGAGAAGGTCACCTCTTCTGATGTTTGAGTACTGCTTATTGAATGGCTGTGTGGAGGTGTGAATTTACCCAAGATGGCACCTCATTGTTCATTAAGTACAAGAAATTAAGTCATTAACAATTAATTTAAATCACCAAGTGACACAAATTGATTCAACTGAGGGAGAGACTCTGCAATGTTTTCACATTTCTCTACTTGGACTTTTGTAAGATGTGAGATTTCATGTTGTACCGCAATACTGGAATTGAAAGGCTAACAAAATATCTCTGTGTTAGAGTCTCGTAGAAAATACCACTCAACAACAACATACATTTTCACACCCCAGATATAACAGCAACATCAGCTGGACATGTCGGAGCTGGAATCTCTGACTTTTTATTGTCTCTAAAGAGCAGCAGAAAAATTGAGACCAGTCCAGTGGACCTCAGTGTCTTTGTTATAAGACAAATAAAGAAAGTGTCCACCGAGACTCAGTCAGGTGATCGATGTGTGCTAAAAGAACAAGAGCAGGAGAAAACTTAAAGGTGATCTGACCCTGAGGTGTTACAGCCAACAATGACTCAGCGCATGACATGGACATGATATTTACGGTGAGGACTACATGATGTTCCTTCAGTCATATGGTGATGTGACTGAAGGAGGAACATGATGTTGTCGATAGGATCACCTCCTGTCATAATCTGTCTAAAGGTGTTATTGACTCTTGAGTGCAGTAAGACCAGACAACTGTCATAAAACTGCAGAGACATAGGCACTTAAAGCTGATAAGGCCTCTGCAACTGGACCTGCAAACACATATTTGCTGTTGCACTAAACTTAAACTTACTGTCAGTCTTTCTGTTGGGGGTCAGCTTTTACACAAGTCAAACTTACAGTAAGTTGTTGTAAATACCAACAGAAACAGGATGTCCTGTTGAGTTAACAGGAAGCAATGAATTTCTGTTGATTGTATTAAAACATACACTATGATACTGATATCAAAACCAATCCAAGTGCATCTTGAATCTTCTATTTTAGTGAAAAGCAGGTTATCAAAAGCAACGAGTTCAGTCCTTTTTTATGTAGAGTGTCTTTAACTTTGGGAGGTCCCCGCTATATTTCTTAGCCTGGTCAAAGTAAGCGAAGTAGAGACGACTGGAAAGTTTTTGTTCTTGCCTTTTAGAAACATTGGTGCTTCAGAATGATGGTTTTAAAAATGCATGATTTAAGCGGTATAAGACGATTTATTTTGCTCCCCCTATCACCTGTGTTTCACAAACGTATTAAGCTTCATGTACCCCATGTGTTGGCTGTAGGGATAGGCGATACTGGCTAAGAAATTTATCACAATAAGATTTTCCATTCTGGCGATAACGATAAAAGTCCTGATAAAAAATATTGTAATTCCAGTCTATATTTTTGACTCATTTTGTCTTGAGAACACCAGTTGGAGAAGTCAAATGAGATACTTAACCACAAGTTTGAGTGATAGGTTATAGAGAAAAATGATATCAAACAAGTCTGAAATGTGAAAACATTTGTTGAAAACTCTGATTGCACAGAGTGAACAGCAGCAGCAGATCCACTGTTGGACGTCAGGCAGACCTGGTTGCACTCAGCTAAACCTCAATCTTGAAGGAAATCCCTCGTGCGGAGCCTCGAGCTGCTCAGAAACGTCTTCTTCAATACTTTCATTATGGCCATGTTTGTTTGTTATTCTGCTTTACTCTGCCTCAGAGTCTGGCGCTCACGCTCACATCATCAACTTGCATTTATCGTATTTATCATGAGTTGGCAAATATTTATCATGGAGGATTTTTCTGACGCTTTGTCGTGAATGATAATTTATGGCCCATTCCTTGTTGGCAAATATTCTTGCAAAAACAAAGACGAGATAAGTTAAACGTTCTTTGATTTTCCTTCTCAGAAGAACTCTGGGGAAAAGGGGTTTGGATTTATTTGAACAAATAGTTCTTCCTGGTTCGGGTCTTTAGCACTTGAGTTTTGTCTACAGATAGGGTTATCCAAAGAAAAGAGATCAGTTCTCTCATCAACACTGGTTTTCAGACTGGACTTGCTTGCTCCCTTCTGCATGTAAACTCTCCTCCAACTGCTTGTCCCTTTCCTTGTGGACCTGCTAGATAATACCTCTCCTAATGAACTGCTGGGCTGCAGGTGTGTCCACTGCAATGAGCCCAGCGGCTGCAGCACCTGAACTGAGAATAAAACTCCATCTACCACCTCCTTCAACCTGAGCCTGTGCTGTGTTGCAGGGGCTGTTTCCCTGGTTTGCCACATGATGTATAGAATCATGCATTTAATTCTTGCTGATGACATAAACATCAGTGATGTCCTTAAATCTGTTGTATATATAATTGTATTTATATTCTCTATCAATTTATTAGAAATGACACTACAGGAACCTTCATTTGTCAACTTAGCTTTTATCGAATCATCTTCTCAGCGCTTAATAATGATAACAGATTCCCTTAGAAAACTAAGCACTCAGACATAAATCTTTGTCGTTAAATCCAACCGTAATAACAGAGAGCATGTTTGAAAGAATCATACATATATTTTGACTTTTAGTTTGACCCATGTCTCATCTGTTTACTTGGAGGAGGCAGGGTTTATTACCTAAACTGCAGCCAGCCAGTTAGTAAGCCAGCTCTAAATATTTTGGCTTCACCGTCTGTAAACACTTGTAGTGTCCATTTCAATACAGTCGAAGGTCTGATTGCAGTCATATCCACCATCTCCAGCAGCACACAGGAAAACCAGGATCTGTTTTATCCTCTAAGATGCTGCTCAGAGGTTGATGTCTGACCTTTGATCGCCCTCGACAGAGAAATAAGAAAGGAGAATTTCTCTTGTAGCAGTCACTTTAGTCTTGTGTTATCATTGGGTTACAAAGACAAACTAACATACTGATGGGATCTGGCAGAGACAGCTGCTGCCTGTTGAAGCATGTTTGTCTTATAAATATCACACACTTTCAAGCTGTGATCCAGTTACTTATTTGAGGAACAAATACCACATTTTTGGCGCCTTGATGCTCTCACTACACGGACAAACAAGAGGAAAATCCAGCCCCTTTGTACGCACAAGCTGGCTTCTATTTTTGGTAAACTGCAGATTTGTTCCAACAGACTACACAATCACATCTTGAATGTGTTTTATGTGTGTCAACAGGGCCAGAGAAGGGGGTGATGAGGACTCTTAATGCAGATGACCAGTGATGGCCACAGCATCTCCTCAACAGTAAGTACAGAATTAAAATTCTATTATTCATGCCAAAAAAGGAAATGCAGACTACACCTTTATGCAGATTTAATCTTTCTTAATCTGCTCCAAAATGTCAAATCAAAACGCTGACTAACAACATTTGTCTTTTATTTTTTTAGTTTGTTGGATGAAGTAGTAAACCCTGGCCAACAACAGGAACATCAGCAGCAGCAGCAGGAGTTTCTTGCTTCACTGGAAACAATTGTCCTCACCATCTTTCTGTCCATCATTATCATCATGACAGTATTTGGTAACCTGCTGGTAATGGTGGCACTCTGTAAGGACAGACATCTTCGGTGAGTCTTTTTGTGTGCTTGGAGAGGTCGTACAGATCCTCTGAAATAGAGATAACAGTGAGGCTTTGTTTCTGATGCACAGAAACCCACATGTTCCTGTAAGGTTCACAAAGAACCTTTTTAGGACTTCTTAAAGTTACAGAGTCAAACCTCAAAGTTATGCTAAACATGATACAGTTCTGAGCATAGTGCACAACTTTATAAAATGCTTTTTCTACACGTATTTTAATCTCATACTTGTTTCATTTAATCTGTTTTTCTATCAGAAAGAAGAAGACAAACTACTTCATTGTGTCACTGGCGTTTGCTGACCTCCTGGTTGCTGTGGTGGTGATGCCATTTGCTGCAATCGAGCTGACCACCGGCCAGTGGCACTACGGAGAGATTTTCTGCCTGGTACGAACCTCTCTGGATGTCCTGTTGACTACAGCATCCATCCTGCACCTCTGCTGCATTGCTCTGGACAGGTTCGTTTGTCTGTTTTTGCCTTTCGTTATCATGGAGGCATATGAGCTTTATGACTGACGGATGAAATTATTTTTAAAGATTCATACTCCAAAGATATGAATTAAACTGCAGAAAGTGCAATATTTAAATGTTCATGTTCATGTTTGTGTAATTACAGGTATTATGCTATCTGCTGCCAGCCCCTGGTCTATAGACACAAGATGACTCCCATCAGAGTGGCAGTGATGCTCAGTGGCTGCTGGCTTATCCCCACATTCATCTCCTTTCTACCCATAATGCAAAGCTGGAATGCCATCGGCATTGAGGATATTGTAAGTCACATAACTAAGAATAGAAACCAAGGAGTGGATGTGCTGTCGTACAGTAATGAGCTGGAAATAACATTATTTTTTCATAAAAAAGAGCTTGTAATTTGATCAGTTCCTTTATATATTTTTCTTTACTTAGTTTATAAAAGGTTTTACTAAGAAGAGGTTATTTACTAAAGGCCTAAAGAGAGAGATGTTCTCCATGTGAAGGCAAATACATCATAAACCTCTCCAACCTCATACTCCCTCTTTCTAATAACTTCTACAATCCCTTGCACAATGACGAGGTAATACTGAGATCCAGGTTCCAGTGGAAGCTCTCTTGCTGCGAGCAAAGACAGGAGTGCAACAAGGTTTTTTTTTTTGCTGGTTTGGCTTTGTTTGGTGCAAGGTTATCTCAGAGCTACCTTAAAATGAGCTGCAAGACTCCCAGAGGCAGAAGGGATAGATGACTTTATTCAGCCAGGGCTAATGAAATGCACAGTTCCTTCTATTTCAGGAAGACGGCATCAAAACAGTCATGGATTTATGAAGCTTTACGTCGCAAAAAAGCTTTAAAATGACTTATTGTCTGTAAATGAAGGTCAGGTTTGAGTTGAAATTGTTGTGTGTTTGTTTGACTCTCTGCCCTAAGAAGAGCTCCAGCAATGTCCTTGTTCTCAAAGACACCAGATTTATGTAGAATATCAACACAACAGAAATCATGGTATCACACCATCAAAAGAGTGTTTAATTGTCAAAAAAGCTTTTGTCCTCTCGAGGATTGTAAAGGATTGCACAGGGACTGCAGGAGTTGGAGCAGCAGGCCTAACAGCAGTAATTTTTCAACGTTTCATGCAGTTTCACCTTGTTGCAAAACAGTCACAAACAGAGAAGTAATGATTACTTCTAGTAGATCTGGAAAGACATGTACTTAGGAGTCATAGACTCAAGAGCTGTGTCCAAAATAGGGACTACAGCCTTTAAAGGTAGGGTGACCATATTCTGAATCCCCAAAAAGAGGACACTGCTACGGGCGGAGTCGTGTGCTAAATTTTGAGGGTTTTGCAGGTTGAATGTTTTTTTGCGTGCTCCTAACTCAGTTAGTCCACGCTACACAAACTCAAAACTTCCATACATTTGAAGGATTTTATAAACTTCCCCCAGACAGGTCAGACAGTCCCCCAAGTTAGCGGACATGTTCGGGTAAAAGAGAACATATGGTCACCCTATCCAAAGAGCCTAGCCTTTGAAGGACTTGGTCGCTGTGATCTGTGTACACCAGTCAGACCAAACTGAACTGAGAGGGCCTACTCTTTAGAGATTGTGTTCATGTCACTTCCTGACAATAGTGTCATGTAGTGTAGCATAGGATAGCTAACCAGCTATCAAACACCATCACCAACATTTCAAAGATAATCTACGGTTTTAATGAATTTGTGAAGTTGTGAAGTTAATGAATTAAATGAAGTTCATACCAAATACTGTTATTCAACAATGTATTACTCAGCAGTTAGAGAGTCTGCTGCCTCAACTGTATTGGGGCTCAGAGAATTATTGGACAAATGGAGCTGTGCAAGATGCTCCTAATCCAGTCTCCATGGCCAGGAAAAGTTTGACACGTTTGCAGTCCAGGTTTGGAGGAGTCTTTGTAATGGGAATGCCTCTGTGACACATTTGGTCTTCATATGTGGCCTTTAAAGTCTGGAGGCCCTGAAACAAGCTTATTATTAAATTTGAACTTCTTGCATCTTTATGAACCTTTGTTGAAGTAAAAGGTTATGTCCTGTTTGTCCCCCATTTCTGTCCTTGTTGTGTCTGATACCTCAGATCGAGGAGAGGAGGGCTCTGGCAGGAGGCTCCAACGACACAAGCTGTGTGTTCCTGGTCAACCGTCCGTACGCCCTCATCTGCTCTGCTGTGGCCTTCTACGTACCGTTAGCTCTGATGGTCCTGGCCTACCAGAGAATCTACGTCACTGCCATGACCCACGTTCGGCAGATCGAGACACTCCAGCGGGCCGGCTCTGCTCCTGTTCCTGGGACAGTTCCAGCCATCACAGTGAGGTCCTCCACTTCTTCAGATCCGATGGAGCACTACCGCTGTAGGACACCAATGGGCTCCTCCCATTCAGAGCACGCTCCCATGGCGAATAGCCGCATGCGTGTCGAGACGAAGGCAGCAAAGACGCTGGCTGTAATAATGGGCTGTTTCTGCCTTTGCTGGGCACCATTCTTCATCACTAACGTGGTGGACCCTTTCATCCATTACTCAGTGCCCTGGCAGCTCTGGACAGCCTGGCTTTGGCTGGGGTACATTAACTCAGGTTTGAACCCTTTCCTGTACGCCTTTTTGAACCGGGCGTTTCGGAGGGCGTTTCTGGTGATTCTTTGCTGTGGTGATGAGCGGTATTCAAGGCAAGCGAGCTGCTCGTACGGACACTCCAACAGAGCGTGCTCAGCTGCATCAGTCAATGGCACATCTATGGCATTGAGGTATGTACACAATAAAACACACTTTGTTGGTCTTTATTGAAATAAGCAGCTCCTATTTTGTTCTCTTATCTGAGTGAGTGACTTCCCTCACCAGAGACGGAAAACATTGATTGGTTGTGGCAATTTTAACGACGAGCTTTCTTGACCACAGTGCCTAGGTGGGTAGACCACGTCAGATCTTCTGTGATCTGGACACCGAGGTATGTGATCTAAATACCTTTTGCCTCATCGGCCTTAGATGATCAATTAGAAAAGACAGAATACCATAGTGCAACCTTGGTCCTTACTTTTTCAAGATCATGTCACAACCTGAAGTTCATCTGCCGTGGCCTCTCTAGTAAAGAATGCTGAAAACTGGAGCAGACTCTTCAGATTAAATATTTCATGAAAATGTAGAAGGTTTGCCTGTACTCAGCTTTATATAGAAAAAGAGTTAATAGTTGAATGAGTTTGTAATTAGATTAGATAATGATAAAAAAATAAAGATTACTGCCGATGTCAAAGGATCTAAACTGTCTCTTCACCTTTAAATCAGTTTCTATCAAAAACGGTGATCTGAGTTAATTTCTTGTTTAAATTAATTTAATTCATAAACAGTAAAAAAATATATATTTATATGTAGGCTTTTGTTATTTTGATAAAATTAACCATACAGAAGGGGCAGCAGTCATTTTATAAAGAAGTCTTTGTTTTTTAGATAGTCTTGGATGTTTATACAAATCCACTGAGTCAGGTACAGAGGGAGTTATCACAGCATCCATTTAATAGATTTCCAAATATTTTATTCCCCCACCCCTGATATTTATGTCTCGATGCTGAATAACCTTCGTGCTCACCTGACCCCTCCAGTATTTGTACAGTACTTGACCTATAATAGCTTTATCAGTTGCATAAATATTGACAGTCCCGTTAGCGTAACAAAAGCTGTCCCAGAGTCTATGCTAATAAAGTAATCTTAACTTGATTATTGACTAAGCTAACATGGCGCCCTTGTTAAAACAATGATTTACCTGATAGTTATTACCAAAGTAAAGAAGCTGGCCAATTTGTCCCCCTGCCCCACTTTCTGTTTCCATTGTTTCTCCCAGCTCCATCACTTTTAGTTTTGTCGTTTCTACTGTGATGACAGTCCTTATTGCTCAGTGCACAAAGAGAAAAAAAATGGCTTCCTCAAGTAACAGTCTTATCAAGCAGTTCAAAAGTCACTCTTTAAGAATTGAATTTTGCAATCATTTCTAATATTTTATGAGCCCTTGCTTAGTTTTCTTCGTAAAAGGATGACTGGTGCTTCTTTTTACTGCAGTTTTCCTGATTGTAAACTTTATTGCTTAAGTACTTAATGTTCTCATAAAGTCTTCAATAAAAAGTGACTCTACTCTTACAAAATGTTTATTGGCTTGACGGTAAAGCTAATGTCCTATTTTAGATATGAGTCATCAAACGTCATATTTCCTCGAAGCGTAGAGCGTGTTGTTGAGGCCAGGTGTCCCCAAAGGTGCAGATTTGTGGTTTTTATGGATTTGAGTCTTAAAAACTGTTGAGAAGATGTGATCATGATACTTCTGCAACTTTACGGCAGGACTGTTGAAGTCACTGACTGAGATTTAGTGGACATCTGTGTTTGTGCTCTCACATCGGTGGGAATGATGGAGGAGGTGATCTGCTTGTGTCCGCTCTGTTGAACTTAAACACAAGTGCCTCACTGACGCAGAGTCCATTGCATAGATATTGAACACACACACACCAACCGGACACAAAAGTCTGCAATGACTTGGTGAAAAAGGGTCACCTCAAAACTCTTCTGCTGCCAGTTTTGTTATTATTTTTAAATGTGCGTACAGTCTGTGCGATCGTAGTCTCTGCGTGCAATCTTTCCGGCTTTCCTTCTGTGTGTACAGGAAACAGAGACAAGCAGAGTTAAGTCCAATCTGATGTCCTCTCTTAAAACCTGTCCTGGACAGAAAACAGACTCAGACCATCTGATAAGAGCCAGCCTGCAGAATAGCAGAAAATGAAACTACTGGAGGAGGTTGAAGTTTCTTTGGGCAGTTAAGAGATGGATAATGTGTGTGTGTTGTGTTTACCTGTGTTGTTGTGATATGAAGCCCTAGAGTAGTTCCTCACAACATTCTCACATGCATGTGCTCACACATCTTTATCCACCGGTTGCTTCACTTGTCTGTCATCTCTGTGTTTTGACTCTTGTTCTTTTACAAAACCTGCATCAATCTGATCTTTCGTCACCGTGAAAATCCTGAGGCTGTTTTCCGAATGATCCTCACAATGCACACTCACACAGACACACAAAACCCCTCCGAATGTAAACACTCACAGCTTTACCAGTGGATAGTAGACACTAGTTTGTGATTGTAGTCATAACAAAGACCCTGTGTTGTAAATACAGTCTAGGGTCCCTGTTCTTTACATTCGGATATATTACACAGTGTTTCTGAATGCACTTGTGTGTGTTTTACCATACCTACGACAACAACTTGCAATTCAGTGACTTAAAAAATTTTAGACTTAAAAAATGTTAATTCAGTGGACAGTGCAATCACAAAAGTTAGATGAGTGTGCAAATTGTCATGTGGAATGTACACAACATTCTCAGGTCTCCATGTTTAGACCGCTCATATGCCGTACAGTTATGGGGAACAATAGTTTAACACAAACTGGAACTCCTTGGCATGGAATGGGAATCACTGGTCGTCAGTGAGCTGTTTTTGGGGTGACGTTTTCAACATGCACTTGTGCAAATTTCACAATGTGTAATAGTGTTATACAAACAATATCCAAAATGAAAATAAACGCTGTGCAGAGAGTATTTGGATTTTAGATTTACAAGTCAAGATGATAAAGTACATCTCATTTGTTTGATTCCGAACTCTAGGTATTGGGGAGTAGAATTAAAACCTGTGTTGACCATAAACTGTATATACTATGGACAACTTGGCTCCACCTTCTGCCGTTATAAGAACTTGAAGCCGAATTGCTCTCAGTAATTCCAGGATTTTCTCCACTTTCTTGAACCACCACTGGCAGAGAGTCGCCAAGAGTCGCTGCGGCTCAAACAGCGTGACCCCGGGTGAGCTACATGAACTTTGTACATCCATAGGCTGTATCAAGTGTCAATCATAGAAAACATGAACCCCCTAATAACTTTTAAGAATGGTGCTGCACAGAAAAAAGAGGACTTGAGCACAAACCAGTCTGACAATAACTGCATGTCAACATCGCAACCGAGGGGAGTAAAATTTATATTCTGTGGAATTAATTTCTAAAGTTTGTCCACAACTCCATTGGGATTGCTGAGGCGGGAATAATGACCTATACTGCAGCCTGTCAACAGAGGGTGCTATTCTTGCGGTGGTTTCACCCAGTGAGGAGGCAGATGTGTGAATTATGTACACAGTTTATGGTTTTGAAATGCAAAATAATGGGATTTGAAATGTGATTTCAACAAAACTATTTGATTCCGATTTACTTATGAAGTTTAAAAATTGATAGACTTAAAATTGCATTGTTTGACAGCCTGATTCATAATTATTTCTGTGTTTTTGTTCTATGCAAGACACACTTTTGCATCTTAACATGAGAAGAATTTAATTTAATGAGAAAAGCAGCTCTCATTTAATGTCTCTTGAGCTCTGGTCCTTGTTTCAGTGTTAACTTGAAGTATCAGACTAAAAGCAGCCGGTGAATACTGTGAGCAGCACGAAATACTCAGCTGCTGGTTACATGCTGGGGCTGTCAATGCTACATGCTGCTTTTTCTATGGTTGGAAATTTTTGAATTTGAATCCAACTGTCCTGGTCCTCTGTCGGCTCTATCATCCTCCCTCCCTCAGAGCAGCTGACATCAGTACTTAAACAGTGTGGGCTGAATGTGTGAGCTCCAACTCAAAAATAAAAGAACGAGAGTTAAAGGTGTAAGAAAAGACGCTGCTGAGACTTCGAATGACAATTTACCTGCCTAGTCTTTATAGAAATCTATATAATATAAAATTAAACATGTTCAGGAAGCCAGAGTACTGCTCTGAATCCTCCATCGCAGTAAGTGCTTGGTGACTGATGGGATAGATAACAAGCTACTACTCAAAATGTCCAGCTCTTCCTGTGATAATAAATCAAGCTTACAGCGATCTGTCCTAAATTCACCTCAATCTTACTTAGATCCCAGGTTCTGTTGAATATCAAAATACAGCCGAGCAGCCACCAGTCAGCTATCAGCTTGTAAAGTCAATGTGACCATTATAAATCCAGCTGTGTTTCCAAAGCAAAGTATAGCTGTTTGGAAACTTAACTACATTTAGGAGGAGTTTGTGTGGGAATTAGAGCATTTGGGACTTTTTGGCTTCTTCTCAATCAATGCTCCCTTTTATTAACAAATGGTTTTTTTTTATCTATTTTGACGGTAAATGAATCCCAAGGGTGATGTCTCCATACGTCTGTGGGCAAATCTAGAGGAAGCCAAAAACCATCACCCTGACATCCTCATAATCTCAGCTCGGGGCGATCTCTAAACTACAGCCTAGATGTCACCAGACTTCACTGTGCACGTTTTCTGGAATACATGCAGAAACAGACTGACACTCACACACATGAGGGGATATTTTTTCAATAATCCATTCATTAAAAATTTATCTTGGTGCCACTGACCACGGTGCTCACATTGTGCGGCTTAAATAGAAATATGTGGTTAGACACCCCTGATTCACTCTGCACAGTATAGGGCTGTCACAATATCAGAGTTTTCCCTCACAATGGTCATAATGGCCAAAAATATGAGGATCACTGTATTATCACGATATTCATGTCAAAGTTATAATTCAAAACAACACAGTTCAATCAGAAAAGACAAGAAAAGGGCGGAGCAACAGTCCTGTATAGTCCTATAAATAAACACAGACAACTTAAATGTCATCATCCGTTTCTGATTTTGTTCAGATTCCTGATTCATCCACATCACTGTCTGTGTAACTGAAGCTTCTTTAGAGAAGACATTACCTCATATAACGATTGTTATCTCTTACATTTTAAAACTCTGCTTTTATTTTGACAGGTAGGAAACTTCTTTTAATTGAGTTTCCAAGAACTTTCAGGAAGGATAGTCAGTAACTCATTCAGACTCAAGCTCTAAAAATCATGACATATCAGATTTTCAAAGTGCTGAATCATCTCTTGAAACTGTTCAAAGTCTGCCACCAGCATCAATATCCACCTCTATGAACTCACGTTTGCTTATTTTGAACACAGTCTCCATAATGAAGGGATTAATTAAGACAGTAACCATCAATACTGGTATATTATGACAGCTGTGCTCACAGGTGAAGGTGTGTGACGATCTGAATGAGGAGCAGGTCATCAGTAAAGAAGAGCACACTTTGACAGAGTTTACAGGGACAGGCTGAAGGAGTGTAAACACTCCAGTCTGTGATTTATTATGAGACTTTGGGGATTTATTAATGTTTGATTGAACTCTCAAATCCTCCAGCTGCTCCTTTCGGCATCTGACAGTTTTCTTTGTTATTTTTTTACCAGGAGATTTGAGGTGTCTATTTCTCATGTTTACCGAGCATTTCAGTGAAATTTCTCTTTTTGCGTATTTGTTCACCTATTTTATTTTCACTCCATCTTATGATCATTTTTACTTAATCACTTTTTTTTCTTTAATTTCAGCAATTTTTCCAACATAATTGCCTCGAGTAAAAAATAAATAGTCGGAGAAAACAGGAGCAGCAGAAAGCTTTGAGCTTTTAAAAGCTGAAGTGGCTCACCAGGGTGTTCCTGCGTTTATCTCTACCTCAAATGAAACAAGATTCATTATCTTGATTTATTGACTGAAGAAAATAAAAGAGACATGATTGAAAGTTGGACTATTACATTTGAAAAATAATTGCTTCATTTGCAACCTAGAAATGTTCTTCCTGTGATACCACCAAGTCAGGGAGGAGGAGCACATTGAATGCTGTGTGATGATGAGTAAGGGTGCGATCACACCTGCAAACACTCCAAACTATTCTGGAAATGCCAGTTGTGTTGTGTTTGGCAGAGTGTGAAGTTATTAGCAAAAATCATATGACTCAGGAGGAGTTTATTTACTGGGCTGAGTTTTAGTAACCTGTCCCTCTGCCATGTTGGACATTTTAGCGATGAATGAGCACAAACAAACATGATGACTCAATTTATTTCTGTTTAATTTTGTGGCTTGAGCACCTGCTGCTGATCTGTTGTAGGGATCTGTCTTTTGCTGCAGGCAAACTGAGTCTAAGTTGTAATACAGAAATCCTCTGTTAGTGTTTAGCTGCTGACCCGGTTTTAGCTTCAGGTGAATCACATACTGTACATTTCTTTGTCTGCTCAAGATGGACAGAAGTAAAGGGACTTAAGTCTGATTCAGACGATATAACGGCTCAGTTTAAATCTGACATAAACTCTGGCAGTCAGCATGTGCAGAGCTGATATTACGCTGGAGATGAGGTTCGGGCATTCTTAGGATTTGTTTGTTCATTTTTGTCATTTTTCTGATCTTGTGCTTTCACTTTAGACTGTCTGCAGAGAAAATGTTCCTCAGTGGAGGGATAAAGATGTAAGCCACTTCAGTTCAGGTCACTTTGTTAAATTGTTTTCTGTTTGGACTGTATGTTCTCAGTTAAGGCCTCAGCATGCCAAACATTAAATATGTCTTTGCTGCCCCTCACTGCTGGGTGAACTGTAGGGTTCAAGTGTGTTACAGTCTGAAAAACAGCGAGAAAGAAATAGTTCTGTTGCACTGCAGATAAAAAAATATAACATTCAGATACTATGTAGAGAAAGGATAAAAGATAGACGGTTAGGAGACACTGACAAAGAGATTGTCCTGCGGTGTGAGGTATGAGAGGAGAGACTTAAACTCCTGCGATTGGCACAGAAGACCACCAGGGCCGCACCGATTTGGAGTCACAGCTTGAAGTGTGACGTTTGTTGGATGTTTAAAGAAAGGACTTCGATGGCAATAACAGGACATGTCTCTGGTATACATACCACAATCAAATTGACAATAGCTGAACAGAAACTTTCACAGCTGTTTACTGGGTAGCTAAGGAGCCAGCAGTGTTTACTTAGACAACCATCTTATCGTGCGTCATGTTTGTGTACTCTAAAGGCATGTTTGACTGTAAGACATTGAGAAGATGTTCAGTTGTTGGGATTTCAGGACTCTGGTTGCTGGAGAATCTGTTGCTCAGGACATGCATGTTTCTAAAAAAAAAACTGATTTATTGCCAAAGTGCGACTGAAATTTTATTTTAATTTCCCAGTTTGGGATCAATAAAGGCTATCTATCTATCTAACTAGACTTCTAAACAAACTTTTCAGTCAGACTAACATACTTGGGTACTAGGATTCTCTGTTTGTCTGTTCTTAGTTGGACTGAAACTGGCCAAAGCGTTCTGCACATGCTCCAGCGATTGCACGCAATAAGGAAGTTGAATAGCGTGAACATGGTACGAGGAAGGCGAGTAAACAAAACCTTGACAGAAGGAGAAAGGATGTAAAAAAAAAAGACAAAAACTTCCTTCTGTATAAACAGACTGAACAGAGCTGTAGAGGTGACCGCATATTCATCGTTCAGTGTGCATCCTGTTAGCTAGCCCGTTTGGCTACTGTTTTGATACGTAAAACCAGATGGTGACGAGCTGATAGGGGGCATGCCGCCACCTACTGGTGCGGAGGTGGACATGTGTTGCCTGCCTGTTGCTTGTAAACTGGGAAAAGAACAGTAGTCCAGTTAAGAGTGTAGTGTATAGCTTGACTTAACTGCATTGAAACACACTGAGAGGTGTTGTGTGTTGTCTATCTCATTGCAGTCCACTCTCTATAAGCACAAATCTCCTAAATCTGTTATCCTTTTACATCATGAGCTGGGCCACGTGTTGAAATCTGGTAAAGTCTTAAAAATCCTTTTATATTAGACAGACTGTGGTCAATCCAGTGACCACAGTCAATCCTGACTCCCTCTACTTTCCATATTCAGGGGATTGGGAATATGGTAGCATGTAGCTCAAAGCTAAAAGCCACCAAGTGTCCAACAAACTCACAGAGCCCCCACTTCCCTGGAGAATAAGTCTTGGTCTTTGTCCAAAACTTAGTACTGTATGAGTAAATCATTCGAGTAATGGATTACATTATTTCCATATACTTGTACTGTATGTAAACACTGTATATCTTTGGGGCGATGACTGTTGAATGGACCTGTTGATTTTAAAGGATTCAGAAGCCCCATGCATGAAGGGAGACTGTTTTCATCAGATGACCTGCTTTACTGCTGGTGAGCTTTTTGAAGAGTTTCTGATAAAAGCAGCTGCTTATAAAGTAATCATCAGACCAACAGTAACCTAAACACGAGGCGAGAGCATGGAGGACTTGATGGAGTGAGGCTGAGGCCACTGAAGTCAAACTAGGTCAACGTGTGTCTGACTTCTTTCCTGACTCTTTCTCATAATCAGCAGAGACACTTGATACTTCTGAGTTTCATGTGGGTGTTTTATTATTCAAGAAAAAAAGGAAACGGTTGAGTCTAAGCAGAGCTTTTTACTCCGTCACTTATTCACACAGCTCAGTTTTGCCTCAGCACTCGACTGTTCGCGACTGACCCGCTCCTCTCTGTGGTCATGCATTCTGAAAAAAATCAATGTATTCACGGAGGAGAAGAAAAACACTCATCATTTACTTTCACACCACATTCTCACCTACTTTTCTGCACCCTTCTTTGGACTCTGAGCCATCCAACTGACCGGACATTTAAAAAGTTTTCGCAGAAATTGTTTTGCCTTCAGTGTTTTTCTGCTATTTGTTCCCTTAGCAACAGCAAGCAGGCAGGTAGGAGAAAATAATGAGTGAGTCATCAAAATAGGTCACAGACTGATTTCCCTACGATGCACTTGAACGATACAACAGGATTACATGTGGTGGGCTTTCACTCCAAAAGAATATAGAACACATGAACAAGACTATAAACAAATCCTGAGAGCTTTTCAACCGGTCAGAGCAGGTAATATGAATGTGTCAAGATGGAGTTTTTCATATTATATTTAGAAATTATGTCAGAATTTTATCAAAAATGTTAACTTTTCATTTTCACTTAAATTCTTTAGATATAGGTGACAAAATTAGAAATGCACATAAAGATATGTTGAGATTATATTATATGTTTTTTAACCTTTTTTTGACAAATTAATATGGGAGCCCATCCAGAAACCTAGAAAAAACAAACCTGGATAGATTCAAGTTTTAATTCTCTACCTAAAATAAAAGACGGTACTCTATCTTAGAGGGGATGATGACAGATGAGCCTGAAAGGAGGTGTGTCATTGTGTGTCAGATCATCTTGAATCTGTCAGGACTGATGCTCTTTAGCTGCTGCTTGAATGGATTTTGACTGAAGACGGTTTTAACTGCTCCGGTTTTTGCCAAAAGACTGAATCTGAGTCGATGTATTCTTCAGACTTAACCTATGGTGACTGGCTGGGTTGTGTGTGTGTGTATTTTAAGGAAGACTGTGTGTGTTTGATTGACAGAAATGTAGTTAGTTTTTGTCTAAGGTGTGAAATAGTTAAACAAACTTGTCCATGTGTCTTAAGGCTCTCGGAGATGTGTTTAACATTTCTGATACAGCCAGATAAAAGCCAGAGCTAGAAACAGTGGTCACTGATTTATATTTTAACTGAATAACAAAATTGTCAAGCACCAATGCAATATAGCTACTGGAGGGTAAATCCATTTAAAACACACAACACTTGCAGAAAATGCACAAACATGAACAAAATGAGTTCTGTGGACATGCACCGAATGGAAACATGCGAAAGAGTGAGTGCTGCATACAGACAGGTGTCCAGAGCAGTTGTGGATGTGGTGCCTTGCTCAAGGGCACCTCAGAAGCACCTTAAAAAATGAGGAGCAGGGAGCAGAGAGTTCATGCAGCAAAGTGCTGAAGGTTGCAGCCAAACCCAGTCCGCCTACTTCAGGGACTTTAGCCTCAGTACACCGGGCAGGATTTAACCACCAAGACAACTGGCTCCACTAATGATGACCGTAGGCAGAGAATATCGACTTCAATTCAGTAATAATGGTGCTACATGCAAATAAAGGCAAATGAGCTCTGTTTTGTTTTAATCCACCCACATAAACACTCACAAATATACAAATGCAAAGTCTGGAATAGAAGCAGCGTCTTACTATCTGGTAGTTTATCTCGGAGCAGGAAGTGGCCTAATTAAAAATCAGTAAAATTTAACCATTTTCATTCTTGGTTTAGAGGCAGGAGGTGATTTTTTCTTAAATCAGTTGTTAGCTATACAGTTTAAGCTGATAAGACACTCCGAGACATATGGACAAAATGTCAAATTTAAACAATTTCTCAGTTTTGTTCTCAAAATGATGATTTGAATGGTGGTGGACCTCTATTTATGATCAAATATGACGTTTAAAATCAAGTAGAGTGTGTTGCTAGTAAAAATGACATTTTGAAAGGTCTGTGCTAAATTTTTGTTCCTCTAAAACCTGCTGGGACATGATTTAAGGTCATTCCTTGAAAGGACATTGTGATTAAAAATGGCTTCTTCTGCAAAACCAAACATGAAACACTGAGGATTTTCTGCCCTAGAAACCCAGATCAAACTCAAAAAGGGCTGCAGTCTGGATTTATTCTGAAGAACGGTTAGTGTCTCAGTCAGTCACTGTCACGATTGTATTTCTTAAAGGAAACAACAACATGCAGATGCAGCGATCACAAAATATAGACTTCAACATTTAGCGTGCATATTTCGGCTCCCCACTCTTTTCTGCATACCTGTCAAAGTATCCTGTTTACGCTGCAAAACTATTTTATTTTACCCCTCTTTTCTTTCCCGCCGTCTTCCTGTATTAGTATTGTCCTGTAAATCTCCTGTATTATAAAATATGTTTAAAAAAAAAACATTATTCTGCCCCTCCAAACTGAACTCTATCACGAGCGTGCGTTAAGTACCCACCAACTAGTCAGCTTTCTCGATGAATTTGTGACCAGCCCTTCTTAAGAGAAAATTAACAAATGTACAAGAGCTGATTAGTTTATCATTGCTACGTTTTATACAAGGACATCATAAAACAGTGTCGTAATAGTCCAGTATTTTACTTTGTTGCCTGTCTTGTATGTAAATTAGGTGTGCCATCTCATGCTCCTGATTGGCTGCTCTGGTAGCCACCTGGGGGCTCGTTCTCATAGTCCTTTTTCCTCGCTTTTCACTCGTAGGTTTTTTTGTGTTGTGGTATTTCTTGGTTGGCAGTTTTTTCTTGGTGTGTGAGGAGGTACTTGTTGTCTGTCACTAATGCTTAGACATTAAGTTTAATGGGCTTGAAAAATGTAGGCAAATAAACATAAAACAATAAAAAATACCAATGATAAAACCATTATTACTGTCTCTTTATGTTTGTTGGTTGAGTGAATGTTATAGTACTGTGGAAATGCTTAGTTGGACCAGAGTTTTTGACCATAAAGGTACTTTATATTTATAAACTAATGCTCTGTTGTCTCGCCTCAGGAAGACAGACGAGGATCTTCATTTTGGAATGACTGGAGGTTAAGGAAAGACGCGTCTGCTTGAGAAATTAGGCTGGCCGGGATACGAGCAGCAGATATCTTATGCATGTACCAGCAGGAGAAAAAGTTATTTGAAGGGGGTTTGACATTGTTTACAGTGGTGTTTCATCAAGTAGAAGCTACATTCAGGACCTCAAGAGTTAAAAGTATTCTTGCCCCAGTGTCCTAAAACATATCCACATAATAAAACAGCATTGTCAAAACAAGAACAGCACACATTTCTGGAGTATATAAGCAGTCGAAAACCTTCAAATGTTGTGGTGGTAAAGAGTCGATAAGTCATAGTAAAATGTTTGTGCCAGTTGTGTCTTGGGAAGATCCTTGCTGTGGTTGTAAGATTTACTGTCAGAACAGCTCAGGTGATCCTGAACTGTAAAAGCCAAATCCTGACTTACTGGATTTCAGGTCTAAAGATGAATCATTTGACTCCCAGTAGATCTGTCCAGCATGTTTGTTGTTTTGGACATAAATTAGCCTCACTGGCTCAGATAGGGGTACAGAATAAAGTCAGGCAGCCACCGAATATCCCTCGAGCTGTCTGAGTTGGACTCCAGTCTGTTTTTTTATGTGTTCTTGGACACATACAGAAGAAAAGTTTACCCGTTTGTTCAGCCGTCAAAGTAATATCAAGAATACACATTTGGAATTAATGATTCAAAACATGGTTGAGATTTTTTTTAACCTGGTGATCTGTGAGCTACGCTAACGCCAACTCGACATCCTCAGTGTTCCTGTGAGAAAGCCCACTAATCCCCCCATCCGGGCCTCTTCTCTCACCACTTCAGCCCTTTAAGCGAGGAGATGAGAGCGAAATTTGATTATTTAACGTCTCTGAAAGATATTAGTGCAGAATGAAAGGAACACAAACTGCTCCTCTATCTCCTGCTGATCTCTCTTTAGGTCACATAACAGATCAGATGATGTTTTCACAGGAGTGACATGATGTCTGTAGTACAGGACGGAGATGATGTTTGGGCGATTGAGGTGGAGACAGGAATTTGGAGTGGTTCACAAAACAGAAAGACAGGGTGCACGGAAGGCAACTTCTCATAGACTTAGACGGTAACAAGGAGACTGTTTTATCCCCCCAGCAGACATGCAAGCACACCATGTGGAAAAAGGCAATAATTCTATAACTCACACTGGTGTTATTTACAAGCATGACATTTATATCCTCTGAATTAATTCAATAATGATAGTAATCCTGTAAAACTTTAACTCCATTTTGATACACAAAAACATCAAATCAAAATATAGTCCTCTTCATGCTGAGTTTCAGCTTCTCCCATCTAAGAGAAAGTACACTTTCACTTGCAAGACCAAATCAAATCGGTTCCTTAAATCCTTTGTCCCAACAGCCATTGGTTTTTTAAACAAGCTGTAGGCAGGCGTGATGGAAATGATGCACCCTTAGTTTGTGCTGACTCTGTGTATTTATATATTTATTGTATTTGTGTGTGGTATTGGATGTATGCATTTCTGGAATGTGAGGTATTGTAAGAATGTGTGTTTTAACTTCTGTTGCAAACAGAATTGCCCTTAGGGGACAATAAAGATTTTCAAATCAAATCAAATCAAACATCAAATCAAAATAAAGTAAGTCATGATTGTTGTCCAACTAGTTATAGCAAATTTAGTCATTATTTCCTGTGTTCGTTATTAACTGTTTTTTTATTTTTTTTATCTTGCCCCCAAATCAGAGCAAAAATGATGTTTTGACGTGAGAGTGTATCTCAAGAGCTCTCTTCGTAACATTATACATCGATTCTCTACATTAATCCACAAGTGAGTTTGCACTTGGCAATAACAGCAAGAAAATTCATTTGGTCTTCCTCCGCTGGACTCTCCAGCCAAGTATCCGGCTCATGATCCTTCATGCTCCTTTCTCATTCACCAGTACTCTAAGCACCAGCATCTCTCTTGGGATCATCCACACAATAATCCACTGATAGTCCTTACAGTTGTTGCCTCTGTGTTGGCTCCCACAGCATCAGTTTACTGGCTGGGACCTTTGGCAATGGCTACAAGCCTCCTTCTTCTGGATGCTATTTACCCACTCACATCTGGTGACCCCTCATATCTCTCTTTATCCAGTTTAGTGTTATGTCTGAAACATCTTGATGTGATCTGGTTCTGTTCGAGGTTTCTGCCTGTTAAAGGAATTTCTTCCTCTCCTCTGTAACTGGATAAATGCTGCAAACTGTGTCATTCATGGGGTTGAAGATGGGATGGAAGTGGGTCTGATCTCAAAACACGTGTCTTTTCACGTCTGCTTTTTTGTGAAGAGTCTTGAGATAACACTCGTTGTGAATTGGCGCTATATAAATAAAGATTGATTGATTGAAACAGATTGAAACCTCAAGCCCGACTTGACTCAATGATTAAAAGACGTGGTCTACTCATTTATCAGTTGAGAGCTTGGTTCATTTCAGTCTTCGTGACTCTGTGTTTGTAAAACATCCACATTTTATCTTAATAAATTAAAAAATAATTGAGAAAACAAGGCTGTTTCTCATCAGAATAATCAAAAGCCTGGAGCAGTAAAAACTTTGACTCGGCACTGTCTGAGCACAGGAAACGGCCATCACGAACAAATGACAGACAAAAACAAACAAAAACAACAACAACTATTTAATATTTAAAAGCCTCGTCTGAAATGTTCACTATGAGTTAAAACCTCGCCAAAAGAATCCTGTTTAAGAATTCAACTTCCATGAATTCCCATGATCTTTCCCTGAGTTTGCAGTTCTTTGATTTGTATATTGATTTATGTCTCAATTTGTCAGACTGGAATTTAGCCAGTTTCTGGACTGGCTGGAGAATATCAGAAAGTCTGGTAGCACCGAAGTCCCAGACGCTTTTAAAAGCAATAAATTAAATTCATATGCTGCTTGTGAATGTAATTTCACCTTGTTTTCTAAGAGCTGCTGCCTGGGAGGGACTGCCTTAACTGAGGAGGCAAACAAAATGTAGATTGTAGATATCACTATAAAAAAACTCCATCCAAGTTTTAAAATGTGACTGTATAGTATTTAAACAGTTTATGTCGATGCCTTACAGCACTTACCTGCTTTTAACCACTGTGATGGAGGCTTGTGTTCGTCTCGCCACATTTTGTCACATTTTGTTCCTGTGGAAATAACAATAGTGAGATGTCTTAATAGAGCTGGAGCTGGTACTTTATTTAAAAGTACAAAAGAAGAACAGCATGAGGTCCTATTTTTAGCACAGTCAGGCAAACTCACAATTTAATCAAGAAGACAGTCAGTTATTGTACGGGACTGAAATCTAATTTCATGCTGTACATGGAGGAAGTAATTTTTTCACTTTTTTCCTATCTTACTGAGAAGTTAAATAAGCACAGATGTCATACGGGTTGAGTGTAGAGTCAGTGTAAAGTCAGGGGTTATATTTGTGTTTTACACGCTAAATGTTTTAATGGTGGAATAGCAGCAGCAAAGACAGCAGGCTAACTTCATCCTGAGTAAACACCATAGACTGTATATGAAATGGACCCCGTCTGCCTCCTCGCTGGGTGGAGCCACCGCGAGAACAGCACCCTCTGGTGACGGGCTGCAGTATAGGTCATAAATCCAACCTCTTCCAGCAATCCCTATGGAGCTGTGGACGAATTTTAGAAATTTATTTACCAGAATATAATTTTTTCTCCACCCTAGTTGCGATGTTGACGTGTAGTTAGTGTAAGACTGGCTTGTGCTCAAATCCTCCATTTTTAAAAGTTATTAGGGGGTTCATGTTTCCTATGATTGACACTTGATACAGCCTATGGGCGTACGAAGATTGTGTAGCTCACCCAGGGTATAAGCTATTTGTCATGACACCGACTCTCGGCAACTCTCCCGCCAAATTCGTACAATGCTACTGCGCAATGTTGGTTTCAGGAAGTGGAGAAAATCCTGGAAATACTGAGAGCATTCAGCTTCAAATTCATATATTGACATAGGTTGTCCATAGTATATACAGTCTATGGTAAACATTAAATAAGAGCACTCATATCAATGACTGCAGGGCTTGGTTACATCAAGCATCGTTCCCTGAATCCTGTCGAGCGAACGGGCGCTACCGTTCAGCCAAAAATACAAACGTCTGTATAGAAATGTACAACAAAAACACAGACATTAAAAAAGTTTCCATGTTGACATAAATAGAGTTCATCATCTCTGCTTTCTGTACCCATGCAGTTCATTTCAGGTTTAGTGGCAGCTCATGGAATCAGATTAGAAACAGGAGCATATTTGATGATCCCCATGAGAGACATTAGTGAAATGCCACAAGTCATGTCTTGTTTCTCTCTTTCTGATCATGCAGGAGGCTCCACTTACAACCTACATATCCTCAAAAAACCTTCCCAAGCCCTCGGTCTAAACAAAATGCACATGTATTGGAAGAAACAAACCCTCTCTTTTTCCCTTTTTTAAGTTCGAGAGCACGAAGGATCAGAGGAGACGTTGAAAGGAAAGCTCTTCTGGGAGTAAATCACTAAACTATTTGTTCTGTGGTTTCCTTATGTAGCTGAAGTTATAGTATTTTATTTAACTTGTGGGAAAGTTCCAGCTCTCACTGCACTTTCTTGATAAATCTGGGAATGTTCTGCTGTAAGGTTCAAAGCTGTTTTGTGTTTATAAAACATGGCAAATTTAAACTACACTGCCGCACTGAACATTTAAGGGAAGTTATGTGCCTTACATGAGATTAATATATTTAATGTGTATGTGTAAAGTGTCATATATCACCTGATATGTGGAGTCATAACATCTGCGTAGACTTGGCAGATAAGATTTAAAGATAACATGTTAATGTTTCGCTTCTGAACAGACCATATATGTCGATGCTGTAAAGAGACCTGTGTCACACCTTGACATGGGTGGATTTGCAGTGATCTGTGTAAACAACATCTTAATTCAGTGGCACATATCTCGTTTGGTCGTTTGTATATATTAATTCGGACTTGGAGCAGAGTTATGCAGTCATGTGAATCTGAAAGTTGTTAGAAAATTGGATTATGCTGAGTGTAAGCATGTGTTTGCTTCGGTTAGTGAATATAGGCTTAATTTTGCATAAGCTCATCTAAGGTCAAGAATTCTTGGAAAAACAGGGGAGAACTTTAGCTATGGGAAAGGCAACGGATTAAAAAAGAAATGATTGTGCGGTGGGGTCTATTTCAGGATTTCACCATGACAATTCAATTAAGATAAACTCAATAAACTTCTAATCTTCCTTCAGGCAGAAGAAACAGCTTTTGGCAGAGGCTTCGTGTTGACCTACTGCCTCTGTTTTGGACTACTTCATTACTTAAGTTCAAGAATGTGCACCCTGAGAGTTTGCAGTATGAACCCAGGATCCTCGGGGTGTAAACATGCCATTACATTTCCTCCACAGAGTGTATTTTTTATGCTCATATTTTATCCGTAGGAAATTGTTCAGTTTGTTTGCAGGTTTATAACCTCAGACCCTGTTTTCTGAGTTATTTTTGTAATACTAGAGTATGTTTCCCTTCGGTATAGAGTCCCGATGTCTTACTTGCTGCATGTGGGAATCCCATCTATGGCAGTGTGACAGTCAGACGGAGAGACCGACAGACTAGCAGACAGCGTTGTGTTTGGACGGTAAACAGACAAGCTGAACAGAAAAAAAACACACAAAAACAAAAAAGCAGGAGTCGGAGAACATTTTTGTTTATGTATCCCTGTCACCTCCTGACCCTGGACATGCCTCTGCATGTGACCGCGTGTGTGAGTGTGTTATTGTGTGTGACTTTTGTCATTGTAGTAAAAAGAGTTGCACAACCAAACTCTTGTTGGATTGAGTTTCTCATTTTCTGTTGCTATGTCTTATTCTTGAGGGGTTTTTTTTAGCCAGCTTAATGACTTAGATAGATTTACCTGCTCGTTTTTCCATTTCAGGATCATTAAGAGAGTGAGAGTAAATCTGAGTTTATCAGCAGTTTAAGCAAAGACACAAGGATGGAAAGTCTGGTTACTCTCCTCTCTGCTCTGATATAACTGTAGGAGAGTTCACAGTGAGGCTGGAGTCACTGCGATGCTGTTTTAACAGGAATACAGGGTTATGCTGCTTCATTTCCTGTGAACATCTTGTGCATATAGGAGGGCAACTGAAATCCAGCATAGGAACGCCAGACACTGCAGACTCTAAATTTAGGGTCTCCCATCAAAAGATGAACATGGATTGAAAAGGTTTGAATGATGCAGGAATTAGGCGTTGTGAAATTAATCTACAACATCCTCTCTCTCTTTTCCAGATTGTCCTTCCTGCCAAACCGCAGTTACAGCGACAACGGCCGAACGATATTAGCTAACGAACAGGAGTCCCAGGACTCTCTTGGACCACTATGAGGCTGACTGGATGGATTTGTGAAGTCATCAGCTGCTACGGGAGATCTTTTTGATCCCAACAGTCGAGCAGAAAGTCCACTGGAACTCTTGATGATACTAAAGAGACAAACTGATTTCTGCTGATGCGGATTGACTGTACTGGTTAAGAAGCACATCTGTTCATGGACTAAAGCACACTGCCAGTGTCCCGTTTGACCTGATCCTCTCAGTGGATCAGGTCAAGGAAGCATTCCTGTGCCACAGATTTGACTAAATAACAGAAGACTACAAGCAGGAGTGGCGTTGTGTCTTGAAACGTTTGATTGTGACTTTAAATTCTTGGCACTTTGTTGTAATAAAAAAAAAAGACTGAAGATATTTCAGAGCTTATTTCTAGCTGTGCACACAGCTGACTACAGACATACTGAATAAGAGTTCAGTATATTTTGCAAATTTGGTAACACTTTCTTTTACGGTACACTTATTACCAGGTAATTAACAGGTAATTACCTAGAAATTATCTGGTAATTACATAATAACTACTAAGTCAATACTGTTTAGCTACCAGGTAGGTAACCTTCCATTATCATACAAATTTGAAGCTGAATTGCTCTGGTATTTCCAGGATTTTCTCAGCTTCCTGGAACCACCACTTGCGCAGTAACATTGTACGCATTCAGCGGGTGAGTCGCTGTGATAATGCTCAGCTCAAACAGCATATCGCTACGCAATCTTCGCACGCCCATAGGCTGTAACAAGTGTCAATCATAGAAAATAAGAAGCTTTTGAAAATGGAGCTGCACAGAAAAAAAGAAAAACTAGACAGTATTGACTTAGTAGTTATCATGTAATTACCAGATAATTTCATGTGACTAGGTAATTACCTGTTAATTACCTGTTAAGAAGTGAATTTTTGTCTTTTACTCGAATCAAACAGCCTCTGGTACGCTGGATATTGAGTCAAATTTGACCGTTTTGATTCCTGTTTTGGCTTTAGTTTTAAAACACCAAATGTTTTTAGGCTGGGGTATCAGAAGTTGGTCACAGCATCATGTAAACTGTTCTGTCATTGATCAACATGATGAAAAACTTCTACAAATCTTTCACGGTACATTAAACAAATGTTCCCCTCACCCATCTGAGTTCAAAGTTTTCAGTCTCTTACATTTTGTCCTGAACATGAAGTCATGTTGGTTTTACAGAGCAGCTATTCATCACTGCAGCATGGTGGAGATACTCAAACCCATTTATGGACCTCAGTGCTGTACTACAATAAACCGCTACTTCTGATGAAAGAATTACGTTTTTTTTTAACACTCATGATATCGACAAAATAAATACACACATCATGAACAAAAACAGTGAAACTTTTTGTCTATTAATTTGTCCTTTAAACCACAAAATTGAAAGCTTATGAGGAGTTTTTTGATATTTATTAAATAAAGTGATATTCATTCATACTGATGCCTTTTTGTGATATCCAAGAGCAAACAAGACCATCAAGGACAAGACTGGCATCTCGCCTAACCTCATTTGAAAGTGGTGCAGCAGGGAAGGTGTCAGCTGAGCAGCTGGAGAGAGAGAGCCCTGTTTTATAATTTCCAAAGTACATTTCAGTGTGTAGGATTATTACAGCAAAGCATGCTTTGTCCACAGGGGGCACCAGAGTTGACACAAATCAAAAACTCCTCACTGGAGCTTTAATATGTTGTCCTTATACATTTTAAAGTTTAGGTTGTTGGGACTCTTTCAATGATAAGAAGTAAAGTATACGGTTTATATTGTTTGTGTTAACAAAACACAATTAGCATTTTTTCCCAGTGTAACATAAATAACATGGAATATAATATGCCTTCTTTTTATTTATTTATTTTTTTTTTACATTTATAGATTTCATTGATCAAATTAAACATGGTAAACTCATTTGTTATTAGGTGGATATTATAATCACCCATATTAAGAAATGAAACTGGAGGTCAGAGTTGGGAAGGGACACAGAATAAGTCCAAGTTAGCCAAAAGCAGCCTTTGAGTGGAGAACCAGAGCTACAGAGCTGGCTATTTAATCTGTAGGTTTGTCTGTCTAATATGGGTTAACGCTCCCAAATGCTGTTTTGATGTTGTTTTGCATATCTGCACTGCCTCTGTCTCACTCTCACCATCACATTTAAGAGACTGACGGAGGTGTGAAACCAACTCAGCTGCCTCCTTTCTGTCATCACTGAAATTTGCATTATCAGTTTCATCTGTTTGAGTTAAATTATTATCTGAAGGTTTGTGTGTTCAGAGCACAACTGAGTCCAGCTTGAAACATGACAAACATTAACAAACATTGTGTTAGTATTACAGTCTTTGGTTGGTCAACAGTTAGTGTTTCAGCTTCGATTTCCTGTGATGGAGGTGATGAATAAACAGAATTTGAATATGAGTGATGAGAAATGATTTTGAATGTTGTTCGCAGTATTTTTCCTGTACAGGACACAGCCTGGGAAATCTTTGTGTGAGGAGGTTATTTAACCACACATCCACACCAGCTGATTAAAAATTCAGTCAGAGGGAAAAAAGTGCATAATCAAAAAGTTCTGAATCTATAAGTGAGAGAAAACAAAGTGCTCTTTCCAAAAGTGCACCAAATATCTCTCAATATCAACTTTTTGTCAACGTTTCCCAGTCTAAGTCAAATATGGAGAGTACTCCTATATTTTGGATAATTCTTCTGTTCAGTTTTTTTTTACAAACTGGAACAATATACATGATAGACTGTAAAAATAAAAATAAAAACAACAAGCGCCTTATTCTGGAGGGAGTTTTCCTAAAACCCAAAACAAAGTATTTCAAAACACCTATCACTCAGTCAAAATACAACCACAACGTTTCAGCACATTGTTGGAATAATTGCAGAGAAAATGAAGCCAATAACACTCAGAGACTATACTGATGCCCAACTTTTTAACAATTTTGGTCCTTAGTAAAAGACAAAATAAATAAATGTAAACTTCCTTTATGTCCTCAACCTTCTGCTGGGAAAACTCCCCCAGGCACCGTCCTTCATGTCAAATACTTTCATATAATCTTACCAACAACAGTGATAAAACTGATTATTAAAAAGCGGCTGAACCAACCCCCACCACAGTTATCTAAATGGAGGAAAACTACTAATGAAATTTATAACAGGATAAGGAATTAAAGTGATGTTTTTGAGTCAAAGAAACACAAAGCCATTTTTATCACAACTCTTTTTTATGAATCTATGAATTTAAATTTTGTCTATAGATGAATCCAGTTGTTGCTGCTCTGCCAGGAGGTATATCCAAGGAAAAAGTCAAAGCCATAGGATTTTAAGTAGTGTGTGTGTGTGGTTTTTTGTTTTGTTTGTTTGTTTGTTTTTTTAATTCTATCAAGGGTTTGAGAGCTTATCTTTGTCTTATAATAAATTCATTCTGTACAAACCACAGAAACCACCAACACAAGGCAAAAAAATATGAGAAAGGAGAAATATGCAATTACTTAAGGTAGTAACATAGACTGTATGGGTGGTAACCAATTGCTTTAATATATAATTGTACTTGTAATCCTTTATCTATCATACAAGTATGCTAATTAGAATATTGCACAAAGTAAGCCAAGTGTCTGTAGCTGAAGTGTTTCTTGTCAAACTGGACCTCTAATATTGTATGAAGAGTACTCATCCGGTAGTTTGTTGGTTTGACCAGCAGGTGGTGCTGCTGCATTAACAATAAACTGAGACTCAACCAAACAAGTTCCTGTTTTAGTGAACTCGTTTAGTTTGAACTCAGGAAAAGCAGGTGACTGTCAAGAAATGAAAGTGAAAGTGTGTGAGCTAAAAAAACAGACTCCATTTTGAGAAAAGAACAGAGCAGAGAGAGGAGAGGACGAGGAGACAGGGTGAGTGTTTACTCTTCATCTGTATCATCCGTTAATGAAAATGATTTACTGACTAAAACAATTAAAAACTGCAAATTAAAGAAACCTGACCAGACAAAGAGCTGGATCAGTTCTTGATACAGGATACTGTGTACGTGTAGTTCTTCCTCCTTGTCTAGACTTGTCTTTTTAGTAAAAAACAAAAATGCGTTTCTCTTTATTTTAGCATCTCATTTCAAATTTAATTCAGTCTCCTTATTTTCTATGAGACTTCAGGGACCTCACAGCTGTTGTTGTTTTGACTGCAAATCAGACAAGGGTCGGAGAGAGGCCCTGTAGGGCAGAGAGACAGAAGTACATGGATACAGATTAAACCCTGTGTGAGTCTAAGAGAGGTGTATTTTTTCAGCCTCTATACTTCCTTTCTGATTCATTTTTAATATTTTAACATGATTTTCAGTTTCAAAAAGCCTCCTGTTTCTCACCCTAGTGTATTAAAATATGATTTCAGACTCCTCCTCAAACGCTTCATTTTAGCTGCGCCTCCTGTCCAAGAGCCTACTTTTATTTCTGAACACTCTCTTCCTGTTTGTATCTCACCTGTTTGTCTACTTTGTCCTCAGGTTGTATTACTTAGTTTCATCTTATACAAATTTGCACATCAGATGGAGAAAATGAGTGATTGTGATGAGGAAGAGGATGGCCGAGCAAAGTCTGTTATGTCCAGCTGTCTGTCCATGAAGAGTGACCGGTCTAAAAGATATCCCCCGGACTTCAGTAAAGAACCAGGACCCTCAGAGGATGGCCGAGCAAAGTCTGTTATGTCCAGCTGTCTGTCCATGAAGAGTGACCGGTCTAAAAGATATCCACCAGACTTCAGTAAAGAACCAGGACCCTCAAATTCACAGTAAGAGAAATACTTTTCAACCACCAAACTCTCAAACAACAATAATTGATGTTTCAAACACAAAACTTTCAATTCTGACCCCTCTGTTTTCTACCATGGTGAGAAAAATGATCTCCTTTGCTCTCAAAACGCTGATTTTCCTGTTTAACCTGCCGACCTGGAGAAAGGGCTGGTAAAGAAGAAGTCACTGAGCACAGATTTACTTTTGATTCACAATGTTTATTAAAATGAAGGGGGTTTAAAACAGCATTGGAAAATGATTCTGACCTCTGTATTTTCTGATCTGGTTCTTGTGTTTGGGACGTTGTGAGCCTGAAAGTCTTTGGACTGTGGTGAAAAGACCCCAGAAAACAGTCTGTGGGTCACAAAATACCAGAAGACGACTGAAGAAACAAAGCCTGAGAAATCTAAACTTATTCAAAGCATCTTAAGATCTGAGTGGCTAAAAACTATTGTTAAGTGGCAGAGAAAATCTCATTACCTTAAAAAAAAAAAAAAAATCACAGTTTAGTTTTTTCTCCTGTCGCGACACTTTCAGGCAGCAGCTGAATATTTTACAGGAGATTGTTTTATGTGAGAGAAAAGAGTGAGGTCAGAAACTCTGGTTTAATAAATGCCTCTTATTCTGTATCTTCCAACATGAAATGATAAAGAAAATAAATGTCATTATTTCCTCAGAGAGACAGAGAGATGTGACTCTGTAGAGGAGCAGCTGTCCAGATATCTCAGCTCTGATAGAAGTAAGTCTGAACATCTGTCCTCTAAAGTCTCTGTCTCTGAAAAAACAGCTGACTGATTGATCACAAAGACCTTTTTATGTTTAGTAGTTTGGTTTATTTTTGTTTTTCTTCTCTTTCAGCAGATCGTGGTCTGCAGGAGGTTTTGGATGAACATAAGATCAGTCTGAAGAGGAGATGTGAACGTGTGAATGAAGGAAGTGATGAAGCAGGAAGTCAAACCCTCCTGAACAGGATCTTCACTGAGCTCTACATCACAGAGGGACTGAGTGAAGAGGTGAACACACAACATGAGGTGAGACAGCTGGAGACTGCTTCAAAGATGAAGACCCTCCATGACACACCCATCAAGTGTCATGAGATCTTTAAAACCTTACCTGACCAACAGAAGAAGCTCATCAGAGTGGTTCTGACCTACGGAGTGGCTGGTGTTGGAAAAACCTTCTCAGTGCAGAAGTTCACTCTGGACTGGGCAGAGGGTTTGGAGAACCAAGACCTCCATCTGGTGGTTCTGCTTTCATTCAGGGAGCTGAACCTGATCAGAGATGAACGCTACAGTCTTCTGAGTCTGCTCCATGTTTTCCATCCAACACTAGAGAAGGTCACAGCAGAGACGCTGGCTGTCTGTAAACTTCTGTTCATCTTTGACGGTCTGGATGAAAGCCGACTGTCTCTGGATTTCACAGACTCTGAGGTCCTGTCTGACGTCACACAGAAGTCTTCACTGAACGGTCTGTTAACAAACCTTATCAAGGGGAACCTGCTCCCCTCAGCTCTCATCTGGATAACTTCTCGACCTGCAGCAGCCAATCAGATCCCTCCTTCACGTGTGGACAGGGTAACAGAAGTACGAGGCTTCACTGACGCCCAGAAGGAGGAGTACTTCAGGAAGAGGTCCAGAGATGAGGATCTGTCCAGAAGAATCATCTCACACATCAAGTCCTCCAGGAGCCTCCACATCATGTGTCAGATCCCGGTCTTCTGCTGGATCACTGCTACAGTTCTGGAGGACATGATGAGCAGAGAGCAGAGAGGAGAGCTGCCCAAGACCCTGACAGACATGTACTCACACTTCCTGCTGGTCCAGACTAAGAGGAAGAAGCAGAAGTATGAAGGAGGACATGAGACAAGTCCTCAGGAGCTGACGGAGGCTGACAGTGAAGTCTTCCTGAAGCTGGGGAGGCTGGCCTTTGAACATCTGGAGAAAGGAAACATCATGTTCTACCAAGAAGACCTGGAGCGGTGTGGTCTGGATGTCTCAGAGGCCTCGGTGTACTCAGGAGTTTGTACAGAGATCTTCAGAAGAGAGAGTGTGATCTTCCAGAAAACCGTTTACTGTTTCGTTCATCTGAGCATTCAGGAGTTTCTGTCTGCAGTCTACATGATCCACACTTACAGAAACAAGAACAAAAAAGTTCTGAAGACTTTCCTAAGAGGCAACAAACAAGAAGACAAAATGTCTTCTTTAGAGAGGGTTTCCTATTTTTTTCAAAACCTGGAGAACAGTTTCTCATCTCTGGATGATTTCCTGAAAAGTGTCATGGAGAAATCCCTTGTCAGTAAAAATGGCCACCTGGACCTGTTTGTCCGCTTCCTTCATGGACTCTCTGTGGAGTCAAACCAGAGACTCTTAGGAGGTCTGCTGGGTCACACAGACAACAGTCCAGAAATGATCCAAAGAGTCATCAAGAACCTGAAGATGATGAACAGTGATAATATCTCTCCTGACAGGAGCATCAACATCTTCCACTGTCTGATGGAGATGAACGATCTGTCAGTTCATCAGGAGATTCAAGAGCTCCTGAAGTCAAAGAACAGATCAGAGAAGGAACTCTCAGAGATCCACTGCTCTGCTCTAGCCTACATGCTGCAGATGTCAGAGGAGGTTCTGGATGAGTTGGACTTACATAGTTATAACTCATCAATCCAAGGACAGCTGAGACTGATCCCAGCTCTGAGGAACTGCAGAAAGGCTCGGTAAGTCCTTTAGGTTTGGCAAAAACCTGATCCTGGTGTCAAAAGTCCTATTAGCACAGGATGAGGTCTACCTTTGGACCCCTGAGAACTTGTCCTAATTGTGGAGGACCTCTTTGTTTTGAATCCAGTTGAATTGAGCGTGTCTGTAATGAATAAAGTTGAACTTGATATCAGTGACCATATCTAAGGACACACAGAAGTCTTCTGATGATGGTATCAGTCCAAATCAACATCTCAGTCAATGGTGGTGAACTTGAGTTTGAAGAAGGTGTCTGCAGCTTCTTCCTGCTGGTTTTCAGGTTAGAAATGATGAATCTGTTGTAAATGAGGGTTAGGGTTAGGGCATTTATGGTGAGAATAGAACTGGATCATTTTCTGCTCAGTGGCAGAACTGTCTCTGTACCATCATGTTAATTATTCAATAATCATGATCAATACAACAATGAAAACTAACATCATTTTCCACCACTCACTGGAGATTATCTGGTGGACTAGAACATATCCATGATGACAACAGATGAGTTATTTGGACAGCAGCTCCATGTGTCTGAAAACAATGGTGGAAATAGGATGTTAATGACTCTCTCTCTCTCTCTTTCTCTCTCTCTCTGTCTGTCTCTCTCTCTCTCTCTCTCTCTCTCTAAGTTATGGGGTCATTTGTCTTGAACATCTGGACAGTTATTTTCTTAACTTTAACTTCCTGTCTTCTCTCATGGCTGTGGTCCTGATATTAGTATCTGTCTGGTGAAAAAACAGTCCGTCTGTCAAACCAAAGTTGTTTTTTTTGTGAAGACAAACATAAAATGACCCTTCAATTAAATATTGTTCGATATTTATGTTGTTACAGATTTTATAACTGTGGACTCTCAGAGACTCACTGTGAAGTTGTGGTCTCAGCTCTGAAGTCCAACCCCTCCCATCTGAGACATCTGGACCTGAGTTACAACAGTCTGCAGGATTCAGGAGTGGAGCTTCTCTCTGCAGGACTGGAGAGTCCAAACTGCAGACTGGAGACTCTAGAGTCAGACATCATTTTCTTCTGATCGAACGATAAGACATGACAGTTGCTGCCTTAGATTTTTCTCTGTGGTTTCTCCATCAACTTTAGTCGAGCAGTTTGAATTTGTTGTTTTAAAATTTTAACACAGGAAGAAAAATCCGACATTTCAGAGTTGACTTGGAGTAGAACGATGGATGTAGAAAAGAAGCAGGAGAAAATCAGTCACACAAATATTACACATGCTTGTAGAGGGCAGGAGCAGCACTGACTAAAGGCTGATAAGAATAAGAACTTTATTGATCCCCGAAGGGAAATTCAATAGTAATGAACTGATCCACAATTAATGTGATCACTAATGAATGAATGAAGTGGTCAGAGAATATGATAGAGCTGCAGGATTGAAACCTGAAGAACAAAGTTAATCCAACTCTGGATATTTTATTTTGAAACTCTTGAAAACTTGAGTTTCTTCTTTGCTCAGTCGTGTTCAAATGTAAAAACCAGATCCAGATTTTTCTGCAGTTTTCACTTCAGTTTGTTGAACATGAACATCATCTTGTTCAGTTGGTCCATAAAAACGTTTCTGATCAATGATCTGTTGGTTTATTTAACAGTAGTTTGTCAGTTGTTGACAGCAGATGGACAGACCCCTGAATATTCTTCTGACTATTTTAATCTTAATGAAGAATTCAGAACTACAAACAAACATTTGAGATTTCTCACATTACTTTCTCAGGATCTCACTTAAGTTTTCTAAAGTTTCTTTAAAATTTTCTCGACTGAAAAATTCCTTGGGGTCTTCAAAATGTTTAGAGAGGATTTTACAAAGTTCCTCAAGATCAACTCTGAAACGTTCTTCTTCCATGTCCTTCAGGGGCTCAAGAACATCGAATCATTAAAAGCGGGAACAGAGGTTAAATTTTTTATTTCTTTTTTCAGACTGTATGACTGCAGTTTGTCAGAGATCAGCTGTTCTTCTCTGGCCTCAGCTCTGAAGTCCAACCCCTCCCATCTGAGACATCTGGACCTGAGCAAAAACGAGCTGCAGGATTCAGGAGTGAAGCTTCTCTCTGCAGGACTGGAGAGTCCAAACTGCAGACTGGAGACTCTGATGTAAGACACCATTTCCTTCTGATCGAACGATAAGATGTGACAGTTGCTGCCTTAGATTTTTCTCTGTGGTTTCTCCATCAACTTTAATCGAGCAGTTTGAATTTGTAATTGTAAAACTTCAACACAGGAAGAAAAATCCGACATTTCAGAGTTGACTTGGAGTAGAACGATGAGATGTAGAAAGGAAGCAGGAGAAAATCAGTCACACAAATATTACACATGCTTGTAGAGGGCAGGAACAGCACTGACTAAAGGCTGATAAGAATAAGAAGAACTTTATTGATCCCTGAAGGGAAATTCAATAATATTGAACTGATCCACAATTAATGTGATCACTAATGAATGAATGAAGTGTCAGAGAAATGATGAGCTGCAGATTGAAACCTGAAGAACAAAGTTAATCCAACTCTGGATATTTTATTTTGAAACTCTTGAAAACTTGAGTTTCTTCTTTGCTCAGTCGTGTTCAAATGTAAAAACCAGATCCAGATTTTTCTGCAGTTTTCTCTTCAGTTTGTTGAACATTAACATCATCTTGTCCAGTTGGTCCATAAAAACCTCTCTGATCAATGATCTGTTGGTTTATTTAACAGTAGTTTGTCAGTTGTTGACAGCAGACGGACAGACCCCTGAATATTCTCCTGACTATTTTAATCTTAATGAAGAATTCATGACTACAAAAAAACATTTGAGATTTCTCACATTACTTTCTCAGGATCTCAATAAAGTTTTCTAAAGTTTCTTTAAAATTTTCTTGACTGAAAAATTCCTCGGGTCTTAAAAATGTTTAGAGAGGATTTTACAAAGTTCCTCAAGATCAACTCTGAGACGTTCTTCTTCCATGTCCTTCAGGGGCTCAAGAACATCGAATCATTAAAAGCGGGAACAGAGGTTAAATTTTTTTTTTCTTTTTTCAGACTGTATGACTGCAGTTTGTCAGAGATCAGCTGTTCTTCTCTGGCCTCAGCTCTGAAGTCCAACCCCTCCCATCTGAGACATCTGAACCTGAGTAACAACAAACTGCAGGATTCAGGAGTGGAGCTGTTGTGTGACTTTCTGCAGAGTCCAAACTGTAAACTGGAGACTCTGAGGTAAGTTTAGTCTTTGTCTGTTTCTGGAGTAGATCTCATTGTTTATTCAATTTTTTTAGGCCTGCACGATATATCGTTTGAACATCGTCATCGCGATGTGTGTGCGCGATAGTCACATCGCAGAGCCTGCGATATTGGAGGTGAATGAACTCAGTTAATTTCAAGGGTAACTGACTGAGATACACTGCATATGACTCCGCATGTGCTGTGCAGCGATCCACCAATCACCTTCATCCTTAACTCAGTTGCCAATCAGACTATCCTGCCAGCTGTCAATCAAAATCAGGGAGGAGAAAACCCACCCCTGCACATGTTCTGCACATGGAGGGAGACGTGTGTCCGCTGAGAATTACTTTCGTAACTTTACTCATGACTGTTAAGCCCAACAAATAAGAACTGTTTGGGTTTTAAATTGTACATTTCCGTGGAACACTCTACTATAAGCGGTGCGTGTTTTGCGAGGTGCATGCAATTCTCGGAGGACATGCGTTTCTCGGCACAACACCGCTAACAACAACAACAACGATCGCAAAATGAGCAACGAACGAGAGAAAACCACCGAAAATGAAGATTTTTTTGCCAAAAAGAAAAGGAAAGTCAGTTATCTGGAATCATTTCGGTTAAAAGAAGGATGATGTCGACTAAAACACGTGTTCTGTGTTCATCTGTCGCCACCCAACGTCCCAGCACAATAAAAGCTAAAAATATCTCTGAGACAGACAGAAGCCACTCTACAAACATTCACAAAAAGAGGTAAGATCAGAGCAGGTTAACTGTCCTCAAGATTTCAGCAGTGCAGCAAAACATTAAATGGTATTCAGGTCATCTGGTGAAAATTCCTGTATTTTTAATATCACAATATATATGGCAGGGTTGAAAAAAATCGCAATATTAGTTTTTTTTTCCAATATCGTGCAGCCTTAATTTTTTTAGCCCAATTCAAATGTTCATAAAATTCTCTAATATTTCCAGAAATTTCTTCTTACTCACAAAAATTGGTAGTTTTTTTTATGGAGACACAGACACAAAAACACAGACACAAAAACACAAACAGGGATTTTCACTTTGTTACTTTGCTGTGATGACTGAAGTCACAAAAAAAGTTTTCTTTGGCACTATAATGATTTAACCAAATAAGTTAAAGAACCAAACTGTTAGATTTTTTTGCTTCCCAATATTATTTGAGTCATTTTGATTTTTCTTCTGATCATTATTTAAAGATCAGATTGATTAGGTTCCTGTTTTGGCTCCACTGCCTCTTTTCTGCGAGTTCAATAACTGCTCATATGGTTTGAAAGGTTCCTGCAGTAAAATCCGATTAGAGAGTGGACTAAATGAAATGTGAGTGAACTCAGCCATCAGTGAATAAAGGACAAAGTGAGAGGAAGAGTGGATCTGTCTGCTGTCTGACCTTGTTGATCCTGATGAAGGTGAGGGAGTAAAGGTGATGTTGTTGCAGACAGAGTCAGCTGACCTGTCTCATCAGAGTCTCATCCATTCTCTGTTTGGCAGAGCGCAGATGTTACAGTCTGAGAGCACATTCAGGTTCAGGTTCACATAGGCTGGATCTGCTCAATACAAACTCTTGAGACCAGCCTGGTTGAGGGAGGTCCGCTCAGTGTCCTGGGTGACTCTCTCTGAGCTCTTCTTGTTTGAAAGTATTTCTGGTTTGTCTCTGACTTCCATGAACTCAGATCTGGAGGATTGCTGGCTGGTCCGGTCCAGAGCTGATAGTAGGACTACACCTTCTGAACACCTGAACCTCTAATCCAAACCAGTGCTCCATCACATTTGATGTCTTGTCTGTTATTTTACATGGAGGGTCAAAGCAGACCAGATCATGAGCTCTGACAGACTGGATCTGGTCCAAAGGTCTCCTTTTGGAGTTCTCTGAGATCCATATTTTAAACCTGAACACGTGAAGTTTGATTATTAATTATTTTTATCTACATGCTCTATCATTTTTTTCAGACTATGGGGCTGCAGTTTGACAGAGATCAGCTGTTCTTCTTTGGCCTCAGCTCTGAAGTCCAACCCCTCCCATCTGAGACATCTGGACCTGAGTGAAAACAAGCTGAAGGATTCAGGATTGAATCTGCTGTATGACTTTCTGCAGAGTCCAAACTGTAAACTGGAGACTCTGAGGTCAGACTTTTTTCCTCCATTCAAACATTATCATGATTTGTTTGTGATGATGACTCTAAACTGCTGACTCAGGACTGAAATACTGACCCAGACTGAAAACCTTCAGTCCAGAGTAGATTTTCTTCATCTGTAGATTATTTGATTGACTCCAGTTCGATTTCTGCTGAGCTCCAGTGAATTAAAACCTGAACACAAGAAGAAAACTCTTTGTAGAGTTCACAGTGAGAAGAACATTCAGACAGAAAACAGAAGCAGGGGGAGATTTGTCAGAGGAGAACCATTCAAACTTTTGTTCAGGACAAGATCAGAGAATAGAAAAAACTCAGAGTTTAGTTTCTGACTCTGATGAAGGTCCAGCTCTGTTACTTTGAATTTTGATTGTTTTTGAATCATTGTGTGAAAATCTGAATTTTGTGGTTTATCAGGACTTCTCTGAAGCCTTGCTGTGTTTACCTCTCAAAGACGTGATATTTTTGGTTCAGCAAAGTGACAATATTCTGAACATCTTTTATTTCCACTCTGTTCTGAAGTAGCTGACATTTCCCGGAAATATTGAGTTGTGTCTCCAATCAGTATAAAAGTCTCTAAGTGTGTTTTCACTATTTAATGTGTAACATTGAATTCACTGTTTCAAACTTACTTCCTGTTTGGTTCAGCTCTGTGGAGCGTCACTTTTCTTTGATTCATACTTTCCAAACCTTTCCCCTGAACTCGTCAGATTTAAGACATCAGATTTCAAACTGGATCAGTGTTTGTCTAAAATCTCATTTTATCTTCTTTATTTAGGTTGAGTCGCTGCAGTTTGACAGAGATCAGCTGTTCTTCTCTGGCCTCAGCTCTGAAGTCCAACCCCTCCCAACTGAGATATCTGAACCTGAGTAAAAACAAGCTGCAGGATTCAGGAGTGGAGCTTCTGTATGACTTTCTGCAGAGTCCAATCTGTAAACTGGAGACTCTGGGGTCAGACTTTTTTCCTCCATTCAAACATTATCATGATTTGTTTGTGATGATGACACTAAACTGCTGACTCAGGACTGAAATACTAAGACTGAACACCTTCAGTCCAGAGTAGATTTTCTTCATCTGTAGATTATTTGATTGAATCCAGTTAGATCACTGCTGAGCTCCAGTGAATTAAAACCTGAACACAAGAAGAAAACTCTTTGTAGAGTTCACAGTGAGAAGAACATTCAGACAGAAAACAGAAGCAGGAGGAGATTTGTCAGACGAGAACCATTCAAACTTTTGTTCAGGACAAGATCAGGGAATAGAAAAAACTCAGAGTTTAGTTTCTGACTCTGATGAAGGTCCAGCTCCGTTACTTTGAATTTAGATTTTGTTTTTAGATGTTTGAGTGACAATCTGAATTTTATGGTATGTCAGCACTTTTCTGAGGCCTTGCTGTGTTTAGACTGAAGTATTTACCTCTCAAAGACGTGATATTTTTGGTTCAGCAAAGTGAAAATATTCTGAACATCTTTTATTTCCACTCTGTTCTGAAGTAGCTGACTTTATCTGAAAATATTGAGTTGTGTCTACGATAAGTATAAAAGTCTCTGAGATTGTTTTTACAAGCGGCACTTTTCTTTGATTCATACTTTTCAAACCTTTCCCCTGCTCTCTAAAGATTTAGGACATCAGATTTCAAATTGGATCATTGTTGTCTAAAATCTCATTATTTCCTCTTTATTTAAGGTTAATGATCTGCAGTTTGACAAAGATCAGCTGTTCTTCTCTGGCCTCAGCTCTGATGTCCAACCCCTCCCATCTGAAAACACTGTGGCTGTCAGGCAACGATCTGCAGTATTCAGACCTGAAGCTGCTGTGTGATCTTCAGAAGAGTCCAGACTACAGACTGGAGGATCTGATGTCAGTATAGAGTTGGTGTTAGTCTGTGCTGATCGCTCCTGTTCCTCTCCACACAGTATCACAGCAGATATTCAGTATTTACTGCTATATATACGCTATATATGCTAGTATATACTGCTGACTCTTCGACCCTCTCAAAGGATTATTTCTTTAGTGAAGCTGTGAGAACAGAAATCATCAAGCGAGGAGTGTAAGAGTGTCAGTTATCAAAAAAAAAGTGTCTCCTCGTGTCTCCTCGTCTCTATATTTCAGATCAAATGTAGAAATGAGACATAATGAAATAGAAATGTTCAGTTTCTGCTCTGAAGTTGAGTTTATAGTTCTCTGTATTCAACACAGACTTTATTTCTCTGCTAACTTGTTGATTTTGAGCTCTAAGTTTGAAAACAGACAGCTGTTCTTTATACTTGTTATTTTCACAGCAGGTTTGTTAGATCAGCTTTAACACATTTGACAGGAATGATTTCTATATTTTGATGATGTTGGTTTATTTGTGAGGAAACCTGCTGCTTTACACCATCACTTCTGGCCTGAGCAGGACTGAAACCTGCTGGTCTGTAAACTGGAGGTTCTTCAGTCCAGCTGATGAAGTGAGTCTCAGAGTGGAAACACTGATCGTCTTTTTTTCTCTCCTCAGATGGAGGTAACACCTGAGATTAAAAAGAGGATCATGTGTTTCCTGATGATCAGAGAGGTGGAGGCAGCAGCAGTGAGGGTGAGGTGAGTCTCTGACTGGGCCGTGTTCCTGAGAGACTGACCGACCAATCACAGCGGGCGGAGAGGACTCTGGGAGCTGCACTTTAACCTGCTCTGAGATCAGTTCAGAACCTGGACTCTGGATATTTGATATTTTCCCTCATATTCTGGGATCAAACAGTCTGAATAAGTTTGTTTTGTTTGTGGAAACATGATCATAAATTTACACTTTGATTGAATTACTTTTTTGCCCATGATGCAGCGCCACCCAGTGGAAATGTAAAGAGGTGGAGTTGATTTATTCCCACATATTAATGTAGCAGGAGTTGATACCATGTGTGACAGTAGATCTGTCAGAAGTTCTGATGAAACCAAAAGGTTTTTTCTTTCCTTTGCACCGTTACAGACCAAATATAAACTGGAAGGAGACAGGATGAGTGCTTAGGAGAGAAGGAGGTGAAGGGAGGACAGGGTTTGGGGTTTTCAGAAAAATCAGAAACTTTATTCTTTCACCTGCTTATTTTTATTAATCCATTTTCCTCTTAATTTTCTGAAATGATTGCTAATATTGACTGACCTTATTTTTTATTATTAGACGGTTTATATTTGTTTGCCAGTTATCCTTGAATCAAGCTATGGAAGTGAACCGGATGAATGCTGACCAAATGAGCCAATCAGTCTTCAAAGACCTTCCTCAAAAACTGTATTTGAGCATCGTTTCCCCATCGTTTTCAACTGTTTCGTAATAGATGTGCTTTTCTTTACAATTGTCTCTCATTTCTGCCCTCTTGTGGCTGGACAACAGAAAGCATTGTTGGTTTTATGTGTTAAAAATGACATGGGAATAGCTAGTCTTGTTGCTGGTAGTCTGATTTAGCTCATATACATATTTAGCTGTTTAGCAGTTCAAAATTTCTTCACAGTTATTGAATCAGGACAGGATGTCTACAGTGACTGTTTTTATATCAGGGACAATGTCCCCTAGGTTAGCCTGAGGTGGTCTTCAAAAACAGAATCCGGAGAAAGGATCTTCAAATAAAATTAACCTCATTTACTTTGATCAAAGTTAAGATGATTTATTCCAACGGGTTAAAAAAGAAGAGAGTCGCTCACTTTCTGTGGTTGTGCTTACATGGCAACATGGCAACAATTTTCTTAGCAGACCAGGTGTCAAACTCAGTCGGCCCACAAATTTGGTGGAATTAACATTAAACTGAACTTTTTCATTCATTGTCCTGCCAGAGAATCCAGCTACTCTACTGTATTACATCTCAATTCATATATTTTACCATATTTTAATATCTTTGCTAAATAATGAAAACCAAACCAGATGATGACATGACTCTTGCAGGGTGACTTTGAGTGTATGAAAGTACTCTGACTACAGAGAGAAGCTTGCACATTGTACCTGCTCTTCTCCCTGCAACCACTAGATGGAGCCATAATAGCAGCAACTCAGGCTTGATTTAGCTGTTGAGTTTTTCAAGGGTGTGTTCAAACTGTGACATTACGGAGACATTCAAACACCGTTCAGGTGTTTTTTCACAGAGCCCAGTTTCTCACAATATTAGAAAAGATCAAAGGTGTGTGTAGAGAAATGAAGGAAGGATGGCTGGGGTTAGTTTAGCTACTCAGTTTCAGGTTGTCAGTCTAGTCTATGATGTTATCCTGGTATTGACACAGCACAGAATTAATTTTAAGCTTTTAATATTTGTTTTTAAAAGCCTGAACAATCTTGCTCCACCTTACATTTCTGAGATGCTCCAGCCTTATTGCCCACCCCGACCCCTAAGATCAGCCGATCAGCTGCCACTGATGGTCCCAAATACAAGGCTGAAGCTCAGAGGGGACAGAGCGTTTGCTGCTGCTGCCCCAAAGCTCTGGAACGAGTTGCCCTTGAAAATCAGACAGGCCTCCTCATTTCCTGTTTTTAAATCCCTTTTAAAAACGCACTTTTACTCCTTGGCTTTTGATACTTTTAAGTGTTATTTTGTTTTTTATCATCTTAGCACTTGCCGTGAGCCTGCTTATTTATTTACTTATTTGTTCCTTTGCATTTAAGTATTTCTGCTCGCTTTATCTTGTTCTTTGACTGTGTTATTTGTTTTTATGTGTCACTGTACAGCACTTTGGCTACCCTTGTGGTTATTTTAAATGTGCTATAGAAATAAAGTTGATTGATTGATTGATTGATTGACTCATTACTGCTTAGTTTTATCATCTCTGTTATACCCGTTTTCATCAGTCTGACAGTGTTTGTAGAAAAGAGTCAAATGTTTCTTTTTTGCAAAATTACATAAAAGTCAAATAATGCAAACACTCAAGAATCAGATATTCCTCTGTGCAGGTGTCTGACAAACAATACCTCAGTCAAGTGGGACGATAATGAGGACAATGCGTTAGTTTAAAACTGACAAAATCAAAAATCAGTTTTCAACATTTTAGTTTGGTGATTGGTTTAAGGATTAAAAGTTTCTTCTTTTACACTTTAATAGCAGTTGTCCCTGAGCCCTGGCCCTAAGCTAATCACGGTTATAAACAAGGAAAGAGTTATAAACATCAGACCCAGCTTTCAAGACAGCACTCACTTTATACTGCCAAGAGCAAAACGATGAATGTGATTTACAAGGATTTTGAATGTTACAAAAAAACTAAATTAAGGTAGAAATCACTTATAAAAGTGCATTTCCTGCATGTAAAGGGCATCACTACTCAGTACCTACAACAGGCCTATGTGCCCTTTTTTTGCCTGTTGGAGTTAATGGCTAAACTGTTGTTTTGTTCCACAGCTGATGACTTTTTAACCAAAAACAAAATGATTATTACAACATATCCTTGAAAAGAAGATGTGCAACAACTATATAATGTGTTACAGGAACTAAACACCTGAGTGAGCTGCAAGGCCATTAATGCAAACGTTTGCACTTTCTCACTAAATTCACGGTAAACTATCACATGGGTTGTGTTCTGTGAGATGATTATTATGTTTAAAAGAGTCCGTGAGTTTCACAGAAGATAATATGTTCTGTTAATTCTCTGGTTTGTTCAGAGTCGACAGGATGTATAACTAACGTTTTCAGAGTGATATAAGTGAACAACACTGAGCTCATGTTATTGATGTGAATTACTCTTCCAGTGACACGACTAATCTTCCTTTAACACTCACATATCCTACAAACTGCTGTTTTTTCTCTCAACTCAGGGAGTTAATAAGTATATTGAATAAACTCTTGTGTTTGGTGAGCGTGATGCGACTCTCCTAACCCTTGAGATTATGTTCGAGGGTACGAGGAGGTTAAGTGGTGTCTTGTCATGAGGTTATCAGGTCGCAGGTTTGGATTTAACCCACTACACCTTTCTGGTTGACCTGAAATGTTAAATATATTTTTAAAACTTTAAACACTAAATACTGAGAAGTAGAGTATGAGTCATGTCTTCGGAAGATCATTTGATTTGACCACTAAAGTGATTTTATACACAATAGCTGATGTATTTTAAATTATTTGCACCCAAATGAAAATAAAAGGAAAACGTCTTCAGTCAGAAGAAAACATTTTCTTGTGTCTTGGTTGAATTATTATCCGGACGTTTAATGCAGCAGACACAAATGTTATCAAAGTGTCTCTTAACTATTCCTAACTACAAACTCCCTTGACTAAAACTGTTAAGTTTCATAAGTAACATGCAAAAATCATCTATGAGACAGGCTCCAATACATATTAGTGTTTTTCTGGAGTTCAGATTCCTTGCCCATTGTATCTATGATGAAGTATTTATGAACTGTCACATTAATATTTATTAATGATGTAAATTAAAGTGCATGAGGATGAATTCAGACATTTCCTACAACATCATTCAAGCATAAGTCCAATTCACCTGACTTTTCTTAGTGTTTGTCTGCTCTCATACATTTGCTTTTAGCAGGAAGGGAGGAAGAAATTGGTTCTTTGTTCCACAGTTTTAAAAAATATACACATGTATGACAAAACGGGAACATCGTGATCTTCTATCCTCTGATTTTCAGACCCTGTTTAAAATGTGAAGTACACGGCAGTATTTGATGTCACATGAGCAACGCTCAGAGGTTAATGCATTACCAATTAGCAGGTTCTGATTAACCTCAGTGTTCAGATAGTAACCCAAAAAACATACATGAGTGAGCAGGATGTTGCTGACTGTCAGTAGAGTATGTCACAATTAGGATGTGAAATAAGCCTCAGAAGCCTCATTTCCCCACAACTCACCTTCATCTTGGTCAGAGAAATACCAGAGAAGTATCTTTAGTACCTTTTTAAAGACTTTTAGGAGAGAAATTAGACTTATTAGTTGTTCTTGTGAAGATTTCTACGAACAGCGGAGACCTGCTCAATGTGTGAAAAACAAAATAAACTGCCAGGCCTGTTTTTATCACCTCAGCCAGTGAAAGAGTACAGATATCAGTAAGGTGTCTGAATCATTTTCAGAAGGATAATGATGCTTAAAGCCACATAAAAACTACAAAAGAAAATATACCAGGTGATTTCATGGTTAACAATCAATTTTAAAAACTTTTAATCACCCAATCATAGCAAAGGTCATTTTTACAAAGACCCAACATGAGTCCACCTTGAAACTAGCATTTGGTAACATTTGGCAACAGCTGAAAGTAAAAATTTACTTTGTAAAAGCAGAAACGGTGGGCAGAACTAGACTCATCATCAAAACTCATCAACATGTGACGGGATGAGGCATGAAAGTGAGATAAAGAGAAATGGATAAACAAACAGAACAGCAGCATCTTTAGGTAAGACTTTGATTATCTCACCACAAACAATGGTAAAACTATTATATTGTATTATATTATATTATATCATATTATATTATTAGCAATAGTGAAATTGAAATATGTTTAATTTTAATAATATTTTATTCTATTTAGCCTTTATTTAACCAGGTTAGTCCCATTGGGATTCATTGAGAAACATCTCAACGTTAAAACAATCTCGCCTAAAACATTTACACACAGATGAGGTAGATTGTATTGATTTCACTATAGTTTTAAATTCATTAATGATTAAAATTGTAAAAAGTGGGGTAGAAAAAATCTGTTCCCAGCATTACTAAGTATAACAATGATCACAGCTGTAGCATCTTTATAAAGACTAAAAAGATATTTGAACCCAAAGTCTGAACATTGAACATGAAGTATCTTCCAGTCATTAAACATCCTTAAATCCATCATAAATATCCATCATATCCATAGAAAAACATTCATATTTACTAGATGTCAGTCTTACACACACACTACAGTAGGAGCTTGGTTACCACGGTAACCACCATCCACTACCAGCAGTCCCTCCTCCCTCCCTCCCTCCCTCCCTCTGTCTCCTCTCCTCTCTCCCCTCCCCCCTCGGCTTAGTTCCAATCCACAGACAGGAACGACACAGGGGGGTACTGCTCCCATCATGCTTTGCAAAAGGAAGCAGGAAGAAGACAGGAGAGTGGACAGACCACTGAATAAGCAGACTGATGGAGGATACGGAGGGACAGCACGGGGAGGGATGGCCGGTGCTGCCTCCTGTTTACACTCAAGCTGCTGCGACTTACTGGGTGAGTCTGTCCTTCTCTGCAGTCTCATACCAGAAAAAAACAAACAAACTGGCTAAAAATGAGGATGTGAGGGAGCAGACATGCAGGCAGATGGATGATACCGGTGGATTTAAAGGGGCAGTGCAGTCATCCTTGCAGGTTAAATGTTATATTTAGGGGTTAAGACAGGCTCTCAAACCTTAATATCTCTGGTTGTTTGGCTTTGTATACTCTCTGTTAGCATTTATGTCTCGTATGACTCAGATAAATTACAGACACTCACAGTCCCCTCTTTCTTTTCTGCTGTTTCAGTCAAGCGTGATGGTTAAAACTCCATTTATTCCTGGGTCTGACTGTATTAGAAAACCACAATGAATTAAATCTCTGCTTACAATGATGCTATTCATTCTAGTGTATAATGCATACAGGGACACACCCACACACTCACATACACTTGCACACAGACTCACTTTTGTTTCAGATATAGAATTTAAGACATGCTCAAAAGTAAATCAGAAGATTAGAGAAGAATTCAGACACCCATTTCTAAAAGAAAGCATGTCAAAGCATCAGTGGACAGAATATCTAATGAACAACAATGACAGATAACATCCTGAACGTGTCCTCAGAATTTCTGCGCCCTGTATGCCATTAACATTGCAACAGCAATCATTACAGCTTCCATAAACAAGATAAAGAAGGGTACCCTCTCTAAAAGTGATTAAAGGTGACGCATGAGTGAAAGAAATGATGAAGCAGATTGTGAAATAAATCAATTTTCCTCCCAACAATATGGCCTGTTAGGTCTGATTCAAAGCTTTGAACGATTGAGGTTAAAAGCTTGCAACTATTTTTAGCAAAACTTTGCAGGTTTCAATGTTCAGACACAGTAACCATGTCTGGGCTAGCAATGTCTTTTATCGCTGACAGGAAAGAAATGAAAACTACTTATTCATTAAGGGAATATCTTGAAGTCACTTCAAATGAAGATACTTCATTGAGATTCATTTATGTAGCCAATCAGGGCTTTGACTCTGAAATAATGTATAATTATAAAATAATTATAAAGTAATGAAATAATGTATTTCGTTTTTTTCCATGTTTCCTTATTTTAATTGACTGGCAGAAACTTGTGTAAAGATTTAAAGATAATCCACAGCTAGCTTCATACTTCAATGCAGCATGAGTATCTCAGTCGCTCATCCCTCAAAAGGATGGTTGGCAGCACCTGTATTTACATGTTCACCCCCAAATTTGACCTGTCAGAGGAATTCTTTAAAACTGACAGATTTTAACCCAGTCTGAACTTACTTCTGCACTGTCACACAACTAAAAGAGACCCTTGACTCCCAAAAGCCTACATACAGACTAACCTTAACTCCTAAAGGCCTACAGAAAAGATGACCGTCCACATCTAACTAGCAAGCTGCAAACCTGCAAATTCTTTTAGCCTATCAGATGCACAATATACAAACATTTAAAAAGCAGGTAAAGATTTGTTGAATTTTAAGGGTTTGATGGTCTGTGGTTTAAAACGACTAAGCAACAATGTCCAGCAGTGTTCGACTTAGTAACTTAGTGAAGGAATTTATAATCTGTAAAGAAGCTCCTCTTTCAAACTGTAGTATAGTAGGTCAGATTTAAAGAGGTGAAACTCAGAGGATCATAATCATTTTTTACCCATAGATCAGGGTCATTACATTGATTGATCAATTCCAGTGATCCCGTCTCTCTGTGTGTTTTTTCTGACCCATGTTTGTCTCGGTGGGTTCAGCTTCACTCGTGTCTGACACAGGAGTGTTTCAGACACATATAGGTTGTTCCTCACACAGGTCACACTGATAACAGAAGCATTTCTTTGCTCATTGCACCTCAGGTACAGCTTATCTCCTGTTTACTATGTAATCCCCTCTCTCTACAGGGTGCATTTAAACAGTACGACATGCTGACATATGAGTCTACCCTGTGCTTATTTTCACTTTGCAAGCACAATCAGCGGCCCGGGCCACTTGCAGGGATGATAAACACTGTGATTCTGTCAAAAAATGACTTGACCTCACCTCCTGACCAGAGTAGCCTTTCTCTCTCTCTCTCTCACACACACAAAAAGACACAAACAAACACACATGATCAGACCCTCCCTCTCTGGGTCGACAAGCCAATAGGAAACAGGGTAAGGGGGAGCAAAGGGCTGCTCTTTATCTTACTATTTATCAAGAAGAGATCACACTCACACTCACATTTGCTGCCTGCCTGCATGGATGACAACAGTGGCTGAAAGAGACAGACAGACAGGCAGAGACAGAGACAGTGTTAGGACAGCAACCACAGCGCAGATTTATACAGTCTGTCACATCAGAGACTTGAGGTCTTGTTGGTTCCTGAGGCCGTAACTCTGCAGGTGAGTCACTGAGTTGGTCTGAGTGGATTATGATCGCCTTTTTATCCTAAATCAACTCAGAAAGCTTCGATAGAATAGATTTAGTGGCATTTTAGAGGCAGTTTCAGTGTAATCACTAATCGTCCTTCAAAGCCATTGTATTGACCTTACACTAACTTAATGTGTGCTAATGTTGTGGTCCAATCAGGAGATTAACATTCAGTTTTTTTTTCTGACATGAGAATTTTGCCAAAATTAAGAGTCAAAAGTGAGTTTTTTTTAGAGCGGAGATGTGTCTGTCGGCCTACATGAAAAACAGGCACCTGAGTGGGATATTGTGAAGAGTAATTTCTGCCTCCACCCCTGAATGGTACCTTTAGTTCTTTTTTTTTTTTTTTCGGCAGATCAACTGAACACTTTCTCCTAGCTTTTGCAAAGTCAGTTCAACACAGAGATGTGGGCAGTTAATACCAACCTTTCAATCACTGTGTTACAAAATTGAAATGAGAAAAGGTTTTGCTGACGTTTGTGCAAATTTCATGGATTTTTCTTGGTTCAAGAAGCAGAACATCTAGTCTCTTCAGTTGTGTCGTGTTATCTTTATTGTCGGGTTTTACTATTGAAAGTCTACCAGGGCCCACACGTCAAGCAAGTGAGGCAGACTTGAACGTTATCAACAAGTCATGGTTTCACTTAATATACGCAGAGATGGATGAGGGTTGTGTTTTTAAATTGGGACTTCAAATTACTCAAAAGTTTCAGGAAGTTTATGAAGACACACTTAGAAAAAATCGACTGCTCATTTTCACTTCTATCCAGACAAACTCAAAAAACTCCTGCAAAGACTGAAAACACAGTGTTGTTTCAGTCAGGAGCCGACGTGCAGTTGTTTGCCCTTTCAGACTTCAACATGACCGGATAGAAAAGATTTTAACTCTGCATGAAGACACGCTCCCCCCCTCAAAGAAAGCTTTTCTTATGCATTTCTAAGCAGTGATGGGGCGCTTTTATATCACATGATTAAAGGTGGAGAACAGTGATTAGAAATGGTTTGGGAGGGGGGCTTTAATCAGTTGTTTTCAGTCTTATTCATGGTTGCCCAAAAGGTGGATTTAATGTTTCGGCTCTCAAAGGTCCCCAGTGTGACTCCAGTAATGTTCAGCAGTTCATCAAGTGTTTGTGTTGGAGAACTTCGTTTGGGTGGACAGTTTCAATCTGTTGGAGGGGTCTTAAACAAAAGTATGTTCCTGTGATGCTTTAGAAAATGTTTTTTTTTATGTATATCTTGTGTTAATGAAATAAAGCAACACAACACAGTCAGGTCGGACTGATGAAACATCTCTGATGTAAGTGATCTGGTCTTTCATTCTCCTTTATCAGTTTATGGGAGTTATCAGCCCAGCCAGGAAGAATAAATCAGAGCTCATGCCACTGTTGCTGTGATGACAGAAGCTGATAAAACATCATTTAGAGCGTTTTATGGTTTCTGAGACATAATTATCTCAGCTGAGACACGACTGAAAACAACTCACCTTGGAAGAAAAGCTTCCTTTTACCCACTGACCTCAAGCCACATTCATGAAGATGTTTCTACCTTGAACTGTGAACAAAAGAAGAGAAATTAAGATATTGTGAGTTAATTTTTTAAATTTAGTCAATGATGCACATTTCAACATGTGATCGCTAAACTTCTGGGATTACAGAGTAACAAGAATAAGGCCTGGGTTAACTAAGGTGTAGTTAAATATCACTGGAACGAAAGTGATTGCGGGAAAAATAATAGATGAAAAGTGATTGGTGTTGAACTAGCTAGAAAAGCATACTAAAGTATCGCCAAGCTGACATGTGTATAAGGCTTGTTCGAGCCCAATATGGAACAATAACCCAAACTGTAACCATGACCCGAAATGTTTTAAAGAATAACACTGAAATATAATAACTGACCCAAAATGTAACAAGCTGCTACATTATTGGCACAAAGTTATCACATTTTATACTCAGCATCTTGTTACATTATTGACCAGTTATTATTATAGACTGTATATAGAATGTCTGCCTCCTCACTGGGTGAAGCCACCATGAGAACAGCACCCTCTTGTGACAGGTCGCAGTAAAGTCATAAATCCCGCCTCCTCCAGCAATCCCTATGGAGCTGTGGGGAAACTTTACAAGTTAATTACACAGAATATGAATGTTTCTCCCCCCTGTTGCGATGTTGACATGTAGTTACTGTCAGACTGGTTTGTGCTCAAGTCCTCTTTTTTCTGCAGGGGGTTCATGTTTTCTATGATTGACACTTGATACAGCCTATGGGCATATGAAGACTGTGTAGCTAAACCGTGGATACGCAGTTTAAGCTGAGCGTCATCACAGCGACTCTCCCGCTGATTGTTTACAACGCTACTGCTCAAGAAGTGGTTCCAGGAAGTGGAGTAAATCAACATTTTTATAATGACGGAAGGCGGAGCCAAGTTGTCGATAGTATATACTGTCTATGTTTGAAAAAGTCATCTTCTGCACCACATTCACCTTTTAACTTTAGTATGCTGCTTTAATAATATTGGCTGAGTGCAGTTTCTTCAATTCAGTTAAAATGTCAAGAAAAATAAATAAATTATAAATCTTTAGTGGCAACGTCTGCAGAAAACTTGCGACACTTGTTCTCCCTTCATCTTTGTGTTGGTTCACTTGTGTAAAAAGGTAATATATTTGCAGTACACATGGTTATCATGTAGAAATGCAATGCACATCAGGGCCAGAGGTTTTAGAGTCTAGACTGTGACTCTGCAGTCATCAAGACTGGTCAAGAAACTGTGATTGGATGAGAGGGTATAGTTGAAGCAGAGCTATAGCTTAGTAGATGATAGGTTTCCCAGGTTGCACAGTTAAACAGTCCATGCCGAGAGTTTATTTACTAACTTATTTAGCTAGTTATTAAGCCAATATAGCAAGCCAGGTATCATGTTGAGTTGACATAAGGTTATTACTTGCTCAGGAACAAATATATAGACTAACCTCACACAATACAGCGCAAAGAAAGTTGACAAATGAGGAACCATTGCTGTGGTTAGATATGCCACCAGTACAGACTGCCTCTCTCCATCCCTTCTTTAACCCAAGATTGAGGACGTGCTCCCGGGCATCAGCGGCTGGCTGGTTATCCATAAAGACATTTTCTTGGATCTCCTATCCATCTTAAAAACAACTCTGACCTCATTCAACCTCATTCAGTCCCACTCTACCTATCAGACCACATCAGTCCAAAGGGGATAGATAACCGACAGAGCACTGCTAGGTGACTTATGCCACAGGAAGGAGGCAGATCATCCAATCACAACAACAATACTGTCTGCATTGTTGAACATCAGTGAATCAAAACTTGGTTTGTATGTACTGGAGGGCCAATTCAGAAGTTACACACTGATAGTGATACGTCCTTTTGAAGAAAACAGAGGCTTTGTTGTTGCTCAAACCTTAATTTAACTAAATTCTTTAAACTGAAGCCAGATTAAATCCAAACTGTTGCACATTGCACTTTTATACCAGGCAACATTTACCTCTTACAAGATCTGGTTTAAATTCTCACAAGTACAAGAACATCAGAGGTCCAAGTTTGGACTCTTTGGTACATTTTTAAGAAAACTTGTTGTGTCTATTTGCTGAATTTTTCTTTCTTTTCTATTTTCCTTCTTGCTGCTGTCACGTGATGATCATTTAGAAGCACAGCTGACCGCTCTACCATACACCCCCTGCCTTGCTACCACCTCTTCATCCCAGAGATCATGGAGGAAGTCACCAAAGTTGCTGAAACCACAGTGGCCCATCAACCTCGTCTGGAACGCCAGGTTCGCCAGCGGCAGCCTGCAGTTTCAGTCCTCAAATCAAAGCTGAAGAAGAGTGCAACCTGCTCCGGGCCCCGGGTCAGATCAACTCTGACTGGGTTCTTCCCTGTGGTGCGCTGGCTGCCCAAATACAAGCTTCGAGAGTATGTCTGGGGTGATGTGATGTCCGGGCTGATCGTTGGTATCATCTTGGTACCCCAAGCCATTGCGTATTGCTTATTGGCAGGTGTGGAGCCAATTTATGGTTTATACACTTCATTTTATGCAAACATCATCTACTTTCTCATGGGCACATCCAGACATGTCTCTGTTGGGATCTTCAGCCTCATGAGCCTTATGGTGGGACAGGTAATATATGACATTACATCAAAACAATCACTAAAGTTTGATACCAGTTGCACTTTCTTTCAGCACGTTTATCCTCTTTGTGTTTTCTTGAACTGACTTGTATGAGTTCTTGATCATTTCTTCTTGCCCTACAGGTGGTGGATAAAGAGTTGTTTCTGGCTGGTTTCGATCTTGATGAAGACTCCAAAACCTCTGGTCCTGATGTGTTTAATTCCACAGTGGGCTCTAACCTAACAGCGGGTCATCCTCACAGCGTGGAGCTCATGGGCATGCAGTGTGGGAAGGAATGTTACGCCATCGCCATTGCTGCTGCCCTCACATTCCTGGCTGGCATCTACCAGGTAACGTAACAGTCGACTCTGAGCGTCCAAAAGCTCTATTCAAGGTTTATCTGAACTAAAGGTGTCCTTTGTGGTTTTTGTCCATAAGTATAGCTAAAGCCGATGTTCTACACAGTGGACCCTTCATTTTCTTTTCAAACTAGTCTTATAATAAATGAGGTAGATCTTGTTTTTTTACATTTTAAGCTGTCAAACTTAATTCCAAGTTGCAGTTGTAGTTCACAAAAATAATACTGTTAGGGATGGACCTTTTACCAAGCTCATGCACAGAATAGCCTAAAGGTTATCAATAGGAGCATCAATATTTGATGTCAGGCATTGTTGACCAAATGGTGGAACTGAAAAAACAGTAAGTGGTCTCCAACCATGTAGTTGATGATGTTGTGTTGATATGACTTACTTTGTCAAGAACCATGGTTATCACAAGATTCCTCATCCTAGAATCAGCCATGTTGTAATTGTCATGCCAACGTATCGTGAACATCAGAGTGACTTGTGACTTTGTGGTTTGCTAACTTGAGTAAAATGTGTCCTCTAACTCCACTCCTTATTCTCAACAGGTCCTGATGGCCATATTCCGCCTCGGCTTTGTCTCTGTATACCTCTCAGCTCCGATGCTTGATGGTTTTGCGACAGGAGCCTCTTTTACCATCTTGACTGTACAGGCTAAATACCTGTTGGGTCTAAAGATACCTCGTCACCAGGGTTACGGAACAGTTGTTGTTACCTGGATCAACATCTTCACCAACATTCATAAGACTAACCTGTGTGACCTCATTACCAGTGCTATCTGTATCTCTGTTTTATGTAAGGGAACCTTCCATAATTGTTCCTCATCATGCTCAGTCACCTCTTTGTAGCGTTGAAGAACACTAAAAAATTTTGTTTTGTTGTAGTGGCGGGGAAGGAAATCCAGGAGCGCTACAAGAATCGTCTGAAGATCCCTCTGCCCACTGAGCTGGTCGTGGTGGCAGGAGCAACACTTGCCAGTCATTTTGGAAACCTCAACAGCCGATACAGCTCCAGTGTCTCTGGTCACATCCCCACGGGGTTCATTCCTCCCCAGGTGCCCAGCTTTGCCTTGATGCCACAAGTGGCTCTGGATGCAATCCCTCTTGCTGTCATCAGGTGATACACACAACATTCGGCACAATGATTGTGTCGAGTCTTGATTTCAGAAATTTGATTGATAGACTAAAATAAACGTGTAGTCAAGGTCTTCACATGTGTTTTGGTAAAGGTAAAGATTAGCTCAGACTTTGTTTGTTGACTAAACATGAGTTTCTTTTGCAGTTTTGCCTTCACAGTATCCCTGTCTGAGATGTTTGCAAAGAAAAACGGCTACACAGTACGTCCCAATCAGGAGATGCTGGCCATCGGTTGCTGCAACATCATTCCCTCCTTCTTTCACTGTTTCACCACCAGTGCAGCACTGGCAAAAACTATGGTGAAGGACTCAACAGGCTGCCAAACACAGGTAAAAGTCCTACACAACTTTAATGCCAACTGCAAATTTCTTGTAGTTGTAAGCAAGTTCTTAAAGATCCCTGAGATCTTTAGAGCAGCAGACCAATCTTTGTTAACATCATCAAAATTACTTTTATCCTGTTACTCCTCATTTCTTTTCCTCAGGTATCCAGCCTGATCAGCGCCCTGGTTGTCCTTCTTGTCCTCCTCATCTTCGCACCGTTCTTCTACTCCCTCCAAAAGTGCGTTCTTGCCTGTATCATAATTGTCAGCCTTCGGGGGGCGCTGAGGAAGTTCAAAGATGTCCCATCCAAGTGGCGGGCCAGTCATAACGACGCCATCGTTTGGATGGTCACAATGTCAGCCACAGCACTGATCAGCGTGGAGATGGGACTTCTTGTAGGAATCGTTTTTTCAATGAGCTGCATCATCTTTAAGACGCAGAACCCTAAGGTGAGTGATCGATCTAGTCTTGATGGTGGATTTTAAAACCTGATATGTGGGAGTATAATAATTCTGGAAGGAAGCGATGCAACTAAACAATCCTTGTGTTTGATTTCAGGTGTCTCTCCTCGGTCAGGCCAACAGCACTGATCTTTATGAGGACATGGATGAGTACAAGAACCTGTTGCCCCCACCTCGGGTTCATGTCTTCCGCTTCCAAGCCCCTCTTTACTACGCGAACAAAGACTCATTCCTTAAATCCCTCTACAAAACGGTTGGAGTTGAACCTTTCCTGGAGATGACGAGGAGAAAAAAGGCAGAAAAGAAGGCTAAAGAGGCGTCTTCTAAGCAGGCCAAGGCAAATGGGGACGCAAGCAATGGAGAGGTCATTGTTGGACTCGTTCAGAGGGAGCTTGATTTCCACACAATAGTTTTAGACTGCTCTGCTATTCCATTCATAGACTCTACAGGCATGACCACGATTAAAATGCTGGTCAGAGAATATGAAGATATCGGGGTAAGAATAGTCCTGGCAAACTGTAACACTTCAGTCATTGACGACCTGCAGAAGGGACGGCTTTTTGGGAACAACGATGAAGACATGAGCAGTATGCTGTTTCATTCGGTTCATGGTGCAGTGCTTCATGCACAGAGTAAGTTTGCGCCTGCAGACAGCAGGACAGATGACTCTGTAGTGTAGAGCTGCTGGGAGATAAAAGTGAAAATGAAGACCATCCTATTTCTGTGTTAACTGAAACGTGTACGAAGAATTCGTGTTATCAGTGTAGTCTTTCCATCCATCCGGACCTTTTTTAGAGGCTTTGCTCAAGAAACCATGCTCACCATGGGGGTACCAAATGATCAGTTTAGATTGTTTGAATCATTACATAAGCGAACAAGCAGACAAAGACCACCACATGATCGACCCCATGGAGTCTGAGGAGCTGTGTCCCAAAATCCTGTTTTTGTATTTTTTAAAAATAAAACTACAATGTCACTATCAATACAATTACTTTTTGAAATGGTGCCTTATGATTGGAGAAAACTGAGAAAATTTGGTGGAATTTTTATTGCTCAAATGGGTTATATGCTATGATATAAATATAATAATGAATATAGTGCCTTGGGGGTATAATCAAAGTAATCCAAATAATCCAAATGAGTTCAATCCTCACAAAAAAGGTAATTTTGTGGTCTCTTTTTCTTCAAATCATGGGCACTGACGTGGTTTATGTTGTTACTAAATCAAGTAGAGGTGTGTGCATTTGTTCTCTGTTGCTCAGTATGAAGTGTCTTTGCAGGTAACAGACACAGTGGTGCCGTTACTCCACCAGTCAAAGTGATGCTGCAGTCTAAGACAGAGAGACAGACTGACACTGTGACACATCAGGGCCACATTTGTTGTACCTTTTATATCATATTTTCATAGCCTGGCAGTTGAGAGCATGTGGTGGAATGAGACTGTGCCACTTTTGCTCGCTCATGCCGGCTCCTTGCCCTAAATAACTTCTTGGCTGGACACAGGAAGTAAACAAGGTAGAGATAGACCCGGAAAATTTCCTGTTTTTCCTTTGATTTAATGAGCTGAAGGAAAGAGGCATGGCACACACCCATAGTTTTCTGTTTTACAAAAAAAAAAACTGTGTTACATTTAGTCACACATAGAGTCACTGGCCATCAGTGTCAGAAGACTATTCAGATTCATACTCTATTTATCTAACCTCTGATAAAAGGGGAGACATTTAACCCATGGGTCTACATCTACATACATGTTCTGCTAGTGGTTACACCTGTTTTTTGTTTGTTTTGTTTTGTTTGTTTAGTCAATTTTCAGGTTACCTATTTTTAAGCTTTGTTTGTTTTTCATGTTTCATATTATTACTTAAGTTGTTGGTGGCTCTTATCCAGGAATTCAGTGTTCATGAATGAGGAATAAATGCCCTCCTTAGCCGCACATCCTGAAGTGCCGGTGATTCAGTCCCTAACATTTTTTTGTAACAAGCCAGCAGAACTCTTCTTACCTGGGAGAAGAAACACGTATTTCTGGAGGTAAAAGAAATATAACAAACAAGGACTGAGCTATTTTTCAGACTCTTCTGTCGAGGCTGCCTTGACTTCAAACTATCACAGACTCTTGGCAAATGGGAACAAAAGGATTTAAACTCTTGTGAGGTCTCCTCTCAGGAGCTGGGTGAAATCATCATACGGTGCTCTGTAACGTATATTTTGTCTGGTGATGCTGTATGTTTTATCTACTTTTGTCACTGCCACTGATTTTTAAAGCTGTTTTGTTAATTGCAGTGTGTAAGTTTAGTCTCTGTTAATTAACATTTTTTATATTGTCTTTGTCTTTTTTGTGTGTGCTAAGTAGAGTATTTTAATCAAAATAATCATCTTTAGAAGGTAGAAGCTTACATGGTCATGTCAAGAAATAAGTATAGATGTACACATTTTTGTAAATTTAAAAGAAAAAGGTATTTTTATACAATAATTTTGTCCTCATGTTTTGCATGTGTCAATTTTAACCAATGATGATGATTATGTCAAGTTTTACACAGGTCTGTCTGAATTGCCTTACAGTTTAGTCCTTTAATTAAACTGACGAGTCTTTGTTGAAGAATGTGTGTCTGCAAATACATTGTTAATATTATTAGTGTTCAGGTTTGTTTACCTGTTAAACAAAGAATATATTTTTTCATTTATAAGAATTAAGAGTGCTCAGACGTTAAAAAGAGCGATGAAGACACTCTTGGACGGAGAATGAAAAGTTCTCAAAAAGATAATAAAATAAAAAGTTTGCCTTTGCTGTCCCGCAGAAAAAAGGGTTTATATCATGTCAGATGTGAGAAATAAAAACTCTTATATTTTTTATATAATTATAGAAATTTTCCATTGAATAAAAACACACTGGTGCAAAAGCAAAAAACTCATTATCTCTTGATGCCAAGACTATCTTGATGTTATGATTTCACTTTTATTCTGCATTGACTTGAGACGATCTAAACTTTTGTCACTGTGTCTCAAAGAAGTTACAGGACTTTTTTCATTAATGATATCAAACATACAGAACCATTTTGGCCTTGTCAACTACTTCTTCACACATTTTTATGTCTCCTCGACTCTCAGCTCCTTGATTATCAGAGGCTTCATGATTGAGGGGAAGACCATCCCTGCATGAGTATAGCCTGTGTCATTATTCGAAATAATGTTATACAGTCAGGTATGTTTAAAGGACTCAGTTCTTACTCATTAACTGTAAAAATGCCAAAAGTCAGCGGTTTGCTTTCACTGGGATTGTCAAATATTAAACAAGCAAACACGAATGGAAATGTCAAGTCATGCACGATAGCATAAAATCAACAGCTCGGCAGCGAAAACTGAACAGACAGTCAGTAAAGACTGAGGCTGTCCAAACCAAAAATTACATAAAAATATGGACCCCAATATTTTTTTGTATTTGAATCATCGATTTATTTACATCCCATTCACCTCTAAGCAACATTTCTTGAGCTGTGTGTGCATTTAACTGCAAACCAAACCAAAGTAAAATCATTCTAGATTGGTCAAAAAGAGATTCAGTTTATGCAAGATTATTCAAAAACAGTGGTGCGCCGAACATGAGCACCTTAACAATCAGGATGTGACATTAAATTGACGATTGTGTTTTTAATCATTCTTTCGCTGAGAAAAATGGTCAAATATTTCAGTATTATACGTGTCTCTGGTCTTCGTCAAAAGCAAATGTGCTATTTACTGTCTTGGAAAACCAGTAAATAACAATTTCAGAGCTAGCTGAGATCAGCAAAGTTCTCCTTCATTACTTTGTCAGACAGCCTTTACACAAATATTCATTAGTGCATGAGGTGATTTGGTGACGGTGTATTATTGTTGAACATAATTATTGGTCACTCTGGGTGTCAGCATTTCCATCAGACAGAGATTAAGAGGAAAGAAAATCCTCTTGTTTAAAACAAAATTGACAAGTCTGCAGCAAAGACACAGTATTTGATGTTTACTTCAGGGCTCTGACACTAGCACTGCACACAGGTATACGCTGAGTCAACAGGATGTCCCTGTGTTCATCTAGCATGTAACTTCAAATCGCTGACTGAAGTCAATCATTTGACAGTGGCTGAACAGAAAACCAAACTCTGAGAGAGAACTGTAAACACTCAGTCCAGAGAAACGGCAGAAGAGGTGAAAAGTGAAAACATTTCAGAGCAGGAGTTTGAGTAAAAGAGGTGAACATCAAATCACAGAATATGCAGATCTTTACTTTCAACATTTTTAAATGGGCAACACTTCTATCAATGCTGCCCTCTACTGGTTAAATATCCTCTCTGCTCCTCTCCTGTTTCAATGTGTTCTGAAGACAGATGTAAGTTCCCCTACAGGAAATACTTACTGAAGAGTAATACAGGTGTAATCTTTAATGTCTAAAAATCACTGAAAAAAGACTCAGTTTCCAGCATTCTTTATTCATTCAAAATGTTTAAAAATATATTTCCACATAGGCACTAAAATAAATATGATACATCTTATAGTTCAGTGCCAGTGATCTATGATATAAATGATGTTCAAGGAAAACACAAACACGGGATAAAACAATCAAGATATCATTCCAGAAAAGATCGAGCAAGTTAATAAAAGTCCAAAAGTCAAGTCCATGTCCAATAATAAAAACACACTCCAAAAGGCAGAATAAAGACACTTCTTTACACTGTGGGAAGGAGGTAATCGCAGCACAATCTGTTCATAACATTAAAGAAACACTGGCCCTGGTGGAAAACAGCATGATCAGTTTGTTCACTGTTTTCTTTTACAGTGAGTGTGTAGACACTACAGTACAAATACAGAGAGAAATAAGGCAAATAAAGTGTAAAGAGAGGATGAAAACCCGAAAATGGACCCAGAGTGTATTGTTTAGGATACCTGTGTAACTTCACCCTGGCCTTAACCCCCTCCTCATATAGACTAGAACATTCGTTTTTCCATGCTCTGTCTTTATAATGCAGCTGCAGCAGATGTGCCATCAGGTGACCGCTCCAGCTGATACATATTCATATTAAAGTATTACAGTTTCTCTTATTCACTGTATGACATTCAGCTCTAGTTTTTTTCTAACTGAAAATCAGATTAGATTCATGTTAATGCTGTTAGCTCAGCCATCATCTATTTACCTTTAATTGATCACATCAGTGACACAAATGTCAGTAAAAACTAAGTGCCTCTCAGTTTAAAATAGGTTTGTTTTTGATTCAAACAAACAACACTAACAGAATATTCTCCCTCTAAATCACATCTGGATCAGTACTTTAGAACCGCTCAGAATAGTGTTCTGATCATTTACATTAAAATAAACATCCCCTGAAGGTAAAAACTTTGCATGTCTTCTGTATACCTCTCAAACCTGCATGTTTCTTTTAAATTAAGAAAGTGAGACCCTACAATCGAGTAACATAACGTCAGGAGGCTGATGTGGGGCGGAGCAGGTAAACAGATTCAGCCAAAGTCAGTGAGTCAGGCCTTTTTAAATCACTCGCCCTGTGACGACACACCATTTCTTTATCCAAACTGAAAAGTCTGATCATGACCGTCATCGTCAGAGTGCTGACTTTGTAACATGGCCAATATCTCAGTTGCTACAGGACTCTGGCTGATGAGATGCTGTCTGGTGCAACCCAAGCATGTTGGATTTGGCTACCTTAAACAGTATTACAGGGATCTTTTTATGAGACAGTTCAATCTTGTGTAGCAAAAACACAAGCAGAAAAAAAACACAAATCAAGCAGGAGGAATAAAAGGATGGGGTGTAACAAAAACAAGATTCCCACACTGTAAAACCATATCCTATTAAAGGCAGACATTTCGCTGATTGACCTTAAACGTTTTGTTCCAAAGCTTCAAATACATAAGTTTCGACACCAAACCCTCTTCAAACAGACTTCTCACAGTGCCTGAATGCTGAGTTGCCACTTGTCATGTTTTTGTTCTGTGCAAGCTACCATCTCCAGACTCAACAAACAACCTTAACTTGTGCGATTAATGGGTAAAAAAACAAAAGAATTGTTCCTAATGGCTGGTATCTTTGATTCAATTGAATCATTCAGATATTTTCTCAATACCTCTGTACATAAATCTGCATTCCAGTAAGTAATCATGAGAAAACATGATCAACAATTGACACACACAAAAAAAAAACCTTAGCTGGTTCCTACAAACAAACTCCACCTTCATGCATTGTTATAGTAGTGGTAATGGTGCAATATTGAAAGTTTCACAGTCATTTTCTGAACATCTGAGGTTCGACTCCGTAGGTTTTAATCCCTTGATTTAGATTCAGTTTATGTTTGAGGAAATAGAGATTTTCAGAAACTCTAAATCCTCTTTTGACCGACTTAAAAATGGTACTGGCCTCTTTTGATTGATGTTCAGGGTAAGTGCAACTGAGTGGTACCAATCAGCTCTTTGTAGAAAGTGAATTCTGCAAGTCTCCCAGATAAACCGCTTAACTTACTAGTGGTTGAAAATCTTTAGGTAGCAGCCAACCAGTAAATATGTTTTCAATGCTAAAAGGAGTCATTTGTACTGGAGTGTACTGGCGAATGACTGATTGCCTTACCCTTACAAGATTTGTTTTGTTAAACTTGGCTGCTGCTGCTGGTCTGGGTTGGGCAGGTCCGGCTGTGCCTGAAACGCATGATATGTACAGCTGTCTGATGCCACCAGTAAAACATCAACACCACCAGAATGTGCCACACCTGATGGCTGGCACCCAGATAGTTCAGCTGGCCTAGAAAACGACAGAAGGGAAACCATTTTGCTCCTACATGAACTGATTTTTTAAAATTGTTTTTAATTCTCACAGGTTATTTTGACAGTAGGTGATTTTAAATGCTTTTAGAGAAGGAAGCTAAGAAATCCAAAAGATTATCAAGTATTAAGCCAAAAGTCAAATATAAGCCTTCTTTAGGATACTAAATTGCTAACAGTATTAAAACCACCAGAACAGCTGGTTGTCAGACACTGCTGACAAAAAACATGATAGGTTTTTCATCATTTCTAGTCATCCTACACGATTAAAACACAGCCTCTTTGCAACCTACTGCAGTGTAAATATTCCATTACAAAAAAAGATAGAAAACTGCAGGGGTTTTGCAGTCTCCTGACTCATCTGTGATTATTCTTTGTAAACATACTGACCTCTGAAGTTCATCAGACTTCTGCTGTCACACACTGAGTTGGAAAAGACGTCTTATAGATGAAACTTTGTACTTAAATTATTTTTTTTCTCTTGTTCGCTTGTCTGTTAAAGACGTCTGTTTTGTTAAAAACTCTGGTGGCATTTTGGTTATTTAAACAAAACCACAGAGGTCAGTCTTTTACCCAGACTGACAACAGCCTTAGTGCTAATACAGTGTTGCTACCAACAACAAAACACACAGTCAGTTTAACTCCAATTGTCTTACAGTGACTTTATTCACAGATTAATTTTTCAGACCAAATAACAGAGACGGACAAAGACTCACCTGGGAAACAGCGTTCAGGGATCTTGGTGACGTAGAACATGAAGGCAGATCCAGCTATTAGATACATCACAATCACTCGAGGCAGGAACAGCTTCACATGGGCGGATAAAAGAAATCAGTGTGACTAAACATCACAAAGTCAAGAGAGGACAGCGCAAAGATTCATGGATGAAACTTGTTGCTTTGGATAATCTGCAGATTAACTGTCAAATGGATGTTCAGATAAAAGCTTCAATAAAGAGTATCAGTGCTGAGAAACACTTATCTTCCTAATCTTCTGCTAAAAAAGTGTAAATAAAAAATGTGCAAAAACTTGAAACAAGTTCCAACATCTTCTTTTCTTGCTTTATTTCCTGACCTGAACCACATCAGTAGATAATCCCCCGTTGAGCCAAACCCAGTGACACGCTGGGATCACACTGATGCCAGCCACACAGCAGAAGATTGTCATCCGTATCCTTCGCCAGTCATTGCTGAGGTAACGGGGGTGGATTTGGGCACAGAAGACTGCCAGGATCAGGGACAACACAGTCAGCAGGTACACCTGTCGCCAAAACTGCGAGAGAGAAAATCAGGCAATAAGAAATCAGATAGTCTGTGAGTTTGTTTGATCGACATCATGAGAGAGTTAATCAAATCTTGGTAATCTTGGATGATTCTTGTTTGCACTTACAGCGTTGCAGTAGAAAGCGTAGAATATCCCAGGCACATAACATCCCAGGATGCCGACAGATATGCCTGCATAGTCCAGAGCCAGCCAGCGACGGCTTGTCTTCTCTGATCGGTGGCAGGAGAACAGATGATACCCGACAGAACACAACATGCACACCTGGGAAAAACACACACACACAACCCTCACAGACTGAAGGACACTGAGACTAAATACACATTTATTTATCTTAAGAAACTTTTCAACAATCTAATCAGTTTTTGTGTAATGGGAGGGTTTCAATACCTGTTCTAAAAGGGAAATCAGTCTCACTTCAAATGTACATATAACACTAACAAGCTGTAGGCCCATGACAAATCCTACAACACAAATAGTTCACAGCTCACACAAACAATAACCACTGTCATACACTGAATGGCTAACAAGAGGAGGAGCGCTGCACTACAATACTATTTCTATTGTAGGTATGTACACTCTGACCCTCTCCACACAGCTTACACACCTTGTCGGATAGAAGTGAACCAGTTGCACCTGTTGTAGGGAATGTGAATCCACATGAACACGTTTGTTATGCCACACAACTACATTATGATAAACAATGATGATGAATGAAAATGAAGTCAATGAACACGTTTAAACATATAGTGAAAAGTGATGCTGGGGCCTTAAATAAAGTAGAGGGTATTGGTATAGGTTCAGAACTTCAGTAATATCTGCAATTTGCTCAGGAGATCAATAATTTAGCTCTTGTTTCTCCCCTGGGAATCAACGCCTTCAGCAGCTGTACCTGGTAACAGAACAGTCCTATGGCGTAGATGATGTAGTCCTCTCTGTTAGCGCCGGAGGCTGGCAATACTGACGAGACATCGTTTACCCCCAGAGAGAAGAAGAGCAGGAAACCCAGAAGGTGGCTCCAGATGTTCACAGTCTCATTGGACAGCATAAAAATACTAAAGTCAGAGAGAAGAACAAATGTCACACTAATGCAAATGATAGAACATGCAACCCCAGACATCTTAACTTTGTTTGCATTTCATTTACTAATTTATAACCAGAAATTTGTTGAAAGAATTTGTCCTTTCATCAAACTAGACATGTACACTACAGGCCAAAAGTTTGGAAGCAAGATCAGATTTGTACAAAAAAAGATCACAGTTTCATATATATAATTTGCAACACAATAAACATGACTATTGTGTAAAGAGTAACTTATCGGAAGACATTTTGACTATAATTATGAGGTATTTGAGTTATTGTTGCTTAGACTTTGCTTTCTTTAAAGTAACCTCCTCTGGCTTTAACAACAGCTTGGCATATTCCAGGCATTCGTTCCACAAGTTTTTTAAGGTATGTTCCAGGGATTGCATTTCCATGAAAGCAACATCTGATCGTGTAGTAAATACATCCCAGAATACATTAAACTCAACTCTTGCTTCCAAACTTTTGGCCTGTAGTGTATAACTCATGACTCCCACCTCCTCAGACAGAGCTTGGAGGGCAGGTGGGCCCTGTAGCCATCTGTGATGTAGGGGTTTTCTTTGAGGAAGAGGGGGATCTGCTCGTAGGTGTACAGCCTGATCCTCTGTGGGATTAAAACGGGCCAGTGCTGATAGCTGCCCAGCTCGATGTAATGGGCAGTTTTCAGCAGCTTCTGGGGCATCTTCAGCAGCATCTTGTTCTCTGCTCCTCCGGTTCAAGGCAGGCTGGCAAGAGTTAAGGCTGAGTTTGGAGTGAGAGAGAGATACGGACATCTTCCTACTGACCGTTCATGTTATTGTCACAGTGCTAGCATGCTTCTGGCTAACCTTAATGCTAACCTTGACAGGCATTTCTGCAGCTACACTGACTGAAAAAGGGGAGAACAAGGCTCACCATCAGTCGGAGTCTGACCTTCCGTTTCCTCGTCCAGGTTCTTCAGCCATAACCAGATGGCTATAAGGCGAGAACAACGTTAAAAATCACATTTTCGGTGTTATCCAAAACAAAAACACATACAGTGTTTATCCTTGGCTGCCGTCCGTCTTCTTCGATGAACTTACACGACATAATAGCACATTACTGCCACCAGCTGGCGAGCCTGGAGTAGTGCACCCCATTTTATACTTCAGGGAAAAAATAACCAAAAGTTTTAGCCAAAATTCCCTGCAAATGATTGCAGGAATTTTTAGTTGAATTGATGCTTTTGAATCTGGGGATTAGTCTTTATGCTCTAAAGCACTTTCACAGAGGCGGTTAATGCACAAATTCCACCCTCCCTTTTGACCAAAGAGTATCGCAACGCAGATTTTTAAGTGACAGCAAAAGAGCTTTTAATTTAATATCACAGACTTATGTCCACACCATAAACAGTTTTGTCTGTTTAAAGGAGGGACTGACTGTGGTCACAAACATTTTAAACCCCATCAGCAGTGATGTTAACAAAGTCTCTATTGTGCTTTACTCATAGGTCAGAGCCGACATCTGGTGGCCCATCCTTGTTGCTATCAGTCCCTTAAGTCTGGCAGTTTATTTATCCTTTTTTTTTTTGCCCTCAACCAATCTATGGGTGTAGATGGATAATGTTATTGACATGATCATGTTCATTTTCTGATTGTCCCTAAAAAATTACACTTGCACCTCAAAACCTACTTACACTTTCGTCATTTGTAGTGAGTCTGTGAGTTTCTCTTTAATAAAAATGTGTAATAAAAGCAGGATTGTCTCACTCCTTTTTTGCACTTGTTAGCATTAAACACACTATTGATGAGTGCTTAACAAGGTCTTTGGGTTAAAGTACTTCTTACACAGCGACTTTGGTATGTAATCTTTTGGGTTGTTTACTGTCATGACTTCATCCTCTTTAAAAGATGAAATTAAACTCTCAGGAAAGCCACTGCCCTGGAACACAATGATATGTGTAATTACAGCGCTCCACCACAAAAGAGCTCATTGAATGTGTGATATATGGTTCGTATGTAAAGCATACATGTGACAGAGTCATGTTCAGCTGGTGAAAATTAAGAAAAGGTTGTGTAATCGCACAGCTGAAAAACAAGGGCAGTCTTCTCTCTGGAGAACAACAGCAGGTTAAATTTCTCTTTTTTTGGGAGACACGTATTGGATCACTCTCATTCTAGGCAGCAGATTACTATGACAAATCATGGGCGTTGTGTTAGTTGATCCATTTCTGCATTACATCTGCAGATGATTTACCGGAACATGATGCTTGTTTGTCCTAAAATGAAAAAAAGACAGCTGACGTCCATTTTGTAATGAGGAGGCTTTTTTTCTAAGTCAGTCAGAAATGAATCATAATTGACACACAGCTTAAACATATTTCAATATGAGTTAAGAGTTTTATTGTTTTTTGGGGCATTAAAAAGTACAGCACTAATCATAGAGTTACTGTGTTATCTAAACAGGTCTATGTCTATGATTCTTTGTGTTTTTATCTCCACCTGTCAGTTAATGCCAGCCATCCCTGCCAATTAAAGTCCAACAAAAACATCTGCAGCACAGGAAGATGATTGGTCAGACCTACAAAACTAAAGCACAGTGAAGGAGGAGAAAAGATAATTCAGTTATCCGAATTAATCCAAATTTTGACCCTTTTAAGGGTCAAGTTCACCCAATGTTCGAGTCCATTTGACTCATGATCTTGGGTTAAATTGATATATGCATTTGGGGAGCTTTTTTTGGGAGCTTTGCTTTTATACAACCTGTACCTTATTTTCCCATGTATCTGATTGTGGACCATAGCAATTAGGTTCTTGCCTAAGGACCCACACCGGTTGATGTAGTTTGTTCCCTACAGATGTGTCTTATGTGGAGTTTGAACCCCAACCCCCCAGTTTGGAGCTGGATGTTCTACCTGCTGAGCTACCCTCTCTGCCCAATATAGTCTGGGGTAGCTACCCTGAGGTACCCCATAGAAATGACCCAAGAAATGGGGATTGATCTGAAAAATAACCCAGAAATTTACCTCAACGTGTATTACCCAAGATTGGGTTGAAGAAATAACCCAAGAGTTTTTAGAGTGTATAACAAGAGATAGTGCATTTATTTTATTTTATTTTTTGTATTTACAAATATTCAATACATTTTTTTCTGTAAACATGTTAAAATTCTCTTTTGCAACATTTATTTCAGAACTTTAATTTGAAGAAGCCAAAAGGAAGTAGTTCTGCGCCTCAATGCCAACATTTGTGTTTGTGGTGTCCAGCAGCTGTGCGCCCTGCCCCGTTTACTTCACTATCAGCTCACTGTAGGAGCCGGATCGAGCTGTCCCTCCTCTCAGCACTGAGCCAACATGTGAACCTCCGAGCTGATGCACCGAGGAGGAAAAAGGACACATCCTGCTGCTGCTGAACGAACCAAACTTTCTGATAATATGTAGGGTAATGCACGGATTATGGCTCGGATATGGATACGGTGCAAAGTGCTTCTCTTTTTGATTGTTTGTGTGAATTCATCTCTGCATGACGGCGACGACGTTTCCTGTGATGGAGCGTTTGATATTTATTTTGTTTTGGACAAGTGAGTAGACACAGATTTATTCTACATACAAGTGTGAGCACTGAGGAAACCTGAGGTAGACTGACATATTAATCTCATATTTAGCTCTTTGAGCGCTGAGGCAACCTTAAGGCAGTTCTTTCCATGTATGGAAGTGTTTAGTTTGACATGTTCCTCCACTGCTTCACTGCAGGTTTAACATATTTATTTCACTCCTTTTATCTGCTCTGGACGTCAGTGTTAGGGATGTTTTCGTGGATTGAGTTCACATTCATAGTTAATTGTTGTTTGACAACATAAAACAGCATGCTCTGGTCTCCTGTTATTCTATATAACACATTATTGACGTCTTATGTGTTCTTGATCAAATTAATCTACATAAAACATGGCTCCATGAAAATTTGGGGTTAAAAGCCACTTTTTTATTTTAGCCAAATACATCCTCAAATATCCTTTCAAATAATTTTGTTTACAGTAAATAACCTTATTTTTACAGCCTGAGGTTTATAATTTAAATAACATGATTGATTTGATTGATGGATTGAGGACATGTCCTTAATGATCCACTTCTCATTTTGGTTTGTGTATTGCTGTAACAGTTTTATGAGTAATGGTTCAGTGGACCAGTGGGTCATCTCTCAAAGTAAGGTTGAATTCAGCTCCTGCAGTTACCTGATGCATGTGAACAGGATGAGTTAGTACTGATGATCCTCTGCCACCTGTGTTTAGATGTGGTATGAATAAGTGATAATGTAATTGTGCCTTCAGTGGTCAGAAAAGCTAGAAAAAAAGTAATAAAAGTACCTATTATAGACCTTTGTTGTACTTACATTACATATTTCTTGCCATGGAGGGTTGAATGAATCCCTGTACTGTCTGTTTCTGTAGGTCAGGAAGTGTTTCAGGACACTGGGATGAGATCTACGGGTTTGTGGAGCAGCTCACCCACAGGTTTGTCAGGTAAGTGAAATTTAAGGATGGGTATCCCTCTCTCCTCTTTCCTGTTTCTCTCCCCTCACAGTATTATCTCAGCAAATATGAAACCAAACTTCATATGGCACAGCTCAAACGAAGTGAAAAAGTGTTTTGCAGACCACCAGCCACATAAAAGCTCAACCAAAGTTTTACAGCAGAAATTAGACTAATGAAAATGGACTTTTTAAATAGTGAGGTCCTAGTTATAGGCCTTAAAATTACAGTACAAACAGTAGTAGTGAGTAGAAAAGTAGGCCATGTCTATTTTAGGCTGCAGACATCATACATGGCCACCAACTGTTCCAAACCCCCTCTGGGTAAGGGTGCAGAGGGTGTGTGTGATATCTTTAGGTTAAATAAGGGGTTACTAAATATAAAGGGAAAACGTCTCACCAGATGTTGAAGGTGGCGCAGACCACAACAGACGGTACTGTTCCACTTCACAGCCTGAAGGATAAAGCAGAGAGAGACAGTGATAGTGTTGGGGGCTCATTTCCCTGGAGACCTAAAATTGGAAGCTGGCAGGGTGCAAAGACTGCGCTATGGTGTCGACTTATTTAAACAGAGAGAAAGAAGACATTCAGTCTAATCTTGTGTTAAAATTGAAGGGTTACCTGGATTATTTAATCCTCTGAGGTGTGCAAAAGATGGACGGTTATTATTGAGGCTTTTTGATGTTTGTGTTTCAGCCCCAGGATGAGGGTTTCCTACGTTGTATTTTCAGCCAGAGCGACTGTAACACTGCCACTAACTGGAGACAGGTACAGGCCTCATGTCTTCTCTCAAAGTCTCACACTATTTACTTCAGCTCCTTTTACACTTTTAAAACTTTTCGTACCGCTGTGCTGTCCATGTTCTGTGATCTGTACAGGCCTAAGATCGATGAGGGCTTGAAGAAGCTGAGCCAAATCAAACCTGCAGGTGAAACATATATGCACGAAGGCATGAAAGCGGTTAGTGAGCTTATGAATATTGTGATTTTTTTTACTCTTGAGACAATCTGAAACCCAAACTCAACCAACTCATGGGCAAAACGTGTGTCAGTAGAAACTCCTCAAGAACAGCATGTTTCAGATCTGTGGTGCGGATCTGTGAAAACTAAAATTCAGCAAACTTTCATCGATCAGGTCTCGGAGCAGATGTCAGCACAGACTTCGCCATCATCCAGCATCATCATTGTTCTGACCGATGGCAAGCTGGAGGTCTATCCCTATGAACTGAGTGTGAAGGAGGTATCAAAGTATCGCCCATCAACACTCACACACACACAGAGGATTAGACAATAGTTGTTACAGTGGTGGTAGTTAGAGTCTGATTGAAACAATGAGACTGTAAGTAAGTAAGTAAACTTTATTTGTATAGCACTTTTCACAGACAAAAGAGTCACAAAGTGCTTCACGTAGACAAAATAAAAAGATGTACATACAAATTAAAAGTCAAAGACAACAACATTTAAACATAGTCATAGTAGCCCCAAAAACAATTAAACAACTGCCTGAGCAAATAAATAAGTTTTGAGTCGGCTTTTAAAGGAGTCAACAGAATCAATTAAGAGAGAGAGGAAGATCAGTCCAAAGCCTGGAAGGATCGGTCTCCTCTGGTCCGAAAACGAGTCCGCGGAACCATCTGTAGATTCTGATCCACGGACCTCAGAGCCCGAGAGGGTGTGTAAGGCTGGATCAGATCACAAATATAGGATTGAGCCTGACCATGCAAGGCTCTTAAAGTTAGGACCAGAATTTTAAAATTGATCCTTGAGGACACAGGCAGCCAATGAAGAGCTTCAAGAATAGGGGATATGTGAGTCCTCCTATTAGCACGGGTTAGAATTCTCGCTGCAGAGTTTTGCACTAACTGAAGACGAGACAGCTCCTTTTTGTTTAGACATGAAAACAAACTGTAACAATAGTCTAAACGTGACGACACAAAGGCATGAATGATGAGTTCCAAGTCTTTTTGCAACACCATTTTTGTAAGCTTAGCGATACACACAAATCATAGTATAAACCATTAAGATGACAATTACCAGATTGTAAGACCCTCATGGTGCTTTTGACGTGTTTGGAAAATCAGAGCTTCATTCAGGACTTGTTGTTCTTCTCAGGCTGACCGGGCCAGAGGATTCGGAGCCAGAGTTTACTGTATCGGGGTTATGGACTTTGACCACAAACAGGTAGGAGGGCTGTTTTTTCTCTTCCCCTAACTGTGTGCTCTCATGGTGCGCGGTGAGAAGGACACTAATCTTTGTAACTGATACTGTCTGTTGTTTATGTAGGGGGGGTTTACCCATCTGTCGGTGTTAGTGAGTGTCTCTAGCCAGAACTTGAATCTGTTTGTTTTTACCTCTTAAGGCTCAACTGGAACCCCCACAGACTAAAAAAACAACAACTGGCAGGGTTTTATAGCTTGTGTTGTAATGTTGCTTTTGGTTTATGTAAAAACACAGAATAAATTTAGTTTTGAGTTCTCATACCCTAGAGGGACTTAGTTTTATCCTGTGGATGTATCAGGTTTTGTTTGGAAAACAAAGAACCCAGTATGAGATAGGTATGGAGCCTGATGTGTCCACAGATATATTTGTAAAAGAGTCAAAAAGGCATTATATTATGAAACACTCATGTTTTTATCAGAGCTATTAGATGTGATTGGATTGTATCAAAGTCAGGTCATAAGTCATCCTACAATCCAACAGTATTTGATTTAAAGTGGCTATTATTGTTTCTCAACCTCTGATATCAGCGTTGTTTTGTTTGTGGTTGTATATTCTGTCGGTGCCGCAGTAATGATCTGATTAAATATTAATAAGTTCATGTAAACGAGTTAAAAACTGAATCAGTCTTGACCCAAACAGTCTCCTGTATTCAATGAGTGGAGATGTTCCTCTGCCCAGTTACTGACCCGGTGTACACTGCAGCCAGAGGAAATAATCACATCAGTCTCTAATTAGATAATGCTACACAAACTTCCTGTCCTGCCATCACTGAAGCAGGAGATGAAAGCTTGAGCCAGCAGACCCGAGCTTTCATCTCCTTCCTGAATGCTGCTTTGGCACTGGAGTGAAACAAGCTTTACATCCCCAGCAAGACAGCGATGACTTAATGATGAAATGTGAAGTTCTTGGTTTTTAATTTAGGTGAATTTAAAGGAGAAAAATCAAAGTTTTGTTCTTTTTCTTTCTCAGCTTGCTGAAATAGCAGACAGCTCAGAACAAGTCTTCCCCGTTCTGTCTGGATTTCATGCTCTCAAAGACATCGTCAACTCTGTGAGGTCACACCCTGTGAAAACACACAAATACTTAAATGAACCAGTGAGGACAGACCCACAACTCAAACTGTCTTATCTTCGATCTACACAGATCCTGAAGCAGACATGTCGAGACATTTTCACGATCGAGCCGTCGAGTGTTTGTGTGAACGGTAAGTTAGTGAGGCAGAGTGAAGAAAAGGGGGTAATGCTGGAAAAATAGACCTTTAATCAATTTTGGTTATTAGCTGATGATGCACAAATTAACTTCAGCCAAGCAACTTGAGAGCTACTGTTCATTGGCATTGTTCTAACATTTATTTGCAAATGTTAGCGTGCTATATCAGGCTTCAGGCTTGAGCATCAGTGTGTGTGAACTTTGATTCCTCCTGTGCCAGTTTTTTTTTTGTGAGATATGTAAAGGTTATAGTTTGATGAGTGTTGTTGTGTCTCACAGAGTCGTTTAATGTGGTGCTGAGGGGCAGCGGCTTCAGCGGATCCAAGAGAACAGATAACGTCCTGTGCTTCCTGACCGTCGATGAGAAGACTTATGGTCGGTAGATAACAGACTCAACACACTCATGTTGAGCACTTTAACTGCTCTTAGGTCTCTCTTCATACATTTAGCTTTTTAAATGCTACTGCAGATGATGCATCTGTATGTAAAATGTAACATTGGTGTTGAGCAGTGATACTGATACCTACTGCTGTGTTGTTCTGGGATGCCATTATCGACGAAGTGAAATGTGAAACCATGAGCAGATCTCTTTGATGCAGTGGAAACTCAGAGTCATGACATCCAGAAACCAACAGAAGCAGCTTTTTATCGACTTCAGCCAGAGAACTGAGGAGGCATTATGAGAGCGAGCAGAGGGGAGGGAGGAGATGTTCTCGGTCTCATTAGTCTATTAACAGAACGATTGGAGGGGCAGAGTCACGGAGAGGACATGAAGAGATATTTTATCCTTTCACTCTCCCCCGAACTATCTTGTTTTGTTCCCATTTCTGCTGTATTTGTTGTTATTATCACCATTACAATTTTTTTAATAATCCAGTATGAGGGAAATAATCCCAAACCAGGATCTAAATACTCTATATCTATATTTATGTATCGAGAAATCAAGAAACGACCAATAATTTCCCTTGAAATTGAATTTCCCCTCGATAAAGTTCTTCAAGTTCAAAAGTGATTATTTTGTAAGTCAAACTATCATTTGATTTTGCACACATGAGATTTACATTTTCTATAGGACTGTGTTCATTAACGTTTTTTTAATGACAATTGTCTTTGTAAAATATGTGATCTCTGCAGCAACAAGTCTCAGAGTAGATTTGTCTCTTCTTTTTCAGACCAGAAGCCAACAGTAGTTAGGGACGGCTATCTGCTGTGTTCAGCTCCTGTTCTGCATGAGGTTGGACAGTAAGTTAAGGCACACACACACACACACGCACGTGCACACCCACACACACATTATGTTTGTTTGCCTGAGTTAAAGTTTAAACGTGGAGCACAGGAAGAGTGAGGATGATACCAAGACAAGGTCACCTGCTGAAGGCCAAAACCGTCTGCTCATTTCTGTCCAAGCTGTTGGCCTTTAGTTGGAGTTATCTACAACATAAACTGCTGCTACCAAACCACACCTGTTTCTGAACACTCAAAGCTCCGAATTTAGCCTCGAGCTTTTGTCAAACATGGACTCACTGTTTTATTTTTTGGTTTGTTCCAGATTTTCTTTGCCTTGTTTATGTATTGTGCAATAAAACCCTTAAAATTATGATTAATTTCCCCCAAAGTTGGTGAGGTTATTTTCAAAACTTGTAAACATTAGATCCATTACCATACTCTGTGACCTCTCCCAACCCCCCACCCAAAAAAAATAAATCCTTAAAAGTTATTTGGCTTGTCATAATTTTATTAAATCATAACTCTGGCATTTCTCTGAAAACAGCAGCTCAACCCAGCATGTGCACCACTGGCTCAGTGGTGAGCTGTGAGGTCAAATCAGGACAACAGGAAGGTGCAGACACATTTTAAACAGCTGATACTTATTTTTATTTTTCCCTCACTGCGCTCAAGTTTATGGTTTTGAATCAAGTTCTCTTGCTCTGTCTGACCCGTTCTCTCCAGTGCAGCCAGAGCAGGTTGAAATCTGCAGTGTGTATCCAGAACAATGTTTACAGAAGAACCATCTGTGAACAGCTCTGAGTGTTGATGAACTAAAGCCAGTCTGACCAGAATATCTCTGTGGCATTCAGAGAGCGAGCCAAAGCTTATTTAACTTCACCCACTTCAAACGGCTCCGTCTCTCTCTTTCAATCTGTCCCCTCTCACTCCCCCTCATGTCTCCCACTCTCTGCTTCTCCCTCTCTCTCTCTCTCTACTGAAGTACTGATGGACTTTGGCCATCTCCAGGAACAGAGCCGAAAATAATACACAGATAAATCCAACTTCAAAGCTGAATACAAATACCTTTTAACGGAAAACTAAGAAAGAAAGCTAATTGGACTGGGGATGGAAATTAGCCGCTTGGCTATAATCCCATGAATTTACATGTAAATGTTAATTAATGGATATTGTCCCGTATAAGAAATAAATGAATAAATCCTAAATCCTGAAGAAATCTGGGCAACAACTCCAAACATGTGGATACCAGTGACTTTTTTTTGCAGGATTGACTTTGGAAGGTTAAAATGGGAAACTGACACGGGTAGACAGTGGCTCTCTATTTCTGTAGTTGATGGGCTGTTAAAGGGACAGTGAGGAGTTTTTAAGGGATTTTTAAATAGTGTCACTCACATACAGATGCCTATTCATGACCTACTGCACCGCAAGTGAGACGCAGTGATTTGCAGTGAGGTGCGAGTTAGCAGCAGCAGTATTTTTCTTTTTTAGATTATTATTTTTTGCCTAATGTTCCAGCATCATGGTTGATACTGAAACAGGATTAGCAGAAAAAACGTGTTTTCTGTTGAAGTATTGTTTTCGAGGGTGTAACTCTACAACCGGGAATTTCTTTGGTTAGAGAGGAAATCGGCCGTGAACATGTACTTCAATGCTATTTGTTTGTTTTTCTTGACATTTGGAGAGACACCAGAGCACACATCATGTTTAGGAACTGGAAGCTGCTCCGTGAAGAACTTTCACTTTGTGTCCATCTGGCCCTGTGGGCAAAGAAATATAGTATCTCCTGAAAAAGAATCTCATCTTGCTTTCTTCTAACAGACAGGGGTCACTCATTGTAAATATTGTGTGAATGTATATTAATTTACTTAATAATAAATGCGAGCAGGATGTAGCAACTACATTGTTGTAACAGTGGGGGGTGTTACTGATGGGTAATGTAGTCTTCACCTCACAAAAACACAACTGACTACATCCAAAGGGGTCACCAGGATGTAATTTACATAAATGTTTCTCTCAGTGCTTTTAAATGGCAAAATATGTTGCACAAGTCGAAACAGTCTCAGTACTAGTAGATAACTTAAAGGAACACAAAGATTTACGTTTGCACATTTACTCAAATCAAACAGATAAGTACCTTCTCAGAAACTATTCTGTGACATTGTTGTCTGAATGCTGTTCCTGCTCTGAAGTTGCATCTGTCGATCACTGCACTGAAACCCGAACTTCATCTAATGGAATTTTTGTGGTTTTGTCAAAAACTTGCAGATCAATCCAAGTGCTCGTTAGCTTAAACAATGGACAATCTTACATCTCCAGTCCCATCACCATCTCCGCCACAACATGTGTGAGTAGCAATTATATCATACAAAGAGATGAACTATAGACTCATGAAACAATGCTAAGATTGGAGGTTTATCATTATGTTTTCTCTTAAAGCTTATCTCACTCGACACACATGTAGAATAACCAATAAAAATCTTATCTTGTGTTTTTTTTTTTTTTTTTTTTGCAGTCAGATGGGACCTGGGTACTTTGGTTGCTGTTGGCTTTGCTGCTGTTACTGGTTCTGGTTCTGCTGTGGTGGTTCTGGCCTCTCTGCTGTACTGTGGTGAGTTTGCAGACTACACATAAGCATGTGCGTGTATAGACATGATTCAGTGCTATTGTTACTCATGGAGGGAGTCCACACATTGAAGCGTTGAGTTCGGCATCCTGTAATTTACTTTTGTGTGTATGTGTGTGTGTGTTCAGACAATGTTGAGTGACCACTGTTTGTTACTTTTGCATGTTGTTTCTAACAGGTCATCAGGGACCCACCCCCCGCCCGCCCACCCCCTCCACCTCCTGTCATTGTAAGTAAACCACAGACTGTATGAAAACATATTTCTCTTGCCTCAGCAGCGGGTATCTGGGACAAGCATGGGGCTGAGGTTGTGGTTTTACTGCACTGTGACATTTGGCAGGGGCTAAAATGACCTGTTTTTCTAACTTCACCTACTTTCAAGATGTGCAGGACTTCAACAAACACCGGAAGGTCAAAATTCCAGCAATAGTTAAAGAAATAAAACGTCTTAAGATCCAAGTTTTAATTTTTAAGAGCAAAGAGAAAAGATGGTGTATCAGTGTTTGTTGAACCCTTTAGTTGTGTCTCATAAGAAACAGCACCTGATAGAAGAGCAGAAACACTCTCTATTGAACAGTGCTGTCTTTTTAATAGAATAAAAGAAGAAAAGTGAGCGGGCTTCAGGCTAATCATGAAAAGAGAGGAGCTGTTTCGTTGTTTTCCTGTCAGCTGATCACATTACAGCATCTCACTGGCGTTGGCTTCACTTCTAAGGCACTGTTAGGCGTTCACTCGTCTCAAAAGTACAAAATAAACAGCTAAGTTTGTGGGTCAGTCACCATTAAACTATTCTGTCATCCTGTTGCCTTTTTTAAGGAGGACAAGGAGGAACTTTCACCAAAACACAGATGGCCTACGGTCGACGCCTCATACTATGGAGGAAGAGGTCCAGGAGGAATTAAACGCATGGAGGTCAGCAAAAATAACAGACACCGTGACATAAGTAGCCACTGTGTTTAACATGAGCTGTGCCCTTCCTATTTTCAGTGTTTACTTTGCCACCCTTTAGAATCTAAGTGACGGCCACACATGTCGGCGATCATATATGTGTTGGTTGAATATCTCTGGCCGCCTTGTTACCGCGAAATGACAGTTTCTGAAGTCTGCTATTTGTTCCTGTGGTCTGTAGGTCCGCTGGGGGCAAAAGGGGTCCACAGAGGAAGGGTCACGGCTAGAGAAAGCCAAAAATGCGGTGATCACTCTGCCAGAAGAAGTGGAGGAGCCCATCATACCCCGGCCTCCACCTCGACCTCCTCCGATCTACAACCCCCCACCACAGTCCAAATGGTACACCCCCATTAAGGTAAGACTACAGCTGTATTGATCATCAGTCGCTTTTCTATTTGAATGTGTCTACAAATGATTTATCCTGTTTGACTTGATACTCAGGGTCGTTTTGATGCATTGATGGCATTACTGAGGAGACAGTACGACAGAGTGGCAATTATGAGGCCAACAGCTCAGGACAAGGTGAGTAACGTCTACAGTCAAATCATAACTTTAAGTATAAGGAAAGGAAAACACTGCTGCCTCACAGACGCCACAAATTATAAACTTTCATTGAGCTTTTGTCAATCAATCAATCAATCAATCAGTCTTTGTTTATATGGTACCAATTCACAACGATTGTTATCTCAAAATCTGTTTACAAAGACCCGATGTTAAGACCCGTCTTATAAGATCAGACCGACTCCCATTCCATCTTCAACCGCATGAGTGAAACATTTTGAAGCATTTATCAAGTGACAGTAGAGAGGAAGAATTTCCTTTAACAGGCAGAAACCTTGAGCAGAACCAGACTCATGTTCGACAGTCTTCTGCTGAGACTGACTGAGGAAAGAGAGGGAGATGAAGAAAGAGAAAGATAGACAGAAGAGAGACTAATGAATGTAGTTGGAGCAGCTTGACACCCAGCTGGTCCACAGCAGCAAAACGTCAGCTGCAGCAGTGATCCAGAGGAACCCACGGTATGATGGGGCTCAGATAAGACCGTGTATTAGTGACTCTAATTAGAACATGTTGATTTAAAGTTAATGACACAGACAGGAAGAGGATGGAGAAGGAGGAAAAGATGCTCAATGTGGGTTTGTTTGAATCAAAATATTTTCAGTTGACAAAGAAGGATCCTCCCTCTTGATTGTACAAGGATTCGATTAGATTATAACAGATAGTGTTACACCCAACCACAGCCATTTATCTACCCATTAGACAGATGGCAGAGTACGACCATCTGTCCCATTGACCATTAATAATAGTGTAAACATCAGCGTTTGGACTTTTTACAGGCCCTCAAATATTATTTTGCTTAATTATTTTTACAGTCTTTACCTCTTCATGAGCAGAAAAAAAACATTACAAGCTCAAATGTTATTGGCCATCACTTAGAGCATGCTTAAACCATCTGGGTAAGATGCTGTGAGAGTGTGAGCGAATGAATGATGTGTCTAATATAAAGCACTTTGGGTGTCTCTGATAAAGTGCTATAAAAAATCTGATGCATTATTATTATTATTATTAATTATTAAAATGTGACCTTATTGCCTAGAAGTCCTTCAGGAAAACACATTCAAGAAGAGTTCTCAGAAGTAAATAAACTTCCTTGCAACAGTTTGAAGTTTTTAATATGAAAAAATTGAGGAACTGTTTTTGTTTTGAAGACTTTTCTCTTTGTTCTGTTCTTTATCATTATGGCAGCAATTTCTTCTTTTTCAGATCAGTGACCACATTAATGCATTCACATTTTTTTATGTCATATTCCGTTCAAAAATGATATTTTTGTGGAGTGCATGTAAGTATTGTTTGGTACTTAACGGTCTTTTGTTGTCTCCAGGGTCGCTGCATTAACTTCAGCAGAGTTCAAAGTCACTGAAGTTCAACATTAACCATCATCATTTCCACCTTATTCCAATGGTTTTGCCAAAGATGACTGACATGTACACTCAAAAACAAATGTCGTGATTCCCTTTGTATTGTAAATAAATATGTTTCTTGATACTCCGGTGTCATTTTATTGCTTGTTTTGCGCATCAGATCAAACAAAACCTTAGATTTTAAGACTGATTTAGTCTGTTTATTTCAAGAAAAAAATAGAATTCTCTTTACACAAAGACCTCCAGAATAAGTACCCTGACAGGTTGCACAAATGATATTCAAGGGAGATTGAAAAAGCATACATGTAAAACACTTATAAAAGGAAACATAAGAAGAGCTTTTTTAAAAACAGTAAAATAGTATCACGTTCACTCTTGGCAGATTTTTGAGAATCACATCACACTCCTATCCTCACAGAAGAAATAAAATAAAGGACAGTGTTCCTGTCGAATCTGCACATACACACGTTTATGCTTCAATCAGACCTAATACACTTTTTTTCATATATCTGGTGTAGCGTTATGAAAATAGCTTACTAAAACAGAGCCAGCCAACCAGCAACAAGCTCAGAGTGACACTTTAGAGAGTACATAAAGAAGAAAAAAACACATTTAATACCTTCTGATACAAAATACAACATAATACTGTAGAGAAAGACGCCTTACAAGTAAGAATTAGCAAATCCTATATCACAATACACAAGAACCCACTGAAGTGCATTCGATTTAGCTCGTGTTACATGAGGTTGCAGATCACAAAATTTTGCATTACCAGTCAGAGTGCAAACATCACAAAATGTTTGGAACCACACAGCATGTCAGTGATGCAGAGTCTCTTAATATGTGAGGAAATGATGTGTTTATATAAAATTAAAATATGGAGATGAAAACCGTTGCCGTGCGCAACACAGTAACAGCAGCGGGCTCCAGATGTTCGCATTTGAATCATGCACCCAACAAGACAACAATACAGACACCACCACGTCTTATAATACAGATTGATAATCACCAACTCGATCTTTTAGAGTTTGTTTTTCTCCTCCTGCAGTTGTTGATAATCCTGTACATGCCTTGGACATAGCTGCTGCTGTTGTAGAAGCAAAGTCGATGATGGGAATAAGTAATCCCAGATCTTCTTGGGAATCAAAAATCATCACTGAACTTTGGCACTTGACGATTCTTAACGTCCGATTTATAAATCATTGAGAACTCAGAGCAATGAATTGAAGTTTGAGCCGTGTTTGTCATCCTGTACATCAGCATTTAAGTCACCCAGGAGTGTAGAATAAAAGTCTATTCCATAAGATACTGTCGAGCTTCAGACACCTCGTTTATTTACAGTCTGTAGAGCGAAGGAGATTGTCTTTTCTTATGAACGATTCTCTCTGTGCAGAAGAGAAGATCTGTCAAACAGAACAGAAGTATAATGTTAGTGGATCTATCATGTGTCATAGTCTCAACTGTTTTGAGTATTTGAGTGTTGACCCACCTGAGCGACCTTCGACTGTCTTTCTCCATGTTGTTCTCAGGTCCTTCACTTTCATAGGAGGCCAAATGCAGCTCTGAAGTAATGAAAAAGTCTCACTTAGATGTGTTCTGACGGTTGCAGTCTCAACGTGACGACCAGATAAACAGGAAAGTATACTGACCATCTTCTGTGAAGACAGGCGTGGTGACGAGGCACTGGAGGATCCGACGGTCTCTTTCAAACGGACATACCACCTGACGCCAAACCAGGAACTCGCTCACCTGCTTTGCAAGTTCCCAAAGTTTCTGTTGGGAGACATTGACAACGGATTTAGATATAAACTCAGAACATCTCAATACCTCAAAAACATGAAGATTACAATAAAACAGATCTCATGCAAATGCAATTCTTTACACAACCACAAGGGGGAGTCATGACATAATAGGAGACGGTCTCTTTTCCTTCTATTTGTCCTCCTTATAATTTCATAGTGACCAATTTGTACTGATGCTGCCATGTTTGTTTATTCTCAGTTTAAATGAGTAAACTCTGTGTTATTTTTCAGATTCTGGACATGGAGATGAAACTGACCTCAAAGTTGATGTGTCCGTTGGTCAGCCTGCTGGCACAGCCTTCATTCAGGAAGTAGATGTCTTTAATGAGCAGACTGAAGAAAGGAATCACAATCTAGAGGAAAGACACAAAGGAAGAGGTCATGATGGCTCTCTTAATCTGAAAAACTGACAGTGTCCGCTCTTCTTTTTTTCATGTAGGGCCAAGCAAGCACTCTTACCTTCTCCTGGCTGCTGTGAGCAGTTTCAGACCTCTGGGTGGCGCCACGGAGCGCAGTACGGTAATTACTGAAGTTACTCGATGGGTCCATCTGGTGCTGAAAGAGCAGACAACACTGAGGTTGAAGATCACAGAATAAACACACAGGCATGAAGAGATGGGAAACTCCCAAACTGAGAAGGAACTGGAAACAAAACAACACAGGATTAAAACGTAAAATCTTAATCCTCACCTCCAGGATTTCAAACTTGTCAGTGTTGACTTTACTCCAGGTTTTCTTCAGTCTGGAAACAGGACTCATGTTCATGCCGGCTGAAATTCAGAGAAAGAACGAGTTTACAGGCGATTCGCAGAGAGCGAGAGAGACAGAAGAAGAGCAGCAGTCTGGACGGCTTCAAGCCTCCACTAACTCGATTTATTCTTGCTCAAAGTGTCCAGTGTCAACTCAGATTTGGTGAGCTACATGTTTGTTGACTTTATTGAATTGAATTATGGGTTTCTGGACAACACAAAGGGTCAAGCAGAAATAAGAAAAAACACAGTGGTAAAAATAATCATAAAGTGAAAAATAGTCCTGATTTACTGGAAGATAATGAGACTGTTTATAAATATGAAGCTCAGTTATTGGCACGTTATCTTGTTAGATGTATCAGGAAACGTTGCCTCTTGGGTAATTTCGCCCCACAACAAAGAATGAGCGTCTCTGTGTTTCTTTGTTGAATACTCACTGATGATAGCCATGAGGGAGTTGAAGTTGCCAATGTTGAAACACTCCTGAGCCACATCTATGAAGAACTCTATGATCCGCGCTCTGTGTTTCTTCTTCACCGGCTGTAATGAGATTACACAACAGGAAGTGAACCAAAGACTTTGTGGATGCTGACCGTGAAAAATGGTCACAGTTTGACCTACATAGTTTTAAATATATGTTTTTGGAACAGTGTGGGCACACACACAAAGAGGCGTAATATTGTTTATTCTGCAGACTCAATCATCCCTTAATTCAAAATGATTTATTTCTACGCCGAAGTGGCTGACTGGAACTACATTTTGCAGACTTCAGCAGGGACAAAGGGGGAAGCTGAAACCTCCAAATAAACAAAAAGACCTCTGTGTGTGAAGCAGGGGTGGATTTCTGAACGTACCATACAGATCTCAGTGGCCACCAGGTAACTCAGCCTGTTGAACCAGTTGACGTAGGCCTCCAGGTTACTGGTTTTACGTTTACGGAAGAAACCCTGAAAATCCAAAGAAGGGAACATGGATGGTCAAAACGCATGAAAGAGTGCAGAAGAAAAGGGAACTATTTTTGTATTACTCAGGGTTATCATCTTTCTGTCAGGATTTAACATTTTCAGGGACTAAAATCTGATAAAAGAGGTTACGTGTCTGAGCCGATGCAACACCAAGATTTAAAATAAAAAAACAGACAGAGAAGCAAACAAAAACACAAATGTACAACTGTTATTTCTACGAAAGAGGATTAGTGCCACAGGAAGAGAAAAAATAATTACAGGAGGGAGATTTTTTTAATTTCCATTTCAAGATTAAAGTTGAAATTTCAAGATTAAAGTCAAAATTTAAAAAGGTGAAATTTTGACTTGATTCATGTCGACTTTAATCTCAAAGTTTCAACTTCAATCTCAACATTTCAACATTTTGTAATCTCAAAATTCCGACTTTATTGACATGATTTCGACTTTAGTATCTTATTTTTTACTCTTCATGTGGCCCTAATCCTCTTTTGTATATTTCACAGCCAAGAACAAGAAAGGAAAAAGAAAAAAACAAATACTAAGCAAACTCCAATAATGGAAAAGGCTTTCTTGGCCGATAAAAAAGCTCAGCAGAAAGCACTTCAGTGGACCTGCTTTATTTCACGTTTGTTCTGAGAGTGTTTTTTCCACTGCTCAGTGTTTACATCAACACATTAAAAAAAAAGCTGCTCTATGATTGGGTGAAAGAAATCAACTGTCATCAATTTCTTCAGAGTTAAAAAAAGAAACACAAAAACGCCTTCATTTCCTTTGCAAATGGATCTCGATGTCCTTCCCACCCACACAACCTGTGGATCTACAGAGAGGAGTCTGTGACGTGTCTGTTTTTATTTTCATCCGATTTACATCTGCTTCAGGTTTATTGTGAGACACTGAGTGTTGAACCAACCTGTTCGCCGCAGGAACTTTTATATAAATAAACATTATAAAAGTGCTGTATAAATAACCTTGACTTGGCTGTGATGATGTAATCCCAGAGATTCATAGCTCTATTAAATGCTTACACAACACCGACAGCCCACTCCACTTCTAACTTCCCCACTACACTTCAGGACCCCTTACGCTGACTCAACCGCTCTTTTATACAAAGTGGGTCTTATATAACTGACGCAGCACCGGTGAGGGCCGAGGTGCAGCATGGCCACAAGCAGTGGCTGAAAGCTTGTTCTCAGCAGCACTGATTGAAAGGGACCCTTCATGTGACTCACAGGACCACTTAGAAGGAAAAGAGCCCTTCAGATACACTTAGACATATGCAGAGAAGCTCTTTCATACGGCGTTTGATGTATTTTAAAAAGCTATATTCTCCCTCATCTACCGGTCGGATCTTACATGTGGCTTCAAAAGCAAATTAACTTGAATGGAGGCCGACCACACATTTCACTCAAAGCAGACCGAGATGAAGACGCTTGAAATCAAAACAATTAAGGATGACTTTAAAATGGCTGTAATCTGGGTTTTTACAGTCATCTCTTTAGTGTTGGTAACCTCAAACATGACTGCAGCTGGATTCCTAAACTATCTTTAGGTTTAACTACAACCACAAACTTCATAAAATAGAATCAAATGATATAGATCAATTTCTGTTAAGCACTTTTCTGTACAATTCTTATACTTTAAACCTTCTAAACTCAAACTTAAAATTCTAACATAGAGGAAAGAAGCAAAATGTAAATAAGGGCAAAAAAAAGGTTTTTTATTTCACTGATGAAATTGTGGCAAATGTCGAGGTGTTGTGCAAAATTGTTATCTACTAGGGCTGTCCCGATGCGATATTGATATCGGTCCGATATCAGCCAAAAAACAAATATCGGATCATATCGGCCTACATCTAAAATCTCCGATATCAGCACTCCAATACAAGCAGTCCATTCCAGACTCCACTCCCGCACCTCTAGCTAACAGCACCCGGATCCAGCATGCAGAGTCCACGTGATCACAACAACAGCGTGTACTAAGGTACTAACAAGTACCAAAGAGTAGGAGTGATGTCGGCCGTGTGGCAGTATTTTTCGTTAAAGTCCGAGAAAGACATTGCAGCTGAGTGCAAAACTTGCCATGCACAAATTTTGACAATATCAGATCAATATCGGTATTGGCTGATACTGAAGGCTACAATATCGGTATCGTATCGGAAGTAAAAAAGTTGTATCGGGACACCCCTATTATCTAGATAGGACAAAAACCTTAGTATAGTAAGCTGCAGACTCTGAAAACAAGCTGGAAACTGATGAGAAAGAAATAACATTTGTTTATTCAAACTCAGTCATACCTTATGGTTCTCCAGAGGATCCTTCATGGCAAACGTCTGGATAAACTCCTCAGGGCCGATAAAACTCAGTCTGTCCTGATGGCAGAGAGCAGAGCACAGAAAACAATCAGATCAATAATACCAGGGATTGATTTTTCAAATGATCAGAAAGGAAAAAATGTGATAAAAAAGAAAACAAACAAGGACAAGAAGCAGAAAGAAAAAACAGTCAAGTTAAAGATTAAAGTTAAAGATAAAATTAAAACATTGTGCTTTTAAACTGTGTTTAAGAATAGAGCAATTAGAAAAACACATGAAAGCTTTTTATTCTTCTATTAAACGACAGATTTAATTGACTTTAAAAGCGCCAAAGCAACAAACAGACCACACAAAGAGTTAATGACAAAATAACATAACCAAGAAATAACACAGGAAAGGAACAGAGAGAAAAGAGGCTATTTAGAAGCTCAACCTCTTCCTTATGGTTGTAAATGGTTTTTAAATATTGCTTTTAGAGAGTCAAATGAAATGCTTCTCTATATTTAGTAACAAAGGCCTTCAGGCGAGTTTCATAACAGACACACATCTATGGTTACACAGCAAGACTACCAGATCTTAACCTATTTAACTCCTTACCAGTTCAATGTGTGTGAGCTGCTGGGCCAAGATAAAAGGGTCATCACACACGCTCATGACGTCAGTGCGCTGTCCTGAGGCCTGTTTGCTTTTCAGAGAAGCGGGACGCTCCAGCGCTGCTGCATTTAGCGCAGCAATGGCCTCCTCGTACTGGCCGAGGGCAGAGAGGCGCTTGATCAGTCGCTGGGTCATCTGCTGCATGGCTCGCCAGGAGTACTGGAAGCAAAAAAACAAAAATTTAACTGGGGCTCAGGAGCAGAAACAACAAACATGTTCTTCACTGACAACAACTAAAAACCGACAGTCATGCTAGCAGATCTCTGAAGCGTCTTATGTATCACGCTAACATGCAAAGAATGTCAGTGCAGATCTCTAAATCATGAGTATTAAAAAAATTCACTCTATTCATCCTCTCGGTTTAGTTTTGTCTTGGTTTGAAGTGTAAATGCTAACACTTTAACAACAAGCTAAAGCTAAGGCTAACGGGAATATAAGCTTTGTGAGTATTTGGTCTTTAACTAGAGAACAGGGAAGTAAATTAAGTGTAAAGACTTTCTAAATGTAAGAAATGACTGAATTCTCTATCTTAGGGAGGACTGTAAAAGTCCGTTTCCAATTTCAGAGAAACCTTTGTAGTGTTGACCAACTTACATTGCATTGCCTGCCTGCTAATAAATCATGACTGTTGTGAGATTGCCTTGGTAGACAGTTGAACTCCAACCACTTTATGCCATTTATGTAAAGATTTATAGGATGGCTGAACCAGGAAGGCCTTACTTGGCCTGGGTGTGGGGAAATCCTACAGAATAGCTACGCCTCCTCTAATCATCCAAGGTGTGTCAGTGTGCTGAATATTGGCCAGTAAAAACAAGAGGAGGTCCGGCTGCAGACCTCCACTGACAGGACCCACCTCCACTGAGCGGACCTGAAGTTGTTTGAGGCCTTTCAAAATAAAAGCAAATATACTAGGAGTACATTTCTTTCTTTACATCCGAAGTTGATACGAAGCCTTTCAAATGAAAAGCGATTACACCGGGAACTCTTTCCAGTGTGTCCCTCAACTACATTAGATATTATACTCAACTCAACTCAACTTGCTATTACCTGACACCATATCTTAAAAAAAGAGTCCTCAACTCTTTCCAGTGTGTCTCACAGCTGAACAAAGTGCTGTACATAAATAGACAAAACAACACAGACATAAAAAACAATCAAAAAAGAATTAAAACAATGGATAAAATAAAAGCATTAAAAAGTAAAATATGGTTTCAATGTTTTTAAAAACTAATTTAAAAACATAAAAACAAACAACTAAAAACAAACCATAAAACACTAAAACAGGAGCTGAGTCTCAGGCAGAGTTGAAAGCCAATGAATAAAAATGGGTTTAAGACGAGTTAAAAAAATTATTATATCATACTAACCTCATCCCCTCGGGCCACATGCTGCGTCATATCCTTGAGGCAGCGCATCATCCTCTCATCCCTAAAGTCATAAGGAAACGTCTCCGTCCACTCGGTCAGCAGCTGCACCAGCTTCGGTGCGACCTCACGGAAACGGATCTGAGAAACATCAGAAAAGGTTGATCAGAGTCGATAAAGTTGTGCGGTTGAATATCATATTTGTGACAAAACCTAAATAAACCCATTCATCTTTTTATTTACAGCGACTACTCTGATGTGTTTGTCTTTCTGAGAATAAACACTTCTTTTCTTTGCTGAATCCTTTTACTTTATTGCCACCATTACATGTGTCCTTGTCATTCTTATTTCCCTGGTGAAGATTCTACCTGCTCCACATCTCTGGAAGTTTTTCCTAATGAAAGAGTCAATAATACTTATTCTGAAAAAAGACCTTCAGATGTTGGTTTCTGAGCATGTGGGTGAGAGAGTGTAACAGTGTTAAGGTGGGTGAGTTAGTGTGGGTATGAGTGTGAGTGAGTTTTATTTTTACACCCCTGTCCACAGAAGCTTGTGTGTTATGTGTCTACTATGAGTGGGTTATCCTCCCACCTTATCCAGCAGGGTGTCTCCGGACCGCTGCTGCTCCACACACAGGTGACAAACCCTCGTCATGAGCTCGTAGGGGTGCAGGAAAAGGCGTGAACTCAGCAGGAAAGTGAACACATATGACCTCTGAAGATGAGGAGGGAAAAAAAAACTTCAAACTCATGGCAGAAAAGTTTGATAACAACTACTAAACAACGTGAAAATGAAGTTAGAGCGGGTGATTGGTGCTTACGTCAGGGTAGTAGTCCACTGTGGGAACCAGGTGCTGGATCAGCGCCTCTAGGGATGCTGAAACCAAACTGTTGTCATGGTAACACATTTCTCCATAGCTGGCCGTGATGCTGTGGTTGTAAAGCCGCCCTTTCGCTGTTATGGAGTTGTTCCGACAAGACTGTTCGCTGCCACTGCTGCTGCTAGTGTGACGGTACGCCCGTCCGGGACAGGAAGTGCTGTGCTGTAGCGGGCTGTTATGTTGCGGCGAGGTGTACGGGTTCTCCGACACGGCGCAGCTGCTCTTGTAATGATGCTCCCTGGCCGTCACGGAAGAGACGGAGGAGCTGCGGTACGAGCTGTGAGGCTGCGGTATGTCGTAGGGGTTTTCTGCTGAGGTGTAGGTGCCGTTGTAGATGTTTTCCTTCGCTGGTTTAGGGGCGGTGCCATTGCGGTACGGGCTGTGAGACTGAGGGTGAGTGTTGTTGTTGTTGTAGGGAGCACAGGAGCTGAACTTCCCGGCATATGGAGTGGTGGGTGGCATGGTGAACTGAAGGAAAGACAAAACAAGGGGGTAGAGAGTGAGCAACAGGAATCAAATTCATCCCAAGTCTTCTTAATGTCATTTCCATTAAAAGAAATACTTCACTTAGATAGTTTTTTTATCTCATTACTATCCCATTACTATCAGTTTCAGGTCCCCTTACAACTCAGGTACTTGTACTTGGGACCTGAAGGACGCTGTTAGTCACAACACAATGATTCCTCAAACCTGTCAAGAGCAGTGGGAAACATCCCACTCACGAATCTCATCGTTTATTATGAGGTTTATTAGAACTCAACACAGGGACCAGGGACTGCCAGAGGCCTATCAAGGGTCTAAGGGGACCCAAAGTTAAGAGCAGAATATTTTTTTTCCAATGATAATATTTCTTTCTTTGAGTGACTGAGTGTGAAAATACCTTTTGACTATTCACAATTATCACCAAATGTGCCGTTTTTATTTCGTTCTATGATCAATTTAGGGACAAAGGAAGGTTCATTAATGAAAACATACAAAACAACACTGTTTCGGTCAAACTGAAGATCAAATACACATTTCTTGCAGACAGAAAGTCGGCAACCTGAGTCATTGTTAGATCATCTTAGTCAAAATTGAGAAAAACGTAACAAAGCGTCAATGCTCGGTTAGCAAAGGTGTGATTGTAGAACTTAAAACTAAATCTATATTATGTCTTAAAGTACTTTCTCAAGTTATTTAGCTCTATATTGGTATAAATGAAAAGTTACAGGGTTATTTTTTTGTTATTCCACTTACAAGAAAGGATTACACTGACATACTAAACCGTTTGAAAACATGAGTGCCTCCAAGTTAAGCATGGGCTGTGGATAAACATAGTTCTTTCTGCTGAGATGAGGCTCACAGAGACACACACCCACACTAGTCTGGGGGCTGTGCCTTATGTGCTTTTGGTGTGTTCATGTGAGAATCTCTGTTTGCAGCACTCCATCCTGTAAAGCAGAGACTTAGATGTGTCTGTAAAGGTAATAATTACGCTAAATCACATAATTTCACCCCTCCTCTGTTTACCATGAGGGTTTAGAACTGCAGAGAGATACCTCCTGTGAAATTAACTTTCCTTTTAAGTTATTTGTTGTTGCTTTTCTTTTACAAATAAGCTTCAAAAAAATAAAAAAAAAACCCTCTCAGTTTCTCCCCCTTCGCTTTTTCTCTTTACACCTCTGCCAATTCTTCAAGCTATTTTTTGGCATATGGTCAGCATAAGGGACATACTTTGGCGAACAGATGGATGAATGCAGCGAATCAAAGATCTTTCGTCTTAATGGTGTGGATCACTGGATCAGAGGAAGGTAAGCTGATACCAAATCACCAACAAGGCGTGCTTTAACCAAGGAGCCATCTTTATCCTGCTACGGTTATCTGTCGTGAAACCTCATGCCAGCTGACATCAAGCCACTCACTCACACACATACACACACCTCACACAGCGACATATACACACACACGTAGTACACTGTGCCAGAAAACCAAACCCTGCAGGAATCCAGCAGACTTTTGTTTGTCCATCACAGCTCAGATAGAGGAGTGTCTGCATGAGCCAACATCTTACGCACGTAAACACACACCCTTGTCCACCATGGCGCCAAGCCCCATGCTGGTATAATCCAAACACACACACACACATGTCACACATAAACAAATGACGGCCTGAGCGACACACACTCTCTCTTGTATACCACAGTGCCTGGAGTCATGCCAGTGTAAGCCAGTCCAGTGCCAGCCTGTCCTCTGAACTCTGTGATCTGGGCCTGCTGTTTTCCTCTAACTTGGTTAAAAGATTACAGGGGCTTTAGCCTCCTGAAGCTACAGTATGTAATCTGAAGAAGCGCAGCTCTGGTGGTCAAGTTGAGATAAGACTTCCACTGTTTGGATGCAGTTTTTCCTCGTTTCCAAGCTTTAGTCTGAAGTGAAGCCTACAGTAAAACAAAAACAAGACACAAACTGAACTCCAGTCTTGGGTTTTCCAGGCCGGATCCCTGAAAAGTTGACCTTTGAATGGTTGTGGCTTTCGTGCTGGAGGGATGAAATTTTACCCTTTCTAAATCATAGGTTGCACTCTCCATAGACGACTTAATGATGATGTTGAAAACATAATTTCATATTGAAAGCATTGTTTGAATTCTCTTGTTTGTAAACTCTGAAAATTTGCAGCCTTACAAAACGGCTGGATGTGGTAAGAGCAGGCAGACGTGTTTTTTTTTTTATGTTGCCCCAACAATACAAGAGGATAAGCACAGGCACAAGGTTTACACATTCACTGGTTCATCAGAAGGTTACCACTGTTTGAATGTTTGACAGAGCTGCAGGCAAATACTATCTACTTATTGATGTAAACTAATGAACTGCTTATGAAGGACAACACAACTGTGTGGTTTCATTGAGCGTGATCCGTGGGGGCCGGGTTTTTGACGCACAGAGGTTTTTGATGGGAAAGTGCTGAAGATTTAAGACTCATTTTGCTCCAGTTGGTTCCAGAGAAGTAACAAACAACCCAAGCATTTCAACCTTGGGCAGCAGGCTATCTTTTTTTTTAACTCACATAATGTGGTTAAAAAAAAAAGAGACACCCAGCTCTGCCGGGGCCGGTAATAACGAGAGGGGGAGAACCAGGGGGAGGTCTTCAACAATGGAGGTATTATCTATCCTGTCATGGCATTAACAACCAAACAAAGACCCCCAGGAAGAGATCAGAGCAGATCAGAGCAGATCAGACACACACAGCAGCTTTCACACACTCTGCTTGCCGTCGTCAGGCGGTATGACGCCCTGCCGCCGTACAGACCGATACTGGGATCATATTCACATTAGACCATCAGACAAAGTAAAGCAGACTTTGTCATTCTTCTGCAAGGCATGAACACGTATTACCTTGATAGGCATCATCTACGCTGAAGTCATGTGCCATAAAAACCACACAAGTGCAATAAAGGTTTGTAAATCTGTGTTTAAGAGGCATATTGAAACTTGCATATTGACATAAGCAGATACAGCTGCACGTGGCTGGAGGAGTTTTAGAAAAGCATCAAGTCTCATTAGGTTCTAGTTTAACTGGGACTAAATGCATACTACAAATATCAGACTATAGAGCATCACAGTATAATCACATGTTAGGCTGTGCAGGCACTCTTCATGTAACTTGGTCAATGTAAATTGACCTAATTTGAAGCTAAGTTACCACAGTGATCACGCACATGTTCCCTGACCTCTGACAAAAGTTCATGCGGTTAACTGCTACAACTCTTCCAATGAACTAGATTGTGTTAAGATAACACAATGTGAACACATGGTGCAGAAAAGCACCTGATAACACCACCACTAAATCTATTTATCAAAGTAATTACAGGCCAAAGTTGCGTCCTACTATCTCTGCGAGGCTGTACTGCATGTACTTTGACTCTAATAAGTTGCAGTATAAGCAAGTTAGCAGCAGCCTGAAGGAAACCCTTCCCTGTCAGCTGTCTTTGTAATAATAAATTAGGTCAAAGTCCAACTTGTGGTTGGATCACATACTCGTGCTTTGGTCAAGGCTGCAGTCTGAACAGTTTGGTTAACTCCTGTTCATGACAATACAATACATGTAGAAAGACGTCAGAGCAGAAAGCACTTGTGGCCAAAGAAAAACAGTCATTAGTCTGTGTGTTTTAGAGGCACAAAGCTTCTTCTCCTCAGTGCTGCTCAGAAGAATCCTCTCCAAAACTTGACTTTACTATTTACAGTGACTATCTTTGACCAGTGCCATTCAGACAATATCAGCTGAATCTATGTCAGTGAGTAGAGCAGGAACCATCTTGGCTTCATCCAGTATCTCAAATATGTCTCACTAGTGTCCTTCACTCCTCCCACTAAGTCACTTTTCTCACTGTGACGCCTTGATTCTGCTGTTTCAGCTCGTCTATATTTTTGTTCAACAAACAAGCAAATCCAAGTAAATACTGAAGCTTTCATGACTGATAAATCAAATTGACAAAAGAAACTTTAAACATTGAATTATTTTTCTCAGTTAACCATCCAAACTGGAATACAACTCTTCACATTTCCTCTCCAGTGACTGAGAACAGAAAAGTTCTGTCCTCTTTCTTGGCCCATCCAGTCATGGTGTTGTGATTTTGTTTTTTGCCTGTTAAGAGGAAGTTTGTTTATTTTCCCACTCCTGCAGGGCGCTGTATTACTGTTAGTTCTCTGCAACAACATGGCCCAGGATTGTGTTTTAGAGTGTGTTAAGTATGATAACTGTTTTATGGTTTCGCATTGTGTAACATATAATGATGAGAGAGACGATTAATATCCTTGAACTCTAACCGAAAGTGATCCAACATATCTTTTCTGTGGAGTTTTATGGGTAGGGCCACTTTATTCAAACCATACTTTCACTTTTTACAATATGCACTTCTGATTTCACATCTGAGATAAGACAAACAAGAGACTAAATCATAACTGCTAGACACCAAATGCCATCAGCTGAAGAGCCAAATATCACAGAGCTCGAATCAACTGTTCTGCTCATGCTCGAGTAAGTGTTTGGGTCAGATAAGGCCTACAGCACAGCCACTGTCAAAACACCAGACTCAAAGACCCACTGACCAGTTTAGAAACCTGCACCTGCAACTCAACCTGATACTGCAAAGATACTGCATGTGGTGCTGTTTTATCTCTTATTCCTCTGCATTCAAGCATGTCTTTCATCGTGTGTAGGGTCAAAACACACACACACACAAACTCATAGGGTTGAAGTGCAAAGGGGCACACACCTGTCTCTTGTATGATCTAATAGGCCAGTACAGTATTAACCTAGAGCCTCAAAGGATAAAGACTCTTTATCTCTTGCACTGCTGTCATATTACAAACCTGAGCTTGTTCATAATCCATTGTCTTTAACTCTATAGATCTGAAAAACCACTGACTCACTGCACAAAAAGCATTGTTTCAGAGATAAGATATAAAAATAAAGTTTAACAAACAACTCAGTTGGATTGTTTTAAGCCACTAAGAGACACAAATTCTGCTCATGCTCCTCAGGCAACCTTTTAGTTGGCCAAACCATTTAATTTGAGATTCATTTGCACTAAAGTCTCACTAGCTTGCAGAGAAAGGGGGAAATGGAGTCCATTCTTTCAGCAAGGTAAGGGACTGTTGTTTTAAATAGCGGTGTGATGAGGGAATAAAGCTTTTGAGAGTCTATTTTGGCCCGAAGAACACACACGTTCTCTCACTCTTTTTTCTTTTCCCCACAGAGGCATACACAATCTGTTCAATCCTCCCTCACACACACACACATACACACACATACACATAGACACACATGCACAGTACACACCAGGCCACCATGCCTGGTCTACATTATGGGTTTCTGACTGAGTCATAACACAGTAAAAGTAAAAGCTGACTGTGAAAAAGACATGCTGTGCAACCAAACCACAGTCCCATCACAGGTGCTCGTGAGTAACTTGTGTTAGTGTCTGACAGCCAAGTTAATTATAGACTCACATGGGCGGTAAACAATAACAACAACAACAAATGTTGCTAGGAGGAAAAAAAAACAGATATTAGGGAGGATGGTGCTGGCATTGTTTGTCTGTTTCCTTTAATGCAAGTTGACACTAAAAGCCTTTCAGATGTAGGTTACATGATTCTCACACCAAACAGAGACTTTTCAGTAAATATAGTTTGTTTAGATAGATAGATAGATAGATAGATAGATAGATAGATAGATAGATAGATAGATAGATATACTTTATTGATCCCAAACTGGGAAATTCTCATGTTACAGCAGCAAAAAAACAAAATAAAATTAAATATACTTCCTAAGGCTATATGGGAAAATCATTAACAAATGTACCGTTCTTCTTTTTGTGAATATTAACTGGACCTCGAAGTCCGATCTTAAACCTGTGTAAGCTGTTTCTTAAAAATGAAGCTTGAATCAAACCAGAAAAAAAGCCATGATCACTCTGAACCTTACCTTTTATGCGATGCAACTTAATATCCAAATGCAATCTCGCTAAGAGAGTTTCAAAAATAAAAGAAAAAAGACCATCCAGTCTGTTCAGAGTCTCCGATTTTAACACAGCCGAACGGTGTGAGTGATACACATAAGTCTTTTAGCAGTGTGTCCGAGCCGTGCCTCTCTCCATTGTGTCTCTGCTCTTCATAGTTGAGTCCATTTGAACCAACAGCTCTGTGATCACTATGAACCACATAGCGAGGCGTATTCAAATGACTCCTATAGAGCCGGGAAAACGGTCCAATCACAGCACGGGGGTGGGTGTCTCTTGAGGCGGTGTGGCCCAATCATAGAGGAGAAGTCAAAAAATCGAAATCTTTGAAGCTTGTGATTGGCTCGCTCCCCGTCCGTCGACTCCTTTTTGTGTGAGAGCAGCTAGGAGCCAGAGTGTTTTTGTGGTGGAGTTAAAATGAGCTGGATAAGGTTTCTACACGGAATGTTGTTGTGTGTGCGGCGGTAAGGTGATCTGTACGACTTTAAAGTCAATGTATGAGCCGTAAAACCGCTTTATTTTGTTTCAGAAACATCTTTTGTCTTCATGTTAGCTGAAAACTTGTTGGAAGAGTCAGGATAACAACACACGGACGTAACAGTAAATCCATTTAACAGCAAGTAGAGTTTAGATAAAGATAAAACATGTGGTCTCTAAGTGAGGAAAGCACTCTTAAAGCTCATATCACATATTTGTAGTCGTTCACTCATCATAGTTGTCATTCATTTACTTATTGGTTTATTTCCAGTACAAAAACATATTAGATAATTCAATTTAAAAAGCAAACATGATTAAAAACAAGTTTTGTTTGATAGAAAAATGATATATTCGCGGTCCTCTGCTCCAACCAAACCATTAGCTCATTACTCAGGTCGCTTTCACACCTGACCAAGCGGAATCGGTTCAATTGGGGAGCTGAAAGTCCCAACATTGTTGCATTTATCACTTGTTTCAGTTCTGCTTTCACACTGTGATTTATAAAAAACACCAAACTTTCCGAGCAGCATCACGTGGTTGAAAGGGGCAGTCATTGATTGGACAAAGTAGGAGGGGTATGTAACCTCACGGATTACAAACAGGGGTGGACTAGCCATCTTGTATCGTGCTTCGTCACATTATTTTATGGAATGCTACAACGTTAGTGAGCACAACTGTTCCTAAAATGCTATCGTAGCTTGTCAGGGATTGATCCTGTTATTTTTCTAACTTTGACAATTTAACATGTGACAACATATGAGTTCAGAGTTTAAGGACTGTGACTGTTGGTAGTTGTGATTTGATTTTGTTTAAATATGTCAAATTGTGAATTTATGGGTTATTGTTGTTCAGACAATTGAGCTAAGCTAGCTAGCAACTGCTAATGTCAGTGTCAACAAGTGACACCATGCTTCCTCTACCCAAGATGCACTGCGTATAGCGTCATTACGTACATTTGGTCCTGTCTTTGGTCCGGTGAGCTTTCATACTGCATACGAACCGAGCCAGGGTTCACTTGCAAGCGAACTGAGACCCACGTTTTCAGGCGGAGTTCTGATGAGCTTTCTCACCGGCCCAAACGAAGCGGACTATCAGAGGAAACGAACTCTGGTCCGTTTAAAGCAGACCAAACAGCTCTGGTGTGAAGGCGACCTCAGGCTGTTACTTTGCTTGTTTCATTTCCACTAACTCTGAACACAACCCACCTGATGTCTATTTTTCTCTTGGGTTTGGAGAGCGTGGTGACAATTACGGGTAATTACAACTAATTTTAAAATAAATCATAATTATTAGTACATTTATAGTCATTTCACATCGTGTTACTTATTGACCTATTTGATTCATTAATGATTTACTTGTCGATGTTGAGACAGCATTGAAATTTTCCATTATTTTGTGACCTTTGTACCAAATACCTTCTCACTTATGTGTATACACAAAGTTCGGGTACTTTTTACTCTCAGCTTTAGTGTTTATACCATTTAATCTTGTATGAAAGGCAAAATAATAATTAACTTTGCTTTGTTTACATTTACTGTACTAATTGTACACCCAGTTGCATTAATATTTCCCAGTAACCGTCGTGATGATGAATAGTCTGTTATGATCCTGGTTTGTTGAATTGATTTCATAATCCAACAGCATTGGAGAAATCAAACCAAAACAGAAAGTTATCCTTCCACTGAAGTGAAAACACAGAGATATGTTTTTCCTGTTACGACAGGAGTATGTTTCATGAGTGTGTTCCTTTGCAGCATTTTGGTATCATGTGGGGCTTTCCAGGCAGCTGTAGAGTTAAAAGTGGCTTTTAAACAGAGTTAGGGGTAAAGAGCTTGTTTTTTTTCACTTTGTGAGTCAAAACACTCCTCATCTCTTTCTCTAAATGTTTAGAAAATACTCCAAAAATGTGTATACAATGCTCTTTTTCACAGTCTACTTTCCTCTGAAATATTGTAATTAAATCAAGGTGGGTGCGCATCCCACACGCCCCCTTAACTGCCACTGCACCGCTGCCATCCACCTCAACCAATCCAGTCCTTTCCATTGCATAAACATCAAATTACATAAACACAGCGTTAGATTTACTCTACGTCCGGGCCCTGAGGTTGTGGGCGGCACTCATTTTCTGATCACTGACGCCTCTTACATTCTGACACATCACTGTTCAGGCGAGAATAGCTGATCTCTGAGTCTTTCAGGCTGCAGGGTTTTCTCAATTCAATAACCCAACTCCTACACCAGGCACTGAAGTGTACAGCTTCCGGCTGCACTCGGCAGTATGTGGATCACAAACCAAATGGAACAAAAGTGCACCCATGTACACACACAAACACACATGTATGCTCTTTCCGGTGGTACTTAGTGGTTGGATGACGCTTTGGTGAGGGCAAGAGTGAGATTTGGCTTTTTGATTGGCTGCTTGACGCCCACAGTAGCCAGAGGACTGTTGAAGAAGACGTCTGTCCGAGTGGCGTATCGAACGTGTGAATTTCAACAAGATTAACCTCCAGAGTCACCATGACGCTAACACTTTACCCAAATATTTCTTTTGTGGATACACAGAGCGTAAAACTACTTTCACTTTTTATTCTCTTAAGACTTCCTTCTTTAGTAGAAAACTTGGCAGCTGTCCTATCAAACTCAGGCTTAAAAAAAGTCCCCAAACATAACAAATGAGAGAGTTAGCTGTCTTTTCAGTATAATTGGACTGGCTTGACTCCTCATAACAACAGAGAATGCAGCATTGAAGAAACAGGAGGGGAGTATCCAGCCGGATTCAAACTTAAGCTGCGTGGTTCCAGGAGCTTAATAGATGTAATGAAAAGGTGGTGTAATTGGGTTTAGGCTGTTCCTGTTTCCTGTCTGCTGAAATCATTAGAAACATTAAGAGAAGACAGTCACCAACAAGTAATCTGGGCCCCTTTGTGAATGCAGAGAGCTGATGTGCAGCAGTCTTTTGGTATAAAGGTCATTTTGTTTAAGTTGTGGTGTATCCACAGAAGCCACACGAAAATATCTGATCATCCTGGATACGTCTCTTTCCCTCGCTCCTTCTCCTCCCTCTGCCACATGCCAACAAAAAAGACAAAACAAAGAAGTATATCATTGGCTTTTCCCTTTGGTGGAAATGCTCCGGATGCTACAGTAGGATAGCATGTGAAGCTATTAGGCTGTTTTAGAAGAGCTGCAAAGCCTGGAGATTTGGTGATGAGTTGACATAGTTGTTATTAAATGTAGGATTCATTGAACAGGTGGCTGTGGACATGTCTTCAAATGAATGCTCATGTTTCTCTCTGACTTTTGGACATGTAAACAAGATTACTTGCAAGCTGAACATAAATTCAGGTGGAGGGGAAATGTCAGTCCTACTGCTGATAACTTGTCTGAAAAATCCGTGTTTTTTATTCAGTAGTTCGGCTCAGTTTAAAGTTTTCAAGGCCACACATTAAGATGTTGCTTTACACTGCTTTGAATGAAATTGTGTTTGTTATTTTTTGCCTCAATTTATCCAATCTTCTTTGTATAGGCTACTCCAGTCAAATGATAATCCTGATTATTTCAGACAAAACGGCTTATGTTTATCACCATAATTAACTTTATTTCTGTTTCACTTTTATTTTTGGCTTTTTACTATGAGGACTTTACTTTAAGTGAAACCAAATGCCACAGAGAGATTTTTCTAACTGGCAGCATGTTTTGGATTTCAGGGAAACGGTGACATGAAGAAAACAAATGATGTCAGCCGCCGCCAGCAGCAGCAGACGTATTAATGTTGGGGCTCGTGTGGGTGGGATTACACAGTGACAGCTGGGTGAGATCATTACAGTGCGGGAAAAGGGGAGAATCAAGGAGGGAAATGGGGGTGGGGTGGGTGGGGCTGGGTATAATGGATGCCGGGGCCGAGGGGGGGGGGGTCTGCTTTCATGATGACATTCTTTTCTCTGAGGAATGCGTGCACTTACGAGCTGAAAAGGTTAAAAGAGAGGAAATAATGCAGCTGCACGACCAAACCAACCTGCTTCAAATCCCAGCACGCTCGAGGTGTCCTTTTGCATTCATGTTCACATGCATGAAGGACCTGAGGCCAGACCAGCATAGGAACAGGATGAGAAGTAGTAGATATGTGTGATCTACCAGGAAGTGGGATAGGGGGAGAAAGGAGCAAATGGGGGGGTGACGGTTGACTCACAGGCTTCCAGTAAGAGGTCTGACTCAGCTACTGGAAGACCCCTGACCCCTTCTGGAGACAATATGGGGCTAATAGTCTATGTTTTACACTTTAATGGACAAATCCTTCATTACTCCAAAAGGTCATTACAAATAAAGAGAGAAAAATGCTTGAAATCATTGTATACATGCATTTGTATAACTTCTGATTTTGTTATTTCTTGGGTTTGGGTGAAGATTTGTGTTTACGCTGATGAATAGTTTACTTACTTTGGTAACTATAGTGATATATTTTAAAGGTCCTTTCATTTTACTGAAGAGATAACAAATGAATCCCTTTAAAAACATGAACCCAGTCCAGATCAGTGAAATGCTTTACTACTCAAAAGCACTGGCATATGAGTCATATTCATTTGCATTTAGCCAGTGTGCATTGATGTGTCCTTCACCGCCTCATGAAAAGAACAGAATTCACACTGTTTTCCACTCATTTGTCTGCAGCACTTCTGTTTCTTTGACAAGACCCATCTCTCTGTTAACCCTTCCAACCTT